CCCACTGGGTTGGAGGATGTTGGCCTCTATTGGAAGCATGCCTTGAAGGTCCGACGCAACAAATTGAAAATGGCTCATCCTCATCTCCGACTCCAGTAAATCTATATAGCCGCGAAGGCTTAATCAGATACATCCTCTGCTGTTGTCAGGATACCGGAAGCCGGGGTGGATTAAGAGATAAGCCCAGCCAGTAAGCATGAAAAGCACATTCCTTCTTCTCAACTCCACATCAATGCTGATCTCCCGTCATAGTCGCTCTGATTCGTACCACACTTGCTACGTCCTCGCAGGTCTCAGCTCCGCACAGCATAAATGGCATTTCAACACGTCTGCACCGGAAACGGAATCAAATGGAACGCTTGTTTCACCATATCAATGGACGGCCGAACACTATGTTGAGACAACGCCGATATATGATGAGCAAGATAAGGTGGGGACACTCCACCCAGTTTTCGTGATACCAGAAGGCGTTGCAGAGGAGACACGCGCCTACTTTGCTTCAAAAGGGACCTTTTAGAAAGGACCGGCGCTTTGATTATATGGGCAGGATGATTACTCGAGTACATTGGTTCGAAACTCGGTTTATATGGGAGGGGAGAAAAGGTCTGCACATATGGATAGAACTAATCTCACTCTCCGGTCCGCCGAAGATGGATCTTGCATATCACGTGGTGTGCATAATGTAAAAAAATCCAGCGTGGCATATTATATTCATCGATGCATTAGGTGTTTGATGATTTCAATTGAATCTTACTTTTTAGTTTGGAAGTGGTCTGATTTTTACATTTCTTCTACCTTTTTAATTCGTAACTACTCGAGTAGTATAGAAAAGGAGCCGCGTTGGTAAGTCTAGGGTATAAGTACGGTACGGTACATGAAATGAAGTCCAAGAGCTACTGTCTTTACTATAGGTAGATTAGGTAGGTTAGGTAGGTAGGTGACATTTACGAGATACTATAGGTACTGTAGGTACTTTACTGTATATATATATATATACGTTGTACTCGGGCTTGCGTCCTTCCTCTCCTGTCCCGGACCCGGAGATGTATAGGGAATTCTTGTTTATTAATATGTTTATTTCCTTTTTTATATGATATGATATGATAGATCATAAAAATTAGAAGGGTTATGTTATATTGTATTGGTACTATAGTACTGTACGGAGGTACAGTTACCAGTAGCTCCTTGATGGGTTAAATGAAGTGCATGGAGTGAAGTCCGTCTTGACTCTTGATACCGAGTAGAGTACTCCATAGAACGGTAAAAGGAGGTTTTTGATTACGAGTAGACGAATGGTGGAAAGTGGAGTTGAAGAAGAGGAATAGAGGAGTTATAGGAGTAGGAAAGGAGTGGGTACTGGGGAAGTTTCTTTCTTGTACGGAGTAGATAGATGATTTGCCAATTCATTAGGGAATTTGGGAGATCAACAATGGAAGAAGAAGAAGAAACAAGGTTTCCATGGAACTTGGAATTGATTATATGCAGTTAATTTATTGTTTCATAATCGGTTACTCGAGTTAAGATATTACGGCTTCTCCCACTTGTTTTCGGTATCTTTGAATCATCATGATTCATGAAATACAACTTACAAGTGCTCGAGTATGTAGATGAGCTCACCGCAAGGTTCTAATTGTAATTTGTATTATACAACTGAGGAGTGGATAGGAAGGATATGGAGCATTGGAGACACGTTATATATTTGATCGGCCCATGTAAAAGTTGTGCTGTGGACCTGTGGTGGACTTTGAAGATTGAGGAGATATGGAGGACCGATAGGTATCGTATCGCACTGCTAGTACAGTATCAAGATCAAGTCAATTGAAGCCTGCAGGATCCGAGGGAGAATTTTCCCCGAGCTTGGGGGAGCTTCGGAGATGGGTGTTGGTGGTGGTGTTGGTGTTGGTGTTGTAATTGGATCTGGATTCTGATGCAGTACTGACTGATGACTGTAATGACGGTGTGGTGCACTCGTAAATATTCCAGCTCCAGTAATTGTTGTCCGTACATGCATTTCATCCCACTTCGCCATTTATAGTACTGTACCTAGGACCTAGGACCTAGGTACTAGGTAGATCATAGATGGTAGATATCTGATACCGGCGATTCCCCTCTTACAAGTTACCCCTTCACTTACTCGTTAGTTGCATGGAACTGCTGCAGCTGCAGTATATACCCACATCGCGCATTTACGAATCAAATACTTGGGTCGAGGGAACTGGACCTACTGTATGTACTATACTCTGTAGGTCGGTCTTGTCAAGTTGTCAACAGATGAAGGGGTTGTGTATCTTTTCATGTCAGATCAACTAACTTATCACGGCCGTATTCTTATGTCCCCGAACTCACATTCGTACCAGACGGCAGGATTGTCGATATGATCAAATGGTAATGGGAAATCTGCAGGATTCTTGGTACATATGCTCGCTCAAATGGTAATGGGATGAAGGGAACTCTGCCAATAGCCCAATTGTGAAGACGACACAAGTACCTGGTCAATGTAACAGTTGAATGGATCTTCAGTGCGGAACGGTGCGACGGTCCTTCCCATGAAATAGATGAAGATAGATGAAAAGATATGAAAATAGTAAACCAAAAAGGAAGTTGGTAATACTCTACTCGTACTGTAATGACAATTTCTGGAAAAAGAGTTTATCATTTCGGTGGATTGATGTTCCGTGAAATGGTACTGTACTGTAAGTGGGGAACCATTATTATTTCCACGAACCCACCTGTGAATGATATTCTCAACTCTTCTTTTCCAACTTCAACATTTGATACATTTCCTACACGCAGTACAGTAAGTATATCCGAACGGCGACTTTATTAACTTCTGGGTCTTCGGTATCTTCACGCTTTGCTTAATATACTTTTACCGTTATACCATTTTCAATTTCAACGGCATATAAATATTACTATTGAGATGTCAAGCGCACTGCCAACTCATCAAGCATACGCACCACAACCTTGTTTACGGTTAGTAGTAGACCTGGCTGATATTTGCCTCGCGCTTTTTTGACCCCCTTCACGAATCAACTACAAGTCTACAACGGATATTGAAGCACAATACTCGATGATGAAGCCGGTCAATTCCAGCCACTGTTCAATGTTCATGCACTCAAGGCTCACCGACTTCGTGTCAAGCCGTACTCCAGTCGTTCCGCGTCAATCGCGCTGCTTGTTGCAATCTCTTTCTTTCCTTCTCTCCTTCTCTCTTCTCTCGTCTCCTTTTACGACCTTCCCCCAATGTACCGTGGTAGTGCGGGGCAAAAGAGACAAATCCCGAGAACAGAAACGCCTTAATCTCTTCCAAGAACCACCACTCAATGGCACCATTTCAAGGAAAGCACAAGTCAATTTTAGCCAAAGGATTCAAACTCAATGTACCAGTAGACGGTAGGTACAATGGATGGATTCTAGAGGATTGTTATCCCTAGCCAAGCGAGCGATATTGACGTTTTGATTGCATTTGGATCCATGGTACTTTTGTAATGCCATCGATTTCTTTGCATTAGCGGCCAACTCAGCGGAACTCTCTTGGAAGAAATGTCCATAATTGTTGAAGATTTACTCATCTTTTTGCCATTCATCCATCATGCTACAGTAATCCATTTAGTCTTGGCTATTTTCTCTGCTTGCGGCCCGCAAACTTTTACTTCCCCCATGGCAATGGCATGTTCCCATGTTTTGTCCGGATCAGTGGGACAAGGTATCTCGCGAGCCCTTTTGCCACCCCGCTGCATCGAACAATTTCAATATCTGCAAACGTTTCTCAGAACGGAGATTTGGTAAGTTTGAACCATCCAAGATCATCGCTTCTATGCGTTCTCATGCTGTGGTGTGGTTTGCCTAATCATGTTGGTATGCCATCACTGGCAACGGCACACGCCAACACATCGCTCGCCATCATATCCAAAGAGCCGCATTCATGACTTGCAGATGGTTCAAGCTATTATCCTATCTAAACAACTCCTCAATTCTGCTACGGGAAATCACTCCATGATCCTGGTTCTACGCTAACCATTAGACTCTGCAATAAATCACACATGTCTCGCCATTAATGAAAGAAAGTCCTGCACAGAACCCCTAGAACATCCACTCAATCACAGTCAGCCTTATTCTTCAACACCACAACACTATTGTATTCACGTACACGGCACTGAGTTTGTGCATATTTTCCCTGTATACCCCAAATATTGGGCTCAATTGCATCGATATCGTCAGATCTATAGCGTTCAGGCTCTGATCTAAACTCAAGGCATATTCACTGCCTCATCGATCGAGGAAGGGGTGTCTTACCATACTTCAGACGACGGGCACACCTCTCTTGGGGGATCTGGTCATACTCTGACATCTTGAAATAACCACAATGGGGTTCTACATGGCATATTTGGAGAGTACGTCGGTTTAATATTTCGGACATAATTTCTTCACCACCTCACTGAAAGTTTTCATTCGATCTGGCTCTTTGATCTGGCCCTGCCCTGGCGGGCCTTGCATCAAAAGAGGGCTGAATCGATCGCCTCACTATGTGCATCTATTACCGTCTCCTTGGGATCCATGATCCCACTGCTCTGCCCAACGCAGCCCAATGAATATTCTATTTATTCCTGATGGGGTCAATCTTATGAGCCTCAGCGTTACATTCGCTCCCTAAACATAAATTGTGCAACAAAGTCCCTGGCCTACCCGCTGACATGTAAACAGATTTGTGCCGTCGACGAAATTGGCAAGGTCCCCAGTACAAGACGTACCGCGACGCACAAGGCTTCACCTGTCTAGTTCTCGTCAATGGAAAGGAGTACCAAACGGATCTAGCCTACCAGACCGATGCCCTGGCTCAAGAGAACGCCGCCACGCAAGCTTTCATGGTTTGTCGTCAGTCATCGGTCAATGGGGGCATGCTGGCTCGTAATGGCGTTATCCAAGGATTACCTGCCAATGAGACCGGGGGCCGTCACAAGCTGATAAGTGATCGTCAGCGGCAACATTCCGTGACGCTCAGCAGCAGCAGCTCGAGCACTTCTTCCGAACCGGAAAATAGAGATACCAGATACCCAATGACAGTTGGCAGTTAAGAAATGACTGCCGGTAACCATATTGTTACGATGAGCTGCGTACTACATGAATACACGACATACAGCAGGGACCTCGAGGCAAAATATTACGACTTACGACCATCCATGACAAATACGGATCGGATTATTACGGGAGGCATATTATGAAAAGGACAGGTTTATCCACTGGCATATTGCACGATTATTCACGAACCTTTCATATATTCATTTTATTCATTCACATCATGATGAGATAACGAAGTTTACGGATTTCTTTAGACTCTTCTCAGATTTCTTTTCTTCTTTTCATGAAATTCCCTCATTTCTTTCTTTCTTTCTTTCTTTCTTGGAGCGATCAAGAGTCTACTACAACTACACGTACATATACTATTGCGAAATACTACTATGCATGACGGATGGACCACGATGCTTAGGGTATCATATCACAGCACCGGAATCGTGGGAGAAAGCAAGGCGAGTCGATTTCCCGTACACGGTCATTACGGAGAGGTAGCTTTCCTATCTTGCGTTTGCGTTTAAAGAATGGATTGGTGGGAGAATGAAGAATGGAGGGTGGATGTTATATGTTATATGTTATATGTTATATGTTATTGCATGCAAATTAAGAGCGCAGGAAGCAAGCGAATGAGGGAGATGGGGAGATGGGGAGATGGGGAGGGTTATCATTCTTGGTGCGGGCCGTTCATCATTAACGCGAGATAAGATAAGAGAATGGAGGGGGGAGGTATATTACACTCGTTTTGGAGGATAAGTGATGCACTGCATTGTGTTTGCATGGGAAGGAAAGTCTTGATTTTGGGTTGAATGGATGTGGTCAGTCATGGATATGATATGATATGATATGATATGATATGATATGATATGATACTATGATGGGGTAGGGTGGAGTGAGGTAGCATGTATGGAGGCTTTTACTCCTTTTTTTTGGCAGGAAGTCGTTCTTCTTTTTTATGATTATGATGATTATGATGATTGATGATGGATGGATCGATGGATACATTTTATGATTTGTTATGTTATGTTATGTTATGATGTTATGTTATGTTCGTGACGACGATGATGAAGAAGAAGAAAAAACTAAGGGCTACCTTACCTTACTTGACGAATCTACTTACTTACTTCACTTGCTATCTTTTCTTATTTACTCGAGTATCTGTGGCTAGAGAATTTTATACTATGTACTGAGTATGCTTTTTTGTTTTTTGTATATGCATGTACAGTGTTGTGAGTGTGTATTATGAGTGTGAGTGTGAAGTATGTATGTGAAGTATGTATGTGTTGAGCAGGTACTCATTGTGATTTTTGATGATGATGTTTGATGATGATGTTTGATGATGAAGTTTGTACCAACTAGGCATGTGCTATGATTGAATCCAGCCAGGCCAACCAACTACCTATCTATCTAGGGCAAGGAAGGATACGAATGGCGATGACTCGGAGTACATATAACAATTAATCTTCTGATAACAACTGGAATTTCCAGTTTCCGAGCATAGAAAGAATATATGTACTGTATTGTAATGTATTGTGAGTTATATAAATTCATATCCACGACTGATAACACAATATATACGAAAAGATGTAATGTAATGTAATAATTCAAATAGACACAAAAATTCCCTTTAGCCAAAATCCATTTATATACATTAATAAAAAAAAGCAATCTTCCATTTCCATTTCCATTCTGATATAATAAGTATCTGTCACCTATCCTGTACACTTCTGGCATCTATTCTTTCTTTGACCTTTCATCGTCATCATCTCCCCATTTTCGGGCGAGAAAAAGAAAGGCTAGTTTGAAGGTTCTTCCCAGCTATCTGCTGAGAATAATCGACTTGCCCATTTTAGACTTGATCCTCTTGCTTTATTATTATTTTTTCCGTTCCCATTTCCATTTCCATTTCCGTTTCCATTTTTGTTTCCGTCTCCATTGCCCTTGGCATTTCCCTTTCCATTTCCATTTCCATTGCCCTTGGCGGCAGTAGTAGCTTTTGCTGTGGCGGAAGAAGCGGTTGTGGCGGCGGCGGCGTTGACTCCGACGTTATCGACGGAGAGGGTCATGACGGGGGCGGCTTTGGATGTTACGGAGGCGCTGAGGATGGCTACGCGTTTGTTTGTTAGTTGGTTTGGTTTGGTTTGGTTTGATTTGATTGGGATTTGGATAGGAGGTGAGAGAGGAGGTGAGAGGGGAGATAGGAGAACGTACCATTAGCACCACCGAAGCCCTTAACACCTTCCGCGGACCCGTCGGCTTGATTGGCGGCAACGGCAACGGGGAGATCGACGTTGTTTTCCTGGACTTGTGCTTGGATGCCTTTGAGTGTTTGGGCGGTTTTAATAGTGTTGGCGGTGTTTTTACTGGCTTTCACATCGGTTTGCTGAACGGCGAAGCAACCGCCAAAGGGACCGGCAATCGCGTTGTTGCGGCATCGAACGGTGCAAATGTTTCCCGTGGAGGCACCGGTGCAGGCGAGGTTATCGGGCATTTTGACGGTGATGTTGAAGTCTTCGGTTTTGGCTTGGGAGAGACCGTTGACACCGGGAACGTTGTTGGTAACGGTGAGGTTTTGGGAGATGGTACCGGCGTTGCTGGTTTGGTCGAGGTCACAGGCGTAGGGACCGGCTCCATCGGCGTTGACTTGGTGGATGGTGACGGTCATCTCTGTACCGGCTTTGACTTGCGTGACGGCTTTGGCGGAGATGGCGTTTTCCGTGTTCTCTCCGACATCGATGTTGCCGCTCAATTCGGTACGTCCGCATTCGTTGACAATGTTGGCGGCGATTTCGGAATCCCGAATGATGGTGGTGTCTTGTTGGCACGGACTGATGCCGGTACAATTTCTGGCGATAGCATCATCGACTAAGTATATGAAATTAGATTGGTATTCTGAAATCCGGGGAGAATTAGATTGTATTCCGTACCTTTAAATCCAACACTTGCGGGGGAACCTGCAATACCCTGCGCAGCAAGGATAACACCGTGGGCTTGAGCGACGGACAGTAATGCCGCTTGAAATAAGATAGAAGTGTACATGTTGAAGGAAGGGAAGGAAGGTGTCCTGCACTAAGAAATGAATGAATAGGATTTAGATAATAGGAGAATCACCCGGATCCTGTATAGAAATGAAAGAAAGATGAAGTGGAATGAAAAGAATGAACTATGAATACAGTTGGAAAAGTGGATGTAGATGTACAAACAGTAAAAAGGAAAGTCTCACGCCTTTTAAGAAGCGTCAACCAGCACAAGAAGTTCACGACAAAACCCTGCCATGGTAATAGCTCATATTGCGATTGCCTCCTTAACAGTAACGCATTCTCCTACAAAATCTGTTGCACACAATGTGGAGAACATGATCAATCTTACCTGCCGCCGAGAAGGATAATTTGCCCAGGATTCAGTACTGATGAGCCGTGATAGGAAGCAATTTGTACCTATTGGAAACAGTTTTAGAAACAACCCAAAGTCGTCATATCATGCTTGCAGGCTCTTTTGTATTACATTGTTCAGATGTTCATTGTATCAGAAAATTCAGATGGCAGATCTTGGAAGTCCAAGCGAGCCTATTTTGATTCCAAACTTAGATACTCAGGACTTCCCTCGACGGCCTTCACACTGTTCACAGAAGATTGTGAGACATGACGCAGGGATACTATCTCGCGTCTTATTCCCAAAACTTCTGAGAATCACGGAGAAGTCGTGATATATGATCCTGATAAGTGAAGAATCCAAGACGTCTGACCCTCTGCCAAGAGAAGACTGTTAGAACTGGGGCTTCTCTGCAACAATGAGCCTTGAATAGATTTGAATAGATTACCAACAAATTAATCAGACCATGCTTTGCAGTAATATCCGTAATATCATACTAATATAGAAGAGTTAAAACGAGTGCCAAGTGATTTTGGATGAAAAGAAGGTAAAAAGGGTAAAAAGGGTTAAAAATGTCATGTTTATTGTCGGAGGTTTTGACAATAAGGTGTTTGATGTGAGTGGGGTTGAATCCCCTTAAAATATTACTCGAGTGTGTATCCTCAATGGGAAAACCCGTTAGCCCTATCTTGATCCGAAGTATTCCCGCTCAAGGATAAGCCGATAAAGGTTATTTCATTTCAAGGATTTGGAAAACTTGATGTCAAAGCAAATCTACTTAATTCGATAATACTTCTCAAATATAGGAAATTATAACCGCATATGAAGGAGATGGGGTCAATTAAAGAAGAAAATCATGCATCACAGAAGAACAGCCCGGTCGATTCTGACGGTAACCGTTATAAATCACGATATCAACGGGTCCGATACTAACGATGGGGAAAGATCAGGATAAACTAGGGAAGATTATCTGTTCGCTACTTAATGACAAGAATGCATACCAATAACGGAGAACATAAGCGCTAGTGCGAATAACATTCTTTTGTGTTGGTGTTGTAGGTTAAGCTTCTGCGGCAAATTGCTCGTATTTTTTTTTATCAACAAGGACACACATTATTCAGTGCAAAGTCATGGCGGAAAAGCAAGATCTTAGTAGATATGATAGCATCTCAAGAAGATCTAATATCGAGGCCTTGCAGTTCATTACATACCCATCGCAAGAGGAAATGAAAAGTATTTTCATGCACAAAGTGCAATAGCACCCCAAGATACCTTATATCGAGACCTCGCAGTTCATTGAAGGCCTGTCGCAAGAGGAAATGAAAAGTGTTTTCATGCACAAAGTGCAATAACACCTCAAGATATCTCATATCTCATATCGAGACCTCGCAGTCCATTGAAGGCATGTCGCAAAAGGAAATGGAAATGGAAAGTATTCTTATGCACACAGTGCAACAGGCGGAAGCAAAGGGGACAGGCGCGTTGCTGTTTCCAGTACTAATCACATGTAGTGCGATCACTCATTCCCTTGCTCGAAACAAGCAAACAGCATGCCACTATGGGACCAAATCTACCACGAGCAGCAATTGTTGGGAGAGGGCACCAACATTTTATCAGACGATAGAGGATCGCTTGAAGTTTTACAACTCGAGTCGGAATCCATAGCTCAGATCAGCGTATTCGGCTTTGCGATGCCGAAGGATAACAGCATCATGTTGCTTGGTATCTTCAGGAAGATTTGGGCACTGAGACGAATCCGTGATCCCTTTTATCGAAGTTTTGTTAACGGCAATCGATAATAGCAGGATACGAGAGAAGTCTAGGTGCTCGGTTAGGTAGCTGCCTTCAAAGACAAACGTTGAAACTGTGGACAAAAATCTCTTCCGTGAAGTTAATCGTCAATATTTTATACTAGAAGAAGGTATCTTCCGAGGTCGTCTCAAGGACTGCAATAGTTTGTCCTTCTCGACGCTCACGACGCTCCGCTCGAACTATCTAGAGATATGCAGTTCTTTCCTGCACTGCTCTTTCAATGCCTGGCTCTGTCTCTCTAATTCTTACCGCTAGAGTCCGATCCTGGCTAGACTCTCTGAAATATGCCATCGATATGTCGTTTGATGATGTAGCAGGTAACTTCGGCCAGTCTGGCAATTCAATATTGGCCCTACTAGAAAAGCGGCACGCCACCTTGATTACTGTTCAGCCAGGCTTTCTACGCACATGTTTTCTCGGAAATTACGGGATGGTACCTGAGAGTAGGGTTCGAGATGCTCAAGAGATCCTTCCGCATGATAATATGGAAGCATTCCGGAAGCGCAACTAGATACCCGAGAATGTCTTTCGGAACCAGTGGCTTGACCAGCTTAGTAGGAGTGTGCGATTGATGCTTTCCTGGCCAGATGCTGATATTGCCACACTCCTTGGGCTTCCAACCACAATCGATCATCGGGATGAGAAATCGTATCTCCTTATTAATGTCCCCATTACCATAGATCGTCGAGAAGCATCGCCTACTCCACGTACCAAGTCGGAACTACCAACACCTTTGTCTATCATTTTCTAGACATCTGCGCTATATCTGCCCCTTTTTGGGACGGTTTTGTTTTAGAGAAAGAGGACCCACACCGGAATGATTTCGCAAAGGTTGGGAAAATGCATGGACAAATTAATCAATATAATCGACCTGTCCACCTTATTTCCAGGAACATGGTCCAGATTCAGCATTCGATGATCACCCCGATTGTTATCGGTGAACATGCGCCCGTCCCAACCTCCAGAACAATGCCGCACTTACGACGATGGCTCTCGCTCGCCCATACATATTCACGAGTTTTTCCAGCAGGGTTCTTGCATGGAAAGCCGCTCTTGAAGTTCTAGATACCCAACGAACTTTACTTTTTCTTCTTAGCCACATGCGCTGCAAGATATTCTGCTTGATGCTCTGTACGTTCGATGCTGCTTACAGCGGCGATATACACCATGTATCCCTTGGAAATAGAGATGACCTAGAAGGTTCTTCAAGACTTTGAATGGGCAATGGAGCGTTTTGGTGTGATGGGAGATCGGAACGCTACGGACAAGGCCGTCCTAGGCGTCCTAAGAGCAGTATACGTCTTTTTATAAGCTCTAATGCCATCACGGGGATCAGCGCCTTGTAAGGAGTCGAGCAGTGTAAGTTGGTCCGCAGATTCGACTTCTCGTCATAGCTCCGCCACAACCAATAGACAATTTCTTTACAACAATCTGTCTACTGCAGACGAACCAAAGTTTGTAGAGTGGACGAACATAAAACGGAAGTGGATATCTCGATTCCAATGTGATTGATTGGTGGAACACAAATGTGGCAGTTAAACGGTAACTTTTGCATGATAGCTTTTTGGGGGTTTATGTATGACTATGATCTTAATTCAAGGGTTTCACATGTCGAATTGTCTAAATCTCAAGCGGGATACTACTCGAGTATATCGGACTAAAATGACGTACTAAATACTTCTTTTTTCATTCTTGTAAGAACGAATTCGTATTGTAACAGTTGCAAGCAATCAAACCATTTTAGTTTTCTTTTGGGAATTTATCTGAATGCGATATATATCGCTGTTTCTACACGATTTTGAATTTATAAGCATTGTCACAAGCGACACACTGCTGGCTATACATATTGAAACGCTCTCTGACCTTATACTAGGAGATTTAGTTTCACATATGGAATAAAGTTATGTGTATAAGACATATCACAGAAGGGCATCTACAGTCAAAGACAATCGCAGTGTAAGTACAAATCTACAACGGCATACTTGGTTATCAAAGTTCGTCACGCATTTATTCCTCAATACTCATTTTACTGCATCGCATCCGTAATGACTTTCGAATGGGTCCACCCAGTCTTAAACCTGCTCTTGGTAGCAATCACAACCTTTGAATCGGTTGAATATACCGAATGTTCTTTCTGGGAAGCCCCCTCGTTCTCGTTCCATGTCTTTCCTAACTTAACTCTCTTACTATCTTCCTCTGTTCTTCAGCCATATTCTTATCTCAGTACAATTCTCATACAGCCTCATACAACCTCGCATAAGGTGACATAAACCTCTCGATCCTTGGAAGTTTGTCACCGGCACTCCTGTTCTGAAGAAGCTACAACCGCGATGTTTGCCACCGTTTATGACGTCCCTCTCATATGATTCCAGTTCAGTTCTCACAAGGCGACCAGTTACAACGGGCTTAAATCCGCTATGTGGGAAGTTTTCATGATGTGCGCGCAAATCTCAGGCCCATATACTTGAATTACTCGTAGTAGAAGTACATATAAAGTCAAATGCGTCAGAGATATAAACGATTCCGCATAGCTTCCAATTAATCCCTTGAGAGATGTTGTGAGATTGGACCGCCTATTTCAGGGGGGGGGGGAGGGGGGGGCAGGGGGGGCAATCGATCAGTGGGCTTACAGTAGGTATACAACTCGTTCAATTTCCAACAATTTTCCTGACTATAAGTCTTACGTATGCATCGATCATCGATTCTTTCAAAGTTCAGTGCTATAATTAATTCTACTGCGATGAATAGTCTCACGCAGTTTCAAATTGCATATATATTTACATATTCCCGAAGTATCATCGCGTTCAATCTTTAGGCATTTAATAGAGTCAATGACGTCCGAACCAGCTGATGAGCAAGCAGCCAAAACAAAGGGTTTCCCTAGGCCAGAAACTGGGTTGAGGTAGCTACGAGTAGTGATTAGTATTTCACAGACTTGAATACTTAATATTAATTTGATTTGATCTGATGTGTAAGACTACCATACCACTCTTGGTGATACAATATTGGCAGGTGTATGCATCTTCGATTCAGCATTATTAAATTATTTTTTGAACTTCCAAGTTCCTTCTTTAAGATTTTCGACTTCTACTGTAGATATGATGACATCCAGCTCTCCATCCATCTCTCAAGTTAATTCCATGCAAACTGCATCTACTGAAACCGCGCAAAGAAACCCCCTACACTATTCTAGATCAGACAATCTTTTAAGTTTTAACCCTCTGCCTCACATCCTTCAAATAATCCATCCAGAATCAAACTCATTCAACCCAAATTTCTGTTAGACCAGTGAAACAAACTCAATTTCTGGTAAGCCAGCTAAGAACGAGTTCAGAAAAGTCCAACAGGATCAAGATCCAATTATTTCTCAGAACCTATCATACTTACTTCATTCTCATCCTCAATCTCATCCTCATATATTCCCAGACACAAATAAATAAAATCTGTTATAAAGGCACCTCCAGTGTACTTCACCAAGACGATGAATTCCAGTTATCAAGAAAAGATGTCTCCCCCAAATCATTCCCCATTTCATTTTCCTAGTGAGTGGAATCTCAAACCTTTCATGCAAAGAGTTAGACATAATACATAAAGATTCCTTTTCTCACTTGATTCACTTGGTCATTTATCCTCAGTGTGGCTTTATACAATGATTAATATTCACAGATCTATATATTATCTATCTAAAAGAAAAGCAGCATTACCTCAATCCCAATCCCAACCTCAGTTCACATCCTTTCCTCTTTTCCATCCAACAAGAAACTCTCACCTCAACCCCTCCACATGTCACATTTATCCCCATATCCTCTACACCACCCCATAACACACTACAACACCATCCATCCATCCAAATTCTCCATCTTCCATCTTCCATCTTCCAACTTCCAACCACCCAACTCCCAATTCCCAAAATCCACACACCCCCAAGAGACACCTCTCATCTCTATCTCCCAAAAAATAAAAAATCCCCAACCATCTCGTTCATCCCATTCAACCCCTTCATCCCAATCATTCCCCTTTCCCCCTTTTCCCCACCCACCCATATTACTCAAGTATACCCCACCATGCACCGGAAACCCCAAGTGAATAACTCATCTAAAACCCATCTAACAAAACCCCACCTAACATCCGTGCACCCAGTATCACCCCCTTCATCAAATCAATCCTTCAAGTTCCAACCTCCATCAACTCTCTATCAACCTCCATTACATTTCTATCAAACCCCTACAAACCCCTCCCCCTCCCCCTTTATCAACAAGAACTTTATCAATTCTTTCAATCCTCAATTCTCAATCCTTTACAGTAAATATACATACAAAAATCCACCCAATTACCCTTTTACCTATTCAAATCTACTTCCTACCTATCTACCTACCTACCTACCTAGTATAACACAAAAGTTATTCATTATATATTCCATTATTATCATCATCATTATCAATCCATTGTATCCCTCCATTCGTTCATTCATTACTCGAAACCTACCTATTGTATCCCACAGGTCACGCAGCTACGTACGGGTAGAAAAACGGGCCAAGAAATGGCTAGACTGTAATCATATTTACACCAATTCATATCTGTACACACAAAAATCGATCAGTACACAACATTACATGGTTATCGGCCACTCTATATGTAATCATAAATGTGACAATCAAGTGTGCACGAGGAGAGAACTGGATGATTGGGTAGCAAAATTGTCTTCATTTAATTGTCAAAAGCTAGTTATACCTAGGCTCAAAACTGGGGCCATGAAGCCGCCACAAATGCGTTCGCCAAATTTATTAAGCAAAGAAGTCTGGCATGGCTCTAGAATAAGTCCATATGAAGCAACATGATAAAGTTTTCTTAGTAAAAAGGAAAAAAAGAGGCAGTAAACTAGATCGTCCAATCTGCTTCAAAATGTACACCATATAAAGGCTTGTCGTGATATTTCAACCCAAATTTCCCCCAAGTTGATTAAGTTGATTAAAATCTGTGCAAATCGACAGACCAGAAAAGATGGTATCTGACAAGTTTGTAATGTACCGGTAGAAACCAAGGTGGGCAGCACGAGATTGACTTCAGATTGTATGGATGACGTTTGAAGGGATGGCCAAGTTCAAGCTACTCAATCTAGGGATATGTTAGTAATTAAATTAAATCACATTTGATATGAGCATGAAGCAATATCATCTTACATGGTGAGTAGCCTGGCTGACACGGGCTTCGATGATCTTCTTCATCCTCATCAAAACCATATTCCTCACGCTCAGCAAGGCTGGTTCCACGGTCGTATTGGGAACGACGACGGCGCTGCTCATCACGCAAATGTTGACCAGCACTGGGAGCGAAAAGTCCTGTACCTTGTCAGTAAGATTGTAAAGAAGGAACGAAATCAGATAGTAGCTTACCAACGTGTTCAGCATTTTCGCAACTTCTCTTCAATTTAGAAGCATTATCAGATGATGGGAAGTCATCCTCCATACCCGCAACATTGTCTCCATCTAAATTGGTCAAAAAGAGCTAAATCAAGTTGTTAGTCAAATGTAAGTTGATACCAATAATTGATAGAAATTACCTTGGGTCTGTAGTGGGACGGCTCTAACATGACGGACGAGTTGCGGAACTTCTGGATAAGACAATCCCTACCTTGAATTGTAGCGTACGAAACTTCAGCCACCTTATCGCTTTTGAACCTATGCCACTTCTGATTAGACCTAGCGACAACAAATTCGATGATATCCATGGGGTCAACGAAATTGATGAAAGCATATCCAACGTTACAATCGTTGGAAAAATCAATTCGGAGATACATGAAATCGTATCTTCCGTGACTGGATTCATCGACAATGCTCTTTAGCATCGCCTGGTCGACCTTGTTTGGAATGTTTCTCAACATCACCTGAAAAGAGTGTTAGAAATGACAAGGCATAGGGTTGAGCATGGACTTACAGTTGTTCTAACATCAAGACCTGCATTGATTTTGCTGATATCAACGTGGTTATGATGACTAGCCGCAGGATTAGAGGCGCCACGGCCTCGAAGTTGTCCTTGGGGTGTCCTAACAAGTGGAAGCTGACGACGATTTCCATTGCGGGCAATGTCGTGAGAGTTTGGAGTTTGTGGACTCATGAAACCCAACTCATGTCCATAGGCCTGTGGACTGGTTGCATAGCGTGCAACACCTTGCTGAGGATAGGGATTAGTGTACGTCGCCGGTGAGAAACCCTGAGAAACAAAGGAGGCAAAAGGAGGCTCGATAAGTTGTGATTGTCGGCTGGTCGTGAGACCTTCTGGAAATCCTGGTTGGAATCCAAGAGGTTGGGTGGTATACAAGTTACCCATGTTACCCATGTTACCCATGTTATTCATAACATATGGGACTGTGTTAGATGGTAATAGACCATAATGATTCGTGGTCATATACTGAATGCCCTGAGGATTGGGACTGCCAGAGTTGTACAACCCAGTATTGCTGGGGAATCCTGGTGTTTGAGGAGCTTGAAGTGACATATGTCCAAGCACATCACTAATATCGGTCTGTGGGGCAGAGCGACGAGTGGGGGTCACAACCGGTGCCGAATTGTTTCGCGAGGTGCCACGATTCTTGTTGACATCTGGTGTATGCATCTCGCACTTGACAAGAACATTCTGCGAAAAGGTCAATGACGTTCAACCAAGTAGAAAGAAATGATACATACCCCTATGATCTTGTTGTTACATCGCTCGATTGCACGAGCGACCATGGCGGAATCAACAAATTCGGCACACAAGCGGAATGTACCGGCTTCTGTTGCCAGAAACTTCTGCCATGCATAAAGCTCTCCTTCAACGGACAACAAATCGCGGAGACTCTCTTCAAACACCTGCTTGTCGATGTTGGTATTTGGAGGATAGGTGGCTGTCAACATGACTTGCCCCTCATGAGCAGAGTATATCGTCCTGGATTGTGGACTGATGGCCTGTTAAGTAGGTGTTAGCTCTTGTTTGAGTGAGTGGGTGGGTGTATGGTTTGACAAACCCCGCCAAAATCATTTGCCTTGATGTACTCCACGGCACAATCGACATGATCGATCTTGATTGCAGTGTACACCTTCGCGGCCTCGTATATGTTGGACATCCTAATATAGACAACATTGTTCTTGGTCAATTCTACTCTCTTGCCGCCAGTGATGGTGACTCCAGCCTTGTTCAATTTCTATGCAATAACTTGTTAGCAAAAGGACTTGAAAAGTAAGCGGATGTTAAAGTAAAAACTAACCTCGAAGGACTTTCGAACATAGCTAAGGACGTCACCCTTCTGGTAGATATCCGTGACTTTGATGCAACGCGTGGCACCAGTATCTGTGCTGAATTTCTACGAACTATTAGTAACCTGCGTCATGATGAGGACAAAGGGAAATAAGAACATACACCATAGTTGGTAATCTCGGAGTCACGAACCGGTGACTGAGATGCTACAACGTTGTCAAGGTACTGAATGGTACCTGGGATAAGGGTGACTGATCCGGATCCATTTGCAATGAGATTTCCTGTGACTGGCGTACCTACTGCAGGTCGATAGAGATGCAATGGCTGGAACGTAGAAGCAGTTGCAGAAAGTTGAGCCGAACCTCTACCTGCTGTGCCGGCTGTCACGAAAGGATCGTGTTGATTGGCGGCGGACTGGACGGAAGATGGGCGAGACTCTACCGTGGCTTTCAGAGCTCGACCGTCCTCTGGGGAGATCGCGGTCAATGCAGTGTTCGGAGTGCCTTGAATAGATTCAAAAGCACCATTGGAAAGCGGAGATGGTGGCGATTGGCCGTAAGAACGATTGAATGACGACATCTTTGAAAACAAATATCTCAATTCAATGACAAAAAGAAGAAGACGTCAAAATTGAGTGTCCTAGGGACTTGAAAAGCTGTGCAGATTCTTGGGAAGAGAAGTTTATGGGTTCAAAATGACAGTAGCTCGAAGATCGTTGCTCACTTGATGATATTGTAGTCATCAATTGATAATAATCGTTGAGATACTTGGAGTGTTGAAGGATTGTAGATTGAACCAAGAAGTTTTGTGTGTGTAAAGAACAAAAGTAAAGGAGAAAGGATTTACAAGAAGAAGTTCAAGTAAAAGTAATAACGGGGGTGGGTGGTAGGGTGGTGCATCAAAAACCCCAAGCGGGAAAAATTAGAAGAACGGCAGAGAAATCTCAGTGAATGTCATACAAGGGTGAGATAGGGTGAGATAATATGAGAAAGAAGCCGAGAGAAGAAGGAAGATGTTGAGTAAAATATCGTGTTATCTGTAGATGGATGGATGGTGATGATGAATATATTAAACATTCACCTTGAGGAGGAAGGTAGGGAGGAGGGGGAAGGGGGAAATTTGGAAGGCGCAAACAAAACACGGGAAGGAGCCATGACCCGCTCTTAGGAAAAGAAGCCGAAAACACCCTTTTACATTTAGTATAGGTATAATTATATGTATTACTATGGTTTCTCAAGTTTATACTATCCAATGAGAACACTTTAATGGCTTCAATTCATTTTATATTGAGGTTATTATAGTCTCTCTTGGGTCTTTTACCTCATCTGTGTATCTTTGTTATGACCCCCGCCTTCTCTCAACTTAGTACCGAGGTATTCCAAGTCAATCAAATTAGATTCTTCTAAAGTAAATGCCACGAGGAGAACGCACACGGGAAGTATACTAGTCAATCAAATTAAATTCTATCGAAGTAAATATCATGAGGATAACATACACGGCAGGTATCCTAGTCAATCAAATTAGAATCTTCTTGAAATTTATATCCCGTGTCCCCCGAAGTAAATGCCACGAGGAGAAATATACACTAGGGGAGATATTCCGGCTTTGGAATTAGAAGCTTCTTGAAATTTGCGTCCCGTCATATATTCAACGTAGGGCTGGGGCCACAGATAACACGGTATTTCTGGGCGCTTTATATAGTAAAGCATAGCTGGAGTATAGAAAAGTATAAAAATAGTATAGCCTTATTATAGGCTTTATTTTTATAAAATCTTAGTTATATTTTATATAATGATCAATCAATAACTTTAGATCCTGATTTTAAAAATTGTATCTAAAAGGAAGTGAGAATGTTTCTTCTGGATTTACTCAATCATATACTCTAATAGATTCGTTCTCTTCCTAAAAAGAATACTAAGATCCTATAAATAATAAAGAGTAGCAAGATTATTATTAAAGCAAAAATGAACTAGATTATTCTGCTTTAAGTAATTATCAGTAGCCCAACCCTAAACTAATATTATATCTAAGGGATATAGAACAATGCCACGAGGAAACAATAGAGTTGATGCCTTTATATAAAGCAGAGCTAGATTATAATAAAGTATAATAACAGTATAATATCATTATTAAATGCTTTATTCTTTATACTAGGGTATTATTTATCATATACAACCAATTATACAACTAGATCTTTTTGAGGGAATATATTACTCAATATAAAAGATGAAATAAGAGCCGATCTTCAAATTATAAATAGTATATAAAAATTATCCTCCTCGATTTGCTCAATCACATACTTGATATAGCTTATCCTTCTTCCAAAAAATCTACTAAAAAACTATAAATAATAAAGAGAAGCTAGCTTATTATGCTTTATATAATTACAAAATGCACAACCCTAGCCCAAAGCAGAGACAGGAAGATATTCGAGCGCTGAATTACTAGTCTACTGGGTAGGTAGAAAATTTGCATCCCGTCAAATACCGAACCGTCATATCCGACTCCCGAGGGACATGGGACAATGCCACGAGGAAACAGAGACGGGAAGACATTCAAGTTTAGAATTACTAGTCTACTAAGTAGAATTTTCTTGAAAAGACCCAACATCATACCCGAAGTAGTTTAGTCAATGCCACGAGGAAAATATATTCGGGAGAAGAAATACTCCCGTTTTCAAGTTATAATCCTCTTGATACTTTGTCCCGTCATCCGAACTACCAAGGTATCGTCATTCCCGATTCCCGGACCGGAGGACTGTATAAGAAATGCCACGAGGATACAAATCATACCATTTCGGGAAGATGTTTGGGTATACTCGAGTTTTCCACCCGATTTTGTTGAGAAGTTAGAGCTCTATCCCGGCAAATACCGGTCGCCATTCTTGATTCCTGAAGGACTGACTGTCCATGCAATTGGTTGACTGTATATGTTGACTGTCTAATTCAATTACCGGAAGACGGGTAGCTCCTTCGATTCTGAGACCATCCCGCGTTTCTTCTCAAGATCGTTCAACTACTTGCAAGAAAGGACCAGTATAACCTTATTGGCTACCTTAGAGAGGGAAATGGGGATAATGAGATCCGCTGTTCTATTGTTTTATAGCTGTTGTATATTGGATAAAGCTAGTTCGATGATACTAATATCGATTGTATTTGTATTAATATTTTAGTGAAACGGATACAAAATGAAATAGATTTAAGTATTTCCACTAGCTATAACTATAAAATCTTGTTGATTAATTATAATTAATTCAAAATGTTAAGGTTATTCAGAAATATCTATATTTCATTATGAGGATTTTAATCATTGATTTGTATATTTATTATCATATTTTTCTTTTGTAATTATTACTAGTTTTTTATTTAAATATAAATCTTCGATAATTTAATGAATTTTGAATTCCAATTGTAAAAATGTAGTAGTGATTTTGAAGTTATATAGTGATAACGAGTAACCGCTACTACTTTGGTATAATTTTTATACATTTTTTTTATATAGCAATCGATAGTTCTTGTATTTCAGTAGATAAGAGGACTTAGAGGAAATGAAATGGTTTGAGGGCCTTTGTATTTTATTGGATATAATTTACCAAAAGAAACTTTAATTCCAAGACATTTGATGTTGTATTTGAGTATAAATCCGATTCAAGCTTTGAATCTAAGATATATTGGAAGAATCCTATCAATTTCTTTCAAAAGTATAAGTACTTTATTTCCATATTCAAAATTGGAAGGAACTACGGATCCGATTTCAATTTAGTTTGTGATGGATATAAATATTGAAACGGATATACAATAAATGCAAATATTCAAATGGATGTGAATAGGATCTAAACACCCCCATTCCCTATATGGTAGGTAAATCAAGTTGTTGAGAGACTTGTTCAGAGTTCTTACTCAGTCTTCACGCAGTCCTTCCTTTCTCACTAATACTCTTGCCCTTTTACTACAGTTGATTGGCTTGAGCATCTGATTTAAGATTGATATACCAAACGTCTTAGATAGAGGAGTACCTTGATGGGCAAGTTCATCGACGATCCAATGTTGTCTCCATTTGAATACTACCCCCTTCGTTCCTGCCTCATCTAGCACTAATTAGCGAATCTTGAGGGAATACTTCATCCATCTTCCAAGATCGCTCTAAATGTAGGATAACCCAATGGAATGAAAAAAATAAGGTAAAATGAAATGGTAATTGTCGTTCTCCAGCTTTGCTTTGCTTTCCGTATGTATATATTAATGAAAATATGAAAGAAATATTATTCTATCCTAGCATAGCATATCTACTGACTTGGATACTAGGTAGGTTTGAAGTCGGCACATCTTCGGCAGCGGACTTGGGGCACTCAGAAAGACTCAGACTCGGATGTTGACTTGTATGTGCAAGTACATCACAACTTGAGGAAAGCCTCTCAATCCATATCCATATCTCTCTTCACAGCTGTCTATAACTTCCCAATCGTGATTCAAGATATCTGCATCTTTGGTGTTCTCGAATGGTCTCTTGGAATGATCATCACACCATACACTTTATGAGGTTTATTGAGAGGGACAAGAGAATTCGTTTTCAACATCACAAAGATTCAGAAGGTTTGTTGATCAGAGCAGGTTTGTTATTAAATTTTAGAGTAGTTGTGCGGCCGCCGCTGGTATCATCGGGCTTTGAGTTACTCCGATCCGTCTTTCAGCCTGGCCCTCAAACATCAAGTCGAAATCAGAATATATCATTTCAATCAGTTCTCCATTGATATTCCATAGTCTAAACCAAAGTCACTCATGGTCTAGATTGTTCCCAAAAGCTTGCCATTCAAGTTGCCCAATATGGCACCTCGAAAAGCTATGCAGTATGATGATTACAGGCAAGCGGTGCAACAGGTATGCCTTGCCGCAGTATCCATCGTATTTCCATAATTGACTTCTGAAACAGATCATATTATCCTCCTCTGATGCCGATTATCTCGATCAATTGATACCTGCCCTCAAAGATGCCACTCTATCTAATAGAACTCCCGGACTCATACGAAGCCTGTCGCAATATGCGGACGAACGCGAGGCTGACATCGAACGGATTGGCTTGACTAAACACGAAGAATTTCTGGCATCCGTTAACCAGCTACAGCAAGTCCGAGAGGGAACCTCCCAGCTTACATCTGAAATTTTGAAGCTTAACCAATCCATACAGGCGAGCACGGAACAGCTAGCTGCACAAAAGGAGGCACTGGTGGACACGAGATCTGTCCGTCAGAATATTGCGGAGGCTTCTGAGGCGTTGAAGGAATCTTTGAAAGTACTACATGCCGTCAACCAGGCGCATGATTTGATACGGAAGAATCAATATTATGCAGCTCTTAAGGCGCTGGACGATTTACAGAACGAGCATTTGATTCCGACAATTCAGAACAAATATGCTACCCAACACAATCTCGCAGAGATAATTCAAAAGTCGATTCCCTCCTCGCAGAAAGCCATCTCAGAAGCAGTAATGAGTGATTTGAATACTTGGCTTTATCGCATTCGTGAGACGTCTCAATTCTTAGGGGAAGTGGCATTTTATCATACAAATATTCGACGGAGCAGGCAGAAGGAGCGTATGCAGGCAAAACCATACCTTCGAAACTTCAAATTAAATTCAGCCATCGAGCTGGTCTATGATGAGAGTGAGGAATTTGACGTGTTGAACAATGAGGAACTCCAGGTCGATTTCGACCCCCTGTTTGAGTGTTTACATATCCATGAGGCGCTAGGTCAGATTGATAAATTCAAAAGCGAATATGCTGCAACAAGAAGACAGCAGAAAGACCTGTTACTTCCAAGCTCGGTGAACTTGACTGATGAAGATAGCGAACACTATTTGAGTGCCTTGCTGGAAGGCATTGCTGGCTTCGCTATAATAGAAAAGGCCACCATGCGGAAAGCCCATAATTTACGTTCTCCAGTTGATGTAGGTAACATGTGTTTACACCCGAGAAATTGCGATTGAGCTAATTCTTTCCAGGTCGATGAGCTTTGGGATTCGATGTGTCATGCCGCCATCACTGCTGTCTCCAAGGCCTTAGATAAGTTCGATGACCCTGATGTTATTTTGCAAACCAAGAATGTCATAGCTTTGTTCATACAGACAATGGAGGTAAGTTTGCAAAGCGCAGCACATATCGTGGCCGTTATTAACTTCAAGTCTTAGGGCTGGGGCTATTCTGTGGCTGTCTTAGATGCCTATGTGCTCAAGCTTTTCTACAGATATGCTGATCTGCTCAAGCGGAAATTCAGTACAGACTTTCAGCAGGTCAGTAGCTGTCCCACTTTTCTAGAGAACATAAATTGACTCTAATAGATTGTGTCTACGGACGAATACATGCCTATGCCCGTCAATAGCGAAGAAGACTTTGACAAGATTATTCAAGTCAGTTGGTATGTGCCAGACAGACCAAAAGAAGAATACACGTAAGTGCTAAGAGAATCGTCATCTGCCCCTATCATTCTGACAGTCATTAGGTTCCCTGGAGTATTGCCATTCTCTCAGATGTATCCGATGTGTTGTATTGACATCAGAAACTTTTTGAATCGATTCTATTTCATAATGGATGACCATTTTCAACAGCCAAGTATTATTGACGAGACACTAAAGAAGGTATGCATGGCCAATTCCGTTCTGCTATCTCTGCCCAAGCTAATTTGATTGTTTTTGTAGTCGATAGACGAGCTTCTGTCCGAGGATATCTGCGACCCGCTTGTGGAAAAGCTGAGTACCCAATACCTCGGCCAGATTGTCCAAATTCTCATAAACCTTGAGTATTTCGAATCGGCAAGTCGAGAACTGGAACAACTCCTCTTGGCCGCCCGATCATCCACATCAGCTGGCGGCCCAGTTGTTCTCGCTGCTACAGAGAAGTTTTCAAGCAGCAAGAAAGATGCCGAAAAGCGTATATTTGAAGTCGTCAATTCCAAGATAGACGATCTAGTCGAGACGGCAGATTATGATTGGTATGGTTTCTCGGTTAATCCAGTCTCCTGAACAAAGACTAACACTTCACCCCTACAGGATGGCACCTTCTCTAGTATCTGAGCCCAGCAACTACATGCAAACCCTAACAACCTATCTTTCCAACATCATGAGCTCCACTCTCCTCACCTTACCCCGCGAAATCAAAGAGCTCATCTATTTCGATGCTCTTTCCCACGCCGCAAACATGATCCTCGTAAGCTTACTCCTCTAACATCTCTCACCAACCCAACCCAACCCCACTAACCATCAACCAGGCCATCCCCCTCTCCCCCGAAGTTAAAAAAATAAACCCCCACGGCGTCGCCGCCCTCGCAAAAGACGTAGCCTACCTCTCCGAATTCGTCGATTCTCTCGACAACGCCCTCATCCTAAAAGAAAATCTCGACGAATTGCAGCAAACGGTCTACTTGATGCAAACGGAGAATCCAGATGAGTTTTTCGATATCAGTACTAGGAATAAGAAGTTTGGAAGAGTGGATGCTATGAATGGGCCTAAGATTTTGGAGAAGTATGTGCGCTTTTTTAAATTGGGGTTTCGAGAGAGATTGTACTTGGGGATGTGTGCTAACTTTTATCTGCAAAGACTTACCCATACGATTATGAGTCCCGCGAAGCCGGATCGACTTGCTGGGTTCTCGTCAAGGTTTGGTATGAATAAGTCATAAAAATCTGAGCATTTTGGCCACTGTTCTCGTTGACGACAAGAACATCTTTATAGGTCTTGAAATGCACATGTCACTAAAGTACCCACTAGCAATCATGTTAGAGACATCGACACCAACTATTACTCATACGAGGTATTCGGGAAAACTGTGTGGCATTCACATTCACATTCCCCTGCGCCTATTCTTGCTGCCAAAAAATAAAGCGCGGTCACCCTTAAAAATCAGATCATATGTCCTCCGAACTCCGTCCCTATCACACTTGGTAATCAATCAACAATAACAACTCATGAATGAACCGGATCCTCATCTTATCCAACCTCATAATCGCGCTCGCCTTCAGCATCAGCATCACCTTCACCACCTTCCTGGCGCGCATAATGATGTGCTGCGTCGGTGCCAACAGATGGATCTTGTCGGGGTTGATGCGGGACTTGGTACATTTGCTAGGGCTTTGTTAGATGATGGTTCAGGGAGTGCAAATTGCTTTAGACATGGGATGGGGGATGGAGAACGAACTTGTTGGGGTGGCGGCATGGCTGGATATCCATATATCTCACCCATCTCACCATACATTGGCTGCTGTGCGCCATACTGACCGGGTTGACCTGGAGGAACTTGTGGTTGATACATGTTGGGTTGGTGGCGATATGGATCCTGTTCAGGAGCAATGCCATGGCCACTAAGAGAATAATCTTGAGGCATAGATTGTGGGTGGGAGGGGTGACTAGGCTGTTGAGGGATATTGGACTGTTGAGGAGGAAGCTGTGCTGCACCGGGAGCAGCACCGGGAATTTGTGCTGCAGCTTGCCCCGAGCCAGAAGGTCTCTTTGCATGAGCTGCGGCTTCTTCACGAGGAACAATATCAATCAGGAAATCAAACATGTCTGACTTGGCCAATGCAGAAGCAATATCCGATCGTTGCAAAGTTCGACGCTTATTCTCCTCGGCGTGGATCCATGCTCGCATAGTGAGTTCCGTGATGAAGATATCACATCCCTTGGCGAACAGGATTGGGGCTTCGGCGGAAATCATCTTTACATCGGGGTCGGCCTTCATGACTTTCTTGATACGTGCGAGGGGAAGTTGATGAAGCTTGTAGTCATGGGTATCACCCTCGAGATGATTGATGATTTGTTGCCAATAGGTTGTGAGAATGTCCTTGTATTGCCCATGCAGACCTTGGTTGACCTAGTCGTCAGTTTAGCTTTCATTCTCTCAATATATAGATGTTCAATTTTACATTTGCCCACGCTCCAGTGTAGAAATCCGCAACGGGCGCGAAACCTTGTTGAGATAACTATTTCCCTGTTAGTAGGATTCGAAGCGCACATATAAGTATTTCTAACCAAAGCACTGGCACCTATTCCGCGAAATAAATTAGTACATGCTTGATATGGACAGGATACTGGCAAATAAACAAGTGAAAAATGTGAACATACCATAATGACCGCCTTGACTTGTATCGTAAATAGGCTGGGCAGCAGGACGTTGTTGTGAAGCGGGTTGCTGCTGCTGCTGTCCATGGGACGAGCCGGGTGGTGGAGGATCCATATTTGTTTTTATGTTGGCTTCGCCCGATCGGTGTTGAGGTTGTACGTGGGTAAAGATCTCGAATTGGTCGCAAGTTTGAGCTTAGTAAAAGTTCGTCCAGTTGTTTTCCAGTGTCGAAATTAACTGGCGCCTATTGAATCGGGAGGCGTAAAAAGTAAACAATGTTGCGGGTACAATCGACTCGAATTCTCGAATCCTGGAGACGGAAGCTGATCCTACAGATGGATGGATGTATGCGACGATGAACGATGGCAGGCTGGCTGCAGATGGGGGCTGACTTTGGGGGGGTTTGCAGGTACTTAAACAGATACTGAATGTCTCTTTAATTGAGGAGCTTTCTCCCTTTGCGCGACGAGTCGCGATAATGGATTACTTGTTGATGGAATTTGTGCTTTTGATTGGTTGGGAGTTGATAAGGTTGTGGGAGCTTGATGGTTGTTTGGACTGGATTAGAAGCGGCGGACGGACAATTTAAGCGGCAGCGCGGGGGGATTGGATGGGCTGAGGACTTGGCTGTCTGTCGTACTTCTGAAGCTTTGATGATTCGGCTCAAGAATTATAAGAAATTATAATTTTTATATCTTCAATGAAAACTTCTTATATGGATGGGATGAGATGGAATGAGATGGTGAAATGATCAATTGAATTAAAGTGATGTTCTTGTGCTATATATTCATCATCGTCTACTTCACATTTACAAGTCACAAGAAATATGTCTATCTATGCAGGGCTTTTCGACAGCCCTCTTCGTTTACTTTGTGCGTTGGCTCACTATGCAACATATATGCGAGCAGGGCGAACAGTGAGGCAAGAGATGAAGGAGAAGTAAGGCAAATATTCGAGTAAGAGGCAAAACAAGGCAAAAGGTACAGGAAGGTAGGATCAGTTATTGTATCGAACTTCGACAACAATAAGTTCATCAGTTGGAGACTCGAATTCGCGGAGTTCCGGGTTCTAGATGTTTGCTTTTGAGTGATGCTAGATTTTTGAGTAGCTCACGTGTTGCTAATAGTCACGGGTATTTTGATATGGAAATCTCCGTGATCACTAAGTTATAATTGGTTAGCTTGCAGAAATAATCCTCTAAGCTCTAAGCGACTTTTGATCCACTTCAATATTTTATTTTCTCATAAAGGTCTTTCAATTCTCTTCTTCATTCCAATTGAAACCGCGATCAACAATAAACATGGCCGACAATGATCTTTCTGACATTCAAATCCAGCAATTGTTGAAGGATGCTGAGGAGCGGATGAGAAACACGAAGCAAGTCATCACCAGTGATGACGGCTCTACCAAGTTTTCTCTTCCAAAGTAAGTTTTACATACAATATGACTTTTTGACAATTGAGCTTTGCTAACATTCATTCTTCACAGCCTTGGTAAATCTTCAACATCTGCGATTGCTCCATATATCACTTCGGCAGGACATACTGCACGCGTGGACACTTCTCAACTCGTACCTACCAATGAGCGAAAGCTTGCCAACGGTGTGCGAACGGTGGAAGATCCTGTCATTATGAAGGCAAAGGTTCTTGCGGTAAGAAATTTCTTCTGTTTTATCTCGCGCTGTGTCCTTCTGTGAGGAAAATTTACCCATATAACGGACGCAGGATCTGGCCCCGTCTTGGGCGCCACCCTGCACAAGCTGAAGATTTACATTCATAGTTACTCTGAGAAGAAGCCACTATTCCAGTCTTTTGTTACAAGTATTGGTTATTGAATAGCAGGCTAATATTACTTTACAGGAACAACAAGCTACTGCTGGAGCCAAGTGGTACAACATGCCCAAAACACTAGTTACTCCTGAGCTCAAACGCGACCTTCAACTTCTCCGTCTTCGAAGTGTATTGGACCCGAAACGGTTTTACAAGAAAGACTCAGCGAGAGCGGAAGTTCCCGAGTACTCTCAAGTGGGCACCGTCATTGAAGGTCCTACCGAATATTTCTCTTCTCGACTCACCAACAAGGAACGCAAACAGACTTTCGTCGAACAAGTCCTTGCTGGCGAGCAGTCGAACCACAAGTTCCGCAACAAGTACAATGATATCCAAGCTGCGAAGGCTAGTGGCAAAAAAGAACATTACAAGAAGATGAAGGCCTTGAGAAAAAGAAGGTGAACTCGATGATACATCGGATGACTTCGTGAACAGTCAACCCTTCATACTTCATCAACTACTACATGCATGGTCAACTTGGTGTATACCAATTGCATAGGCTTGATCAAATATTGACACGGGCATCCTGTCCGCTTGAAAGCTCTATTGCTATCATCACACCGGTATGTTTCCAATCTCTTTACATTATTCAATTCCCATTCCCCCCTTGTGTTATGATGAAAAAAATTGTCAACAGTTATCCCTGTCTTAAAGCATACATGTGGATTTTTATTTATTAATTAGACTCTGAACACAATACCATCCCTATTGTTATTTGATTTGGTTTCATGAATTGTAACTAACAATTTCAACAGATATTCTTAGTAGGTCTTGTGCTACGTGAAGTGGCCACTGGGGGACAATCCATATGAGCACCACGAGCTCTGGCGGAAATGCAGTTCAATACTTGTGTTGATCGTTGCGTCTGCCACGACTTTGACCTGTGGCTGCATAGGTTTGAGCTTTACGCAGGCTATGAATCTGGTTGGTACCCCATGTGACTCATTACACAGTGAAGAGTGTCATTTAATGGGTTCCCTCAACTGGTCAAAGAATTAAAGAGTTTTAATGGCACTGGAAAAGTTAAGTTCGCTCTCATTTTACTTATTGGTATACTTAGTCCGTCTTTTGATCTGTGGGAAACTTTTCAAAGTTATGGAAGAAATGGTGGACACGACTGAATACGTTGTTCTGCGTTCTCCAGACAGACTCGAGCATATAGTAAATAATTGAAATCATGACGCATTTTAATAACTATCATGACCTGTTGAAATTGTGACCAAGTGCTTATTCTTATGTGTGCGAAAAATAGTTGTAAGATATTGTCCACCTAGTCAAACAGTTGTCAAGTGAGGGTTATGGAATGTCGGGAGAATGTCAGAAAAATAGTATGGGATGCCTTTCCGGGTGTATCACAAAAATAAATCAACCGACTTTTGGGATGCCATGGCTCACATCCTGGAGAACCATTGGTGGACAAGAGCATGGATTTCCCGGCAGGTCTCGAGTCCAACATTGTATATTAAATCTGTGGGTAATATGAGATCATCATCGGGAATTCATTGAGAACAATAACCTTCTAAGGTGAAATACGATTCTCGGTCTTTTGATGGGCTTGACATCGGACAGAAATGGGGACAATTGAGGATGTCGAAGCTTTTGGACGTCGGCAACAGGGGGCTCCTCCTCACCTTAGCGAAGATCACGAATAAGTTTCAGTCATCGTGTCATTACATCCATGGTAAAGAAAAATGAAACCTGGTGAGATGAAACACATGGATGACAGTGGCTTGGAAAGGAGGTGTTATTATTGATCCCAACCTTTTTTCTACCACCCCCGAAGAAGTTGAAGAATCCGAGAAGATTCTATCATTCCCTACCTAGGCCAGAGATGGACACAGAGCCCCTATTGATGAGAAAGTACACGAGCAGCAGAGCAAAGATGGGTAGGGGATTTGGTCCGAAAGTGTATTTCTATTTCTATGGTTCCTACGAATCGGCCTTTGTGTGTTACGCATGGAAAAGAGATATATACGAGTATTGGTTTCGTACCGTACACGACGAGGGCGGGTATCAATATCGTCATTCTCTTTGGCGGGACGACACATTTTGTGGTTTGGGGACGAGGGGATATTGAAGGGAGGTATGGGATTGAAAAAGAGGTAGTAGATGCTGGGTGAAAGTCATGTTTACCGGGCTATGCGTGTGGACAATCTTCTGAATATTGAAGACTAAATAAAGGTCATCTCTTATGCTGCGATATTCTAAACTGTGGGTGGTATTCTTCAATCGAGAGAGGTTTAGATGGATTTGACTCGACGACCTAGAGTAGCTGGTGTAGGAACAACGTGCCAGCAGCACATATTGGCCAACAAGCACCCTTATCTAAACTGACCAACTTCTACTCGAGATTAACATCCTCATTAATCAATGACGATCTGTATATCTATCTAACTTTCATTATTGGACCGAACTTCCGAGACACCAGATAAGTGAACATACTTGCGTTTGCTACTTATCTCAACCTTGATGCAATTCAAACTTGGAGATCGATAATATGCCAAAATACTGTAATACAAACATGGCTTTTATATTTGAAATTATCCAGTACACAATATCAACTTGCTGTTACACTTGACTTCCCGAATTCCATGCAGTGATGAATTGACATCGGCTACCGGTGAGCTCAATTCACCAGAAATGATATCTAGCATTGGCCAGTTTAACAGGATATATAGATCTATAATAGGCTTCAGAACAGCAAATATTAGAGTTACTGCAGGAAAGAATCAAGGAATTCAATGTATTATAATTTCTAGATCAAAATAATTATTAACTGATTTAATTGATGAAGATGAAGGGTAGTCGTTGAAACAAAAGCTTGACTGTCGGATAAACCTCGGCCTTAGACATCCGACTCTCGAAATATTCGATATCATAGAACTCTACCCAGAAGGTCCAATTCGACATTTTCCACAACTTCTAGCCAAGCATGGCTACTTCGATTTTCACGCGCATACCATGGCGCACAGTTAGTAAGTTGGGAGTATCGGTATGCCATTAGAGCCCCGTACTGCTCAAGGAACGAAGACAATTGACATTATTGGCAGGCAAACCCAGTCTTCTCGAATGCCTTCAGAACACCACAACGTGCAATTGCACCCCTCACATCACAATCTGTCAGGCATATGTCGAATACACCGTACGCGAATTCTAATTCATAGCAAGATCCGGAGGCTAACGTTACCACAGTAATGCACCAAACCCCGCTTCTACAGAGACAACCTCGATGTATTTACCCAAATGCCATTCATGGACCCAGCACTTCCTAACCGGCCTATAGAACCCCGCCCGCAGCAGAACCTACCGCCGAAGATATCTTCGATGTCCGCTACCCCCGTAACGTCCAAGCCATCTACCTCCGCCCCCTACGTCGCGAAGCCGAATACGGGGTCCCCTCCTGCGATCTACAACTGCGATCCTACAACATCCGCAATCTGGAATTCTTCTCCGACTTCGCTCTCCGCGCTGCATACTATCTCCATTTACCTGCATTTGGACCTGTACCTTTGCCTAAAATGATCGAGAGATGGACGGTACCAAGGTCGCATTTCATTCATAAGAAGAGCCAAGAGAATTTTGAGAGAAAGACGTTGAGGAGGTTGATTCAGATTAAGGATGGACATCCGGAGACGGTGGCATTATGGTTGGCGTTTTTGAGGAAACACGCATATTACGGGATAGGAATGAAGGCGAATGTTTGGGAGTATGCTAAGATTGGTAGGGTTTTCTCGTTATGGGTTTGGATGACACTAACATATTTATGATATAGGTGTCGGCAAGGATATGGATGCTAGTATGGAGGAGATGAGGGAAGTTATGGCACCACAGTGGGAGCTGTTTGGTAGGAGGCAGGGTAATGAGACGTCGGACAAGGTTATGGAGATTCTGAATAGGGAGAGCTTTAAGGCGGCTGTGGGAGGCAGCGCTCCCGGAGTTAGAGTTGAGCCGTGAAGCGGATTGGTTTGACATCATGAGCAAAGTCTCAAAATAGGACTCGAAGAGGAAAATCGGTCACCAAGACAGAATATATACATGGGCACACACATATGAACTGTGGAGTTTGAACCAGGGTTGATGTATTGTATGCATATGTAGAAGTAAAAGGATCAAGATATTAGCTCCAGTAGCTTTCCATCAACCCCTGTTCATTCCAGACATCAGAAGCCAATCCCAATATTGAAGTCTTTTCATACCCCAATTTCCAAATCACTATTTCGAAATAATAATAAAACAGTCACGTGTCTTACGTTGAAGTTCATTTTTGCGGCAAAACCTCATCTCGCGTGCAGCCATCCACTCCTTTTCCCTTTTCCATCACCAGCCAACCCCCCAAGATCAGCCATGCTCAAGAGTCACCCACCCCGGCAGCGCCTCCAGAACGTGAAGTCACGAATTCTGCACGCTGCCCTCCCAAACCGCAACCACATTTGTCAACGACACCAAAGCACGAAACCCGGCCCACCTCGAGTAATATTTTCCGGCATCCAACCCACGGGAATCCCACATCTAGGGAATTATCTCGGAGCGCTCAAGAACTGGGTACGGCTACAGGAGGAGGCGGAGCCAAGTACGAAATTATTTTATTCCATTGTGGATCTGCATGCGATTACAGTGCCGCAGAAAAAGGGGGAGTTGAGTAGGGCGAAGAAGGAGACGTTGGCGACGCTGTTGGCGATGGAGTTGGATCCGGAGAGGTGTACGCTGTTTTATCAGAGTTCGGTAGGTGTGGAGTTTGTGGAGTTTGTGGAGTTTTTTGGGTTGGTGTTTGCGGGGTGGGGTGGGGGTGGGATATGGGAGAGGGGGTGGTGAGGGGTGTACGAGCGAGGAGATTGGTGGGGGATTGGGGTTGGATAACAGCTGATTTGTGTGTGTCTGAAGGTTCCTGCGCATTCGGAGTTGATGTGGATATTGAGTTGTACGTCTTCGATGGGGTATTTGTCTCGTATGACACAATGGAAGGTTTGTATCTCTTTCACTTACCTCCTCTATCTATTTCACCTATTCATCCCACTCACATGTAACAGAGTAAATTATCTCTCGAAGATGATGCTTCACCGTTAGATGGTGGCAAGAAATCTCCAATCAAACTGGGATTATTTTCATATCCTGTTCTGCAAGCTGCGGATATTTTGGTTCACGGGTATGCCTAGTTGATACCCGCTCACCTTTTTATTCTTCTCCCATTATGCTATTTTATATCGGAAACAAGGGCTAATAGTATACCGCCAAGAGCAACCCACGTCCCCGTCGGCGAAGATCAAGCCCAGCATCTTGAATTTGCCCGTGAATGCGTCACGAATTTCAACCATGCACATAGACACTGTCTCATTGCACCGGAAACCATTCTTTGTAAGTTTTCCCTCCCTACATCTCCTCTTTTCTTCCTACCCTCAATCTCTCTCTCTCCATCTCGAAAGCTAACACGCGCCTCCAGCCCCTACCAAACGCATAATGTCACTCACAACCCCCACTCAAAAAATGTCCAAATCGCACCCCTCGCCCCTCTCCCGCATCCTCCTCACCGACTCCCCAGAAACCGTTAGCAAGAAAATCACATCCGCGCAGACCGACTCCCGCCACAGCATTTCCTATAGTCCCACTGAACGACCTGGCGTGACGAATCTGCTTACGTTATGGTCATCATTCGATACCCAATTCCCGAAAAGAAACCCAAGTCAAATAGCTGCTGAATGTGCGTTGAAGGGGTTGACTCTGAGGGATGTGAAGAGAGAGGTGGCTGAGGTGGTGAATAAGGGATTAGAGGGCATTAGCAAGGGGTACGAGAGGGTGTTGGGGGATGAGGGGTATGTGGAGGAGGTAGCTAGAAAGGGGGGGATTAAGGCGAGGGAGAATGCGGAGGAGACGATGGTTAAAGTTAGAGAGGCGGTGGGGTTCTAGATGAATTAGGGGTAGGAAAATGTAAGATCATTGTATCAAATGAGATGAGGGAATGTACAGTATAAAAGAGAAATGAATGTGTTAATACGAGACATTCGGGGAGCAGATGAAGATAGATTAACATTACCCGGTGTATCATAGTATCCTACCAATAAATCAAGACTATCATTTACTATATACCACAAGACCTTTTTGCCAATTTTACCTTACATTTGTAGATGAATGAATGTAAATGTGCGTGGCAGTCGAGGGAAATATAGATTGATGCACAGTAGATGTTAGATGTTCATCTTTGGTTGCTGTAATGTAATGTAATATAATGTCACATTTCCACATTCTACATTCTATTCTAGGTGAGCGAGCACCTGTTCCAGAGTTTGTGAGATTTCACAATTTGGAGGGCTAGGTTAGGTCAAGATGAATAACACAGGTTTCAGCTACATTGCACGATGACCCATCTCAGAGTTAAAGGAAGTCTTTGATTTATGTTGATATTTATCATCTGGTTCCATGCATAACACACATTATCCGGTTGTATAACCTTTTATGTTAATTCGAAGAGCCAGCAGACTTTCATTCATCCTCGGCGCTGGCATGCTCAGATTTTCTTTTACTTTCCCCGATAGTCCGGGCCATTTAAACCTTCATATCCTTCAACTTATCCGCCGCCTCAGTAGGTGTGGCACCAACGGGCGCGACCTTTGGTTTTGGTGCTTTGTCAACTTTGCCCTTTGCCTTTTGAGAAGTGGTGTCTTTGGGTAGTTCTTTGGTGAAAGCAATGAATTCAGGGGCGCCGGGAAGGTATTTGCGGAGAGGTGCTGGGACGTTGAAACCCTATTTATAGTCAGCAAACAGAATGGCTAGGTAAAAATATCCCTCAACTTACCTCTTCGGTTTGGAAGTTCTCCAACAGACAGCACAACGCACGTTCAGTTGCACATAAAGTGGAGTTGAGTGCGTGGACATATTTCTTACGGATCTCAGTTTGCAACTTGGTACCATATCTGATCTCAAGAGCTCTGGATTGATAGTCTGTGCAATTTGAGCAGGAGACAAGCTCCTTGTATTCTCCTTGGAAGGGGAACCAAGCCTCAAGATCATACTTCTTGGCAGCCGCGTTGTTAAGGGCACCTGAGACGATTGCGACGACTCTGTAGGGGACACCCAAAGATTGGTAGAATTCCTCGGAAAAGCCGATCATACGGTCGAATTCCTCCCATGACTTTTCTGGGTCGGTGAGGACAAATTGCTCAATCTATATCAATTAGAGAAGGTGCTCTACACTTGTGATTCAAGGGAACCATACCTTTTCGAATTGATGAACTCGAAAGATTCCCCATGCATCTCTACCGTGAGAACCAGCTTCTCGTCTATAACACGAAGAGAAACCAGCATATCTTCGAGCATAAGTCAGCCCGAAATCCTCTCACTAAAACTCTCTTAACATACCTAATAGGTACTTCCTTAGCTGTTAACCACTCATCAGCATGGAAAGCTGAAATTGGCTGTTCGGAAGTAGCAATAAGATATTTATCGTTTTGAGAATCTCCGTCAACAACCTTGTAAAGTTCCTCATCAAATTGCTCCAACTGTGCCGTCTTCGCCATGTATTCCTTCAGCATGAATTGTGGGGTTTGTAATGGTGTATAGCCCTTGCTATCCAAGAACTCTAAGCCATAATTGATCAAAGCCTGGTTCAAGAAGACACCCCACTTCTTCAAGAAATAACCTCTGTGTCCAACAACCTTTACTCCACGCTCTGGGTCGTAACCATCCAATCTCGTCAGAACTTCATGATGTGAAAGAACGTCCCTCTTTTCTACAGCAACGCCTTCGGGAGCCCAGGTACGTAATAACTCGTTGTGATCCTAGTACCTATTAGCCACACCGGACCCGAAGAGACTCGTATATTGCTCAAATGTAAATACCTCATCGTTGTCCACATGCACAGATTCGTGAACAAAGTTGCCGATCGTGCCAACCTTTTTCTTGAGAACCAGTTCTTTCTCTGCTGCCGCATCAAGCCAAGTCTTCTTTTCCTTCTCCAAATCGGCTTTTTGCTGTAATAATTCGCTAGCATCCTCCTTGGCCTTCTTCTTTGCGCCGATGGCTTTTTGAGTTTCGTTGATCTTGCTATTGACTTGTGTAGCTGCATACTGGGCTAAAATAGTTCATAAGTACGTGTATACTTGGGGTCCTTCTGCTTGCTGGCTTACTTTTGCGGTGATCCTCGTACATAGCAATCACTTCGTCAACAGCCTCTTCAGGAGCATATCTGCGGCGCTGAGAATCCTTGATCTTTTGTGGGTTACCGCCCCTTTCAGTAATGAAATCGTTAACGTCAAGCATCTTGGAGATAATTTGGCACACTCAAACAAGTATACGATGAGAGTTTCTGTATATTTCGCCCGGTCAACTTTTCGAGTCACTAGGAAATTGTTCAAAGTACGATTATTGGTGGGGGTCGCGATTGTAAGATTCCGCTAAGATAACATTCTGGCTGATTAGATGAGGCACGTGATACATATTTTGATATCAACCCCTTTTCTTTCAGCTCTCTTTGGCGGATCTCGTTGTCAGTTGATTTCGGTACATGCTGACTGGATGATGAACATCAAATCAATAAGACACCGTGTGGCTCTCTTCAATAAGAGACAGCGAATACCATTAAACTTAAACGTAAACTACCCTTTGTAACATTAACGTCAATGAAGACAGAGCAAGACATCTATCTAGAGATACCTCTTCCAACTCCAAAACTCCCATGATATATTAACCACATCCAGACATGAAACGTCATAATCCAACGTATAGCCCAGACTCTCCCTCTTCTTACATAACAATGCATTTGGAATCTCCCGAAGGCTCATTGGGGTTTTCCCCCTTCTCGATTTGCTCAATCATAAGCTCAAATCCTTTGGTAACATTCTCGTTGTACCGTGCACTTGCTTCTGTGAAAGCACATTTGATCTTCTCAGCCAATGCCTTGCCTTGCTCAGCAGTGACTTGACGCTGCTCTGGTCGAAGATCACTCTTGTTACCAACAATTGTGATTGGGACCCATTCAGTGCCCTGTAAGAATCGTCAGTGATCTGTTTCTTCAAAGCAGCCTAAAGGGATAAGTTGAGGTTCCTATCATACCAAGTGATTCAAGATCTTATCCTTGATAACCTCCACCATTTCAAAGGATTGCATTGAAGCAACGGAATAGACAAGCACATAGCCATGAATACCAATGAAATGCTTTGAATTTAAGATACTGTATTCATCCTACAATGTAAGTTCCGTTAGTTACCTCTCAACTATGGGATGTCATGTGATTTTGGTGAAAACGGAGTATCTTACCTGGCCAGCTGTATCAACGATTTCAGTGGCGAATTCTTGCCCTTTGTACTTGATGACCTTGCTGAAAGTATTCTCAATAGTAGGATAATAACTTTCGACGAAGTGGCCGTCGACGAATTGTACAGTAAGTGAAGATTTTCCTGTAGAGAAGAAAGGTTACTTTGCTGTATTATATTTACGTCACTATATTACGGAATAGGTAATTAATACGACATACCAACAGATCGACTGCCTACAATGGCAATCTTGCGTTGTTTGGGTGGTGCGGGCATATTTAAATTATAACAATTTTTAAATAAAAGTGTTCTTGTGTAATAAAGTACAAAGAGAGCGATATATGGAAGAGCTTTGTTATGTTTTGATGGCTCTTGTTCTTGTTCTGGGAAAAGGGGATGGGGCAAGGCTGTGAGGTTAAGAGGTTTGTTAGTAGTTGCTTCAGTGAGTTCAGGTTCTTGCAGCGCTAATGTTTAGGCTGAGTGGACCCAGATCAAGGACCCAGATTAAGCTTGGCTCGGAAGATGAACCTCCCTCCAACATTAAAATTGTGAGTAAAAGGAAGGAAGAGAGGATGAGTTGAGGATGAATAAACTTATATGAATCCAAACATGTATCATAACAAGTCTTTGAAGTGAATGAGCTCATTCCAAGAGTAAGAGGCTCGCAAATAAGCAAATAAGTCATTTCCTGGCACAGATTTGATCATTAGTACTCTCCAGCTTTAGTAGTGCTGTCATGTCTACCAAGACCAGAGGCATCGCCGGAGTTCAACCTCCAGCACACGTCAAACACATAGTAGGTAAGCCAAAGGATTACTCGTTCTGCATCTGCCACGACAACACGCAAAATCAGATGAGCATACTGCTATGCGGTGAAATATCTTCATTTCCAGAACAAATTTGGTAATTGTAATGTCTAAAATATGCTGTTTGGGTAGCCAGAGATTACTCGTGTAAAAACAGCTGCACCCTATGGATATCTTTGATTAAGGAGTCCTCCAAGTCATAGTTTCCCAAAAAGCACCTCTCCCCGTCCTAACAACCGTACCTAGGGTATATTGCAAGATCTTTTTTCCGACCTGAACGCCTAGAATATATCAAGTATCAAAACATCTGTATCATATCCATTGTACCCATTATACCCATGACATCCGTCCAATACGCCTTCTCCAACCGTCTTTCTATATATATCACACATTAGTTCCTTTGATCGCAAGCAACTTCTTGACGAGATCTTCGAGTTGCTTTGTCACAGTAACATGAGGACTGTGCCCATCCTCATTTGGGGCGATCTCATCGTCGGCTGCTTTGTGATAGACGATAAATTCATTAACAGATGTAATTAGGGGCCGAAGTGTTTTCGTTGTTTGCCGCATCCGAATCCGCTTCTCGATGGCCGGGAATAAGCAAAAATGTCCCAAAAGTACAGATAGATATCCAAACGGAACGTTTTTGTGTGATTCATGTTGGGAGTCCGCCTATTGAACGTTAGTATACGGAGGAAAGATTGAACGCAATAACTTTACCTCAAATGTTTTCTCCCGATTATCGACAAAAAGTCGAATTAGTTCATCCAGGGGGTCTTTACTTGTCCCAGTGAAATTGTCAATATTTTTGAGTGCTTTTGTGCTCCACAACGCGAAGTTGATCATCGCACCAATGAGAAGAATCAAATTATCCACAACCACAATAATTTCCTCTTCTGCCCACAAGTTTGACATGCTTTGGAATTTAGCAACGATAACGCGGAGGATCGTGAACATAAGATCTGAGTTCGCAATTGCATCACAAGCTTTTGGATTGTGATTGGTAACATTCACTGTCAACTTCAGGGCCAAAATTTGTTGCTCGCCAAAGCTTTCAAGTGGTCGATTTAAAGCGGTATCGAGGGTGTTGCCTATGACGGGCAAAAATTGACGAATCCACATTGTTTCGTCTTGGGCAGTTCTTGCCACAAGCGAGTGAGATTCAAGAGTGGACAGTGTTAAATAGAAGTCAATCGCTTCCGTTCCATGAGGGAGATCCCATAAAGCATCGCCGTGTGTTAACTTCAAAATCTCGAACAGGCTGGTATTCAGCTCTTCAGAAATTATGTCGCTGGCATCTCCAGCCTCTCTGGTTTGTCGGACCATAAGCTCAAGACATTTCAGAGCCAAGGTTCGAGGTGAAAGTTTACGCGGACTAAGTTCCTTCCATGCCGAAATTTCTAAAAGAGAGTCATGGTATGCTGATATGGAGTTCTGTGCCACTTTTGACATGTTTGTTTTGCGATCTTTTGTCACAGAAACGATGCTTTTCTCGACAAATATGAGACGGCCGAGCAGCTTCGCAATACCCTGTCGTTGAAGTTGCGATACCACAAGAGGTACGCTTCCCTCTGCCAAGATAGGTATGACGAGGGAAGTCATCAAGAACCCTGATACAATATCAATTTCTTGGCCAATATCGACAAACAGTCGTTGTTCAGCCCCATGGGCACGGAATTGGCGAACAAACACCTTATCCTTCATTTTGATGCCCAGATCTAAAAGACCGGAGCGTCGCATGGATGTCGGCTTTGCGACGGGTTTCCCAATACGATCGAGTAGATCTTCCACTTCATCGGCAAAACGACTGTTTGCTCCCGCTTGCCTCAGTTCATGAATTGTGCGAATGGCGGTGTTCGCAGCTTCATCCTCTTCCTTTTCTTTTTCGCGAAAGCTCGACAAGGGCTTCAGGCTGGGTATAGAGCCTCGGCGACGGTGTGATATCTGTGGAGTTTCCAACGGCATGTCAAATGCTAATTGCTCCATCATGTCTTCCTCAACAAGCATAGAACGCTGCCGACTGTACGTGAATTTTGGCCCTGTGATCTGAGAGCCTTGACTGGCCGGTGCAGATGCAGTAAAGGTAGGGACTTCCGGGGTAGGACTTTGAGCTCTCGAGTTATTCAAATGTTGAAAATGATCTTCAACCTGAGAATTATCATGTTCGTCCCCAGAATCATCATCATCATCTTCTTCATCGTCCAAATCTTGACGCGGCGTCTGCTCGACTAACGAATCAATAAGTCGTTTGCGAGGGGTTATGCTTGTCGGTTTTGCAAATCCCGCAGTTTTAGATAACTTTCTGGCCATTGGATATACCTTCTTCGGCTTACCTACGACAACAAGGGAGAGCTCGTCCCCACTAGTAGTTGCAGTTCCTTCTGTTTCAAGATTGTTATCAAGAAGAGCATCCAATTGCTTTGCGGCCTTTGGCGAGAAAAGTCGTGCCGAGTGTGTAGATGACTTTAAGCTCACTACACTACCGGCAGATGCTGGGGACTCCAGTAGCTGTGACTCCGGTGTTCTATTTCTCTGCTTTTGTATACCTCGAGGTAGTGTTGCCTTTTTCGGGATTGACTCCGAAATAGGCTTGGCATAAACGACCTGTCGCTTTGGTAACGAATTTGGAGCTGGTTGGGCTTTTCTAATTTTCGGATTCGGCGGCGCCTTGAGAGGAGCTGCAGGAAAGTTGGCAAGCTCCAGCGGGGGCCGCTCAACTGGTAACAATTTCCTTTTCTTTCGCTCAGGCATCTCCACCTGTTTATTGCTGACGGCTCCTGTTATACCCAAGTCCTTCGCTTTGCGGACAACCACCGGTTTCTGCGTGGCTTTTGGGGGTAATTTGGAAAGGTTCTTCCTCACCGAGAGAGGCTCCTCATCCTCACTGAGTGGCAAATCATATATGGTAGGATCTTGCTGAGATTTCTGTAGAAGCTTGGAAACATTCTTTCGCATTATAGGCTTATCATCGTTGTCAATCGGCGGTACATCGTACAGCGTAGACTTAAGCTTGACTTTCTGCGTAGACTTAGTAACGTTCGTCCGCATTAGAGGAGGGTCCTCCTCATCGCTGAGTGGCACATCGTATAAATCGACGGCAGGTTGTATGTTTGAGACAGAAGATTTGCTGGATGAAGACTTGTGAATACTGCGAGACCTTTCGGGATTCGATAAGGTAGGTTCATTGTTTGTAGTGAGGCCCGCCTTTGTTAAATCGGAAGGTGTTGCACGATGCACCAATTTTGCATAGGTATGACCTGCAAGATGCTTTCGTGATGGCTTTCCATAGGTGGTTATTGTTTTTCTAGGCCTTGCCGTATTTTCATAAGCCGCCATGGTGTGTGGTAAATATGAATGACTCGGGGAGTGTGAAGGTGAAGCTGTGCATCTATTTGTTGGAGAGGCTGCTATCGCAAATCGATTAAATAACGGAATATAGCTTCTGCAGGGCCTCAAATGGTATGATCACAAAGACATTCAACTGCAGAAAGTGATTCTGAAAGGAAGTGGTTGTTGCGATAATTTCTAAGAAAATGATTTGTAAATTTGAGGTGACAAAACTGTGAATGGAATGATTAAAGCATTGAATTGAAAGAGCACTAAGATTACGGCATCAGCATCGGTATCGGATATACTTTACTCCGATACCACCAAAGTGAATACCAATGGGGAGAAAGTGCGCTTCATCCTTCAATATCAATATCTGACTACGAAACCATAGCATTGAGATCAAAGTACCTCAAGAAGAACCCTAAAAAAGGTCTCAAAGAAACTTGATACAGCCACTACTTGATTGCTGAACTTTGTACCTGTGTGAGTTAAGGTTACTCCATCTTTCAATTGATATCATCAGTCTGTCATCAGTTCTTTCCACTTGGAAAACAGAGATCAGTACAAGTTCCTACCCTACCTACCCTAGCTACTAGGTAGGTAGTTGTTTCCAACACAAACAAATCCTTCACTTATACAAACTCAGTGATACTGTACCATTTTCTGACTTCATTTTATTTGTCAATGATTATTGTAGAAACTGTTTCTATCTCTTCTGGAAACAGTTTGTCATAGAATTGAGAGATCACCTACTCTTCACAGCCTGCCAAGACAGTCCCTGTCGTTATCCGTTATCAGAGTTTATCTACTCGGGCACACTGCATGTCGCTTTGTACCGGCCCCACGAGAAATCATATCTACAAGCAGCGGAGCCCTCCGCAGAGTTGTTGTCTATAATCTTGCAGCTCTGTAAAAGTATCCCAATCAACAACCTGTAGGACTCACTAGAAGGCAAGTGAATGTACGACTTTTGGTTACTTCTATATACTTACCACTAACCAAGATAGTGAAAAACATCCTCATTGTCAAGCCCCAACTGCGTCACTGAAGCTCAACTCATCAGGAATATATATTTGCAGCAAAATGTCTTCAAAATCTCCAGAAGGTGTTAAATCTCCCGCACAAAGTGTCGGTCCTGATTATCGCCCCGAGAAACCTATCGCGACTGTCTCTACTCCAGTCTCCTTCGAAAATGTGCATACATTACCTCAAACCCCGCAGCTTATTGCTCTTCTCACGTACGTCACAGAAAATGCTGCATATGCCCATACAGCCAGCCAACTTACATTTACATGATATAGCATGATTCGAGACAAAAATACTCAGCGAGCCGATTTTATATTTTACTCAAACCGTATCATTCGTTTACTGGTTGAAGAAGGTTTGAATCATTTACCTGTGGTAGAGCACACGATCACTACCCCAGTTGGGCGAACATATGCAGGAGTCCAATTTCAGGGTAAAATATGTGGTGTTTCCATTATGAGAGCTGGTGAGGCCATGGAACAAGGACTACGGGACTGCTGCCGCTCAGTAAGGATTGGTAAGATATTGATACAGAGGGACGAGGAAACTTCGTTGCCTAAGCTCTTCTATGATAAACTTCCGGAAGATATTGCGCAACGGTGGGTATTGCTTCTTGATCCAATGTTCGCAACAGGCAAGTTTCGCTCAATACACTCGAATGGTACTATTCTGATATTTGACCTAGGAGGATCTGCATCGATGGCAGTGGACGTTTTGATATCTCGAGGAGTTCCTGCAGAACGAATTCTTTTCTTGAACCTCATAGCAAGTCCAGAAGGAATCGAGTCTTTTGCTAAGAAATATCAGAAAGTTAGAGTGGTAACAGCATTTATTGACCAGGTCAGTATTTCCTTTTCGAACAACCTCAATATGCACATCTCAGCTAACATGAGGATAGGGTCTTGATGAAAAGAAGTATGGCGCATACGTCACGTAGTATTGAATTTCGCTAATATTCGTGTAGTTATATTGTCCCTGGCCTTGGCGATTTTGGTGATAGATTCTACACCATGTAGAGGATCAAGTTTCCAATTCCTTCATAGTCTCTTAGCCATATACCAAAATAACATCTTTCGTCGGTGCCATCCTATTGATATCTCTGACTTGCAACAATATCCAGTCAATAATTACATGATTTTGATACACTGTCGTTCATAGCAAGACCATATGAAGTAACCCGCCAACCGTACTCCTAAACTCCAGATAATAAAATTATGAGAACCCAAGCCGAACCCAAGCTTAGTAGTCATCGTCCGCAACGACTTTGTCGCCACCATAGCCACCCATTCCGTCCTCGTCTCCCATTATGTCATCGTCATTGTCGTCGTCGTCTTCATCGTCCTTGGCAGCAGCACCGGATTTACGTCGAATAGGTGTACGTTCGGGGTCAAGGTCTCTATCGGTATTTCCCTCTTTCGCAACCGCATCGCAAGCATCAACCCAATCGGCATAAACATCCACCGAAGCTGACAGATCTGTATGAGGGTCGCAATCAGCTTTACATTGTCCTCTACCCGACTTTCTTTGGTGCAGGACAGGAAACTTACAGTTGATGGCGCATTGAAACTTTTGGTCGCATACTTTGCAGGATAATTGACCAACACCGCCCTTCTTGTCAATCTTGACAATGACCGAGTTTTCGTGGTTGCAGAAGAGACAAGGGAAAGTCGTGTTTAAAACTTCCTTCTTCACACGCAAAATTGTCAGTATCTGTGGCAGTAGCAGCAACTCAAAGAAACTCGGGAGAACAGCTAGCTGTATGCGATGTACCTACCTTCTTTGGGCCCTGAGGCTTCTTCGCTGCCTTGCGTTTTCCCTAAACTTACGTATTAGAATACTGTAGTAGAGTGTAACTATAATTAATCTCTACGCACCATGATGGTCTTTGAATTTATCTAGGATGGTTGATTGAGAATAATGATGGAGTATGCGGAAGAAAATGTTGTGGAATTGAAAAGTGGCTCGGAAGATGCGTAGAGTATTCCGTAAGGGTAAGGGTGCTAGCTAGCCTAGCTTATCGATAGCGATACCGGTATCACGCTTACAATGGAAATTTAGGAAGGCGCCGATGATATGATATGGTTAATTCATATCAACAGATGTATTTTGATTCATTTGAAATGTTGTAAATATACCTACCTACCTAGGTAGTTGAATAATATAGATCAAATTAAGAGAAGTTGAAAACAATAGTTATGTATATATATATATATATATCTAGACTACCTACTCTACAATTTAAGAATCCTGGTATATGGGTATCATGCTTTTATAGCTATTATTAGTGTCAATCAATCACTTCTTTATACTCTATAAGTGGGGCTGATAGTCAGATAATACCCAGATAAGTAGATATCCGCCCGCCCATCAAAACAAACAGCTTACCTACCTAGCTTGGAGAGTGAATGATAGGGAACAATTACAACAGATACATACATACATACATACATACATACATATGATAGGAGAAGGATCAACGAGCATACAACTTCATCAAACAGTTTCCACTTTCTTTCCAATTCATTACTCGTATCATCAATAATAAAGGAAGAAAGAGGAAAGTCCCTTCCCATTCTTGTTATTCACGTAATACGTGTTCTTGTGCCTTTGAATACCTACAATACCTATCATACCAACGCGCCGAATCCGTTTACCCCTCATCTTCTAATCTATAAGACCTGCCTGCTTGTTCCGTTTCCAATAATCTGAACTCACTTACTTCACTCACTTTACTTTCGAATTCTTCTTAGAATCTGTCATATCCCAAGGACCGCTTCAAGATGTCTTCTCCACCGCCTGACCAAACTGCTTTGATGCAGGAGATCCTCAATTCCATCAAAAATCTACAACTCAACCAGGTCCAACTTGCATCTAACGTCGATGCCATCACCGGCCGTATCAATGTCTTAGCTGGTATGAAGGAAGTTCGCGATGTTGCTTCGACTGATCCAGCCACTAATTCCAAGCCCTCCGAGACTCCTGAAAGTAGCGGTGAAAGTTCATCCAAAGATGAAGCTTTCAAAGATGTCGATGTACCCCAATCTCCGACTATCTCGGCGGCGAAGCCTGAAGAGACACCAATTCCTTCTTATCCCCAAAAAGCAAGCACTGGTACTTCTCGTATCATTCTCACGTGAGTTCATTCCAATGCATGTATGGAACAGAGACAACTGGACTGAATCGTGATAAAAGTACATACCCCGGACAGTCCGGTATCAATCCCCTCCCTATGGATTGGGGTCATAGCGATCCGCAAATCAGAGGTCCGGTAGTTGTGTCCAGAGCTACAGAAACAGCCCGAAGACGTAACGGTAAGTTTGCTCCCTATTTCACAGATTTATGTATGCTAATTAGTTATTTAGCAATTGGAGGTATGTTTGGTTGTCTGCTCTTAACTCGTGACTTAATCTGATAGCCGACATTGATAGCTCATGGTGGATCCTATTCGATATATTATGCTTTGGCTGTTGCTAGCAACGAAATCAAGGCAGATCACAGGTTTGTTCAAATACAACATAAGTATCACATGCAACGCGTTTTAACATATTTTAGACCAGATTTCACAAATACAGAACCTGCCGCAAATATTGGACCCTTTCCTCAATGGGCTGACAAGAAAAAGATAGTATCGATGGATCCTTTGGGCCATCTTGCTCCATGGCTATTCAAGGATACGATCGAAAAGGAGAATGGTCAGTAAACCCCTACGTAAAGATATAGGGTAGCTTTGGGCTAACAAAGTCTAGTTGACATTAGACCTACTATTGGTATGTACTTTGACACCCTCATCAAAGTTATTGGACAGTAGTGCTAATTATATCGTTAGCAATTACCCGAGCTCATATGAAGGTAATTTGCAACGTTAGATGGCAAGGTAGCAATACTAACGGCTTTTGTTGATAGCTACCAGAACTAGAAGCTAGTGTTCGTGAGGGTCGGCTCATACCGGATGGCAAGATTTGCCTGAATGAGGAGGGAGAACTTGCAGTCACAAAATTTGCCGTTGAGCCGGTATGTTCATTGTTCAGTTTGAGTTTACACATCTAATAATAATGTAGGTTTGGTACTTACCCGGCGTTGCTGAGCGATTCGGCATTTGTGCGTATCCCTATCACAACATCGGGAGTCAATCTGCTTACCCACATTCTAGCCGAAGGGGTTCTGAGAAGAGCATTATTTGAGCACACTGGTGGATCATACCCTGAATTAATTACCAGGGGCGATATCAAGCTCTTCATGCCACCAATTGGTATGAAAAAGTAATTTCGATCCATCACGGAGATCTCTAACTATCTATAGGTGGTTTGACCGTCTACTGCTTTGGAGACCCCGCGAAGATGTCAGATGAGAATGTTCGATTGGCATTGCGAGTTCATGACGAGGTAAAAATCAAATACCGCAGTTCTGAGGTATTACAATTAGGAGATCTTTTTTATGCTGATATTCTGTGATAGTGTAACGGCAGTGACGTGTTCGGATCTGATATATGTACATGTCGTCCTTACCTGATCTATGGTATTGAGGAGGCTGTCAAAGAGGCGCAAAAGGGTGGAAGTGGGGGTGAGTACAAGCTGTTTCATTTCACACTTCCGATGTCCAACTTATGTTTGGATATTTCGTATTTTATATTCATTCGCTTTTTAATGCATCTTACGTTATTTGCTTCCTTTCAAAAGCTCAGTAGGCAATTACTGACTCTGCGGTGTTCTAGTCGGTGAGTTCTATATCCACCAGTTTCTTAATGCCATAACTAATCGTTTCCTGAGTGATTTACTTTAGGAAAGAGGGTAGAGCTCTTGGAGAGGTTACAAAGGTATTTAAATATTTCGGCGGCTCATGGGTTGTTTGCACTGCGTTTATCCTTCTGTTGTGGAGCATATCGATGCTTGTCAACTTACACAGTACCCACTCCACGACATGTCCCCCACTTCCCAAACATTTTCCGAAGCCATCCGCATTCTACCCCATCAGATCTTCATGATTAATCACTTGTCTGGATCTATATGAGACAATCTCTAACTCGGTCATGTAGTACCTCGTCTACAACGCCAGAAAGCGTGGACTCGATCGAGCTTCGGAATATTTTAAACGCACGGAAAATATTGCCGGTGTAAAGGATATGCGTTTCCAGACGTTGATGCCCGACATTCTTCATTGGTTGGGAATAAAGAAAATCGACAGAATGCTAAGTATGAGCAAGTAAGTTACTCGAATCCACAGCATATCAGATGCAGGAGTAACCATATTTACAGCATGAAACACGATGCCATAGTCAGCCAAGGGTAAGAAGTACGCACGCAACATTAGCTTCCATTGCTAATAAATACCCATCTAGAATTCCCATACATGAGCGAGTTGAGCTCCCTGAATCTTGGATCCCAGCGGATTCGAGGGTCGAGATTGATGCGAAGATTACAGCAGGTAAGTCTTGCCACACACTATTCACAATGCCATACTTGTGATAGGGCTGAACAATTGCTACTAGGATACTTCACTACTGGTCACAGAATGACCGAGGAGGAGCTTGCTGCTGTCAAGGGACGTAGTTGGGATGAGTAAGTCACCCCCTCAAGAAAGTTTGCAGCAGTGAGACTTTATGAAACTGACCCAAAATTGCAGTATTGATCATTGATGATTGATCACGCGCGGAAAGAAACATTCATGACTCGGGCCGCACGATGTACCTGCATGCAGCATAAGTGCCTAACGTACCAAACTTAGTCTAGCATATAGAACACGATTTGGTTTTTGGCCGGTTGTCATAATCTTGTCAGATCTCGGTTGAGCATGATATGATGGTGACTTGTTTGACAAAGCATATGACATACAACATACAACACACAACATACAGCATTAGACATTTAGACATTCGACATCATTACTGTACCGTATTCTAACCACGGAAACCATAGTACAGTAGCTTCATAACTTTCGTACTCTGTATGCAATCAATCAATCAATCAATCAATTTATGCAGTCAAACCACCCTCAAACCCACGCAACATAACAAATTTCCCAACTTCCAAGATTTTTGGGATTCAGGGAAAACGCCAGATTATCGTAAAGTTTTAACCGTTTCAATCTTATCCAGACAATTAATGGGGGGCAACCAGTCAGAACGGGCCCGAGTGAGGGGTCAACAGTGGCATAATTTCTGATATGTACATAGTAAGCTCGCCCACCTTTTCTCCCATGCCCCTTGGATGCATGTGTACAACACCATAACCATTAACAACCCACCACATCAGTTAAATGTTTTTTGGCGTGTGGACGAAATAAATGCGGGAAGAATTCGATTTCCCCAAAGTCTAAGTCTGACATGTTGTGGCTAGACCGACCCTTTTTTTGGGGGGAGCATTCTCGGGTTTCCTTGCTTGGGATAGTTGGGATAGGATAGATGGGATGTTGCCATGTTGGTCCTAGAATCGGTGCGTGTGTGTGTGTTGTTGTTTACGAATACTGTACTGTATACTGTACCTACCTATTAACTTGCCTGGCCCAATATACGAGTATTTATTATTAATATGTGCATACGAGTACTTGCTTAACAAGCCTGCTTGCCTGTCTACCTGCCATGATTTGCAAGTGCGTTATTTAATATACTTATGTGTATCGCCATACATACATACTTCCTTTACTCCTCTTTCTTTGCTAGAAAAAACCCGGTTTCCCAGTTTCAGATTCGTATACTCTTGATCAATATCAATCTCTTACGAAGAATATATATCTTCAAAAAGCTTCACATCATTCATCAAATCCAACCTTAATCTCATCAATCTCAATCGGCCTACTCCGGATTATCATTGATCAACCAAACTTCCAGTGGAGAAAAATAAGTTATCACCAGTCGATCATTGATCTCACGGTATATCATATCATATCATATCATATCAAACGATATAATACGAAGCAATTGCCATCCAATTCAATACACCCACCTACCACCCACCCATCCATCCATCCATCACCATGACCACCAAAATACCCTCCCGAGCATCCTCACCCAAAGTGTCATCACGACCCAAACTCATGCGAGCACACGCCACAGCACCCTCCCTCGTCACCGGCAACGCCTCCCGCCAAGATCTCGCCCATCTACAATCTTCATCCAAAGCAACCTCCATCCTGACGCGCGTGGCTACCTATTCGGCCCAGCAAGATGTGGGGAGTCCCCGGAGCGGAAGTAGTGCGTATTCGACGCCTGGGAATCGTAGTCCGAGGAGTCCGGAGAGTGCGTTGCCTAGGAGCTGTAAGGAGGAGTTGAAGGGATTGCAGTTGCAGTATCAGTGTTAGTATTGCGTTCCTTTTTTTCTCTTTTTTTTTTTTGAGATGGGGGGGGGGTTGTTTGGAGATGGGGAGATGGATAGAGAGAGAGTGTGTGTGAGAGGAAGAGAGAGACAAATGCTGATTACAGTGATAGCAGCGGGGTACTTTAGTTTTCCCAGTTTTGAAGACTTCCAAGGGTATCAAGAACCGACCGAGAGAATGGTGGAACGGAAGAGTGTGTCATGAGAAGGTGGAAGTGGCAACGGTTCAGAAAAAAATAGTATATAAAGGGACGAGACATAACGATCGTCGTCCTTCATCATAAGTAATAAGGGTTCTCTAAGCTGGTTCTTGGGACGCACGGATTTCGACATCGGTTATTCATACTCGAATATGGTTGGTAACCTTCAATTGACCATGACAACAATGGGCGGATGGAATAAGTGTGCAGGCGTGCGGAGCACTGGCGGTACGGTACGGTACGGTGGTCCAGAAGACATGGTTCGCTGGACGGACTGGCATCGTCTTCTTCGCGGACTGGACTGGACTAGACTGGACTTTCTTCTTGGACTTTGGGCGGATTGAATGGCTTGATTGCTAAATGGCATGACATCAAGCACAGGATATATATCTTCAATTTGGAGTATCTAGTATATACATGGTTTAATGGTTGGTATACATGGCTGGCTGTATTTATGGCACTGCTTTCTTATATATACCCTCTCATAGTCTTTGAGTTCGAGGAAACGCGAACGGTTGTTAATTGAAAGAAATATTTTGAACATAATCATGTCAAGCTTTTTGGTTGCATGTGCAATTTGTTGATCCTCGCAGTAGGTTGCGTGTAGTGAATAAGTCAAGCTAAAAGGTTGAAACGAGATGAAATAATTGAAATGATCTGGATGCTTGAAACGATCTTTTATGAGAGATCAACATGTACCCCCAATCACCTTTTATCCGCTCTCCCCCGCCTTCCGTCCTGTATCTTAATACTGGTTCGTGCATCCGTGGAGTCCCCAAGCCCAGCATCAAAATAGAAAGGTAACCCCAAAAGCTATCAAAATTCCACACGAAAAATCTTGAATCCCCTCGGAACCAAAGTTTGGAAAAAACCTCTGAGAGTGTAGTTGAGGAATCTATACCGAATACCCATCTATTCATTACGACTGAGAAGAGTGGATGAGATGAGATCGTCTGACATGACATGTGTATGAACCTAACCGTATTGATGAGACAAATAATGAACGGTCCATCCGAAACATCCAATCCCGACGAGGTTTCTCTATGAGCCTGTAAGGCGGCAAGAATTGTCTTCGTAATTGGATGAAAACAAAACTGGGTATTAAGCCATCATGTTCGACTGTCTCCACCTTTGCAACAGCTGCTTGCTTTCCAGAGTCTTGAATATCAATCATGTGTTACACATCGACATGATAACTGGTTGTGAAGAACTATTGGCGCGCTCCATTTTTACTAAATGCTGCTTGCTCTTCTGCAAAGCCTAGAAGTGAATCGATTCGAAGGGTCTTAGTGTCTCGCGTTGCTTGTTGTTCATGGATGGGGGGTGGAGGATTGGCAATTGGCTGAGTGTAGTATAAGTTCTAAACACAGACTTTGCCCATGTCTGAGATAAAGCTAGTTGTCACAACGAGCAATGCGCGCTCGTCCCCAGGAGTACTAAAAGAGATGTTGCTGAGAGCCCAAACAAGTTTGTGATACGTGACAGTTTGCCGAATGTGAGGATTGGTGTTTGGAACTCACACCCCAAAGATGTTGATTCAACCTTTGAGAGCTCTAAAGAAATGCCAATTAACATTTTTGTTTGTCTCAACGATATCGCCCGAAGCAATAATAATTATATAACCAACAAAAATTATCATAAACGAACCCTATTTCCGGTGAAAGAGGTAATAGCCACCTTTTTGCAATGTCAGTTGGACTTGTAATACATTTCATCCTAGATTTCGTTCTGCGGTCAGATCAACTTACCGCCAAGTGACAATTCACCAACTCCAACTTTGGAAACGCAGCCATCTACTACCATCAGCCCGGGCTAAGCTTCGAAAGTTCGGTATACATCAACCCATCGTGACCCACATCCTATGGTAACCAAATAGCTATTTTTATGTATAACGATTGTATTCTCAGCCAAATTCGAAATATCAATGGTAATACCTCCATTGATTTTGGCCCACCCACGCTGTGTGGCCGCCACTGTGTATGGTAAGCTGAGTTTGATTCTCATATGGATCTGGCTATACATATTTGAATCTTGAGCATCGTTGGTTGAATAGAGCACGTCGATGAAATATCAGTCTGGGATTCGATTGCTGCAAAGTAAAAACTCTTACTTGTGTATAGTCTGGGCTTACCGAAAGTTGAGCTTTGCCAGAAATTTGGCAAGGAGAGCCGAACGATCCATCGTTGTTATCAAATTCATTGCTACAGTGAGGCAATAAGATGTAGCAGAAACCTAGGATAAGAGTAACAATCCGAAGTGTAGTCAATCAGGCTATACTCATATGAATACTCGATGACATGGTTACCAATATGATGAGATGCTGGACCAACTCGATAAGACCAGGATTTTCAATAGTCTGAACTCGAATCCAACGAATCCGTTTGATTTACAGAGTTTATTCTGTATATTTGATCTGTTTGGAATGATGCTTGACTTGAAACATCAGGATCTACTCAAAGATTTGTAACTTTTCGAACATTGAGGGCTTTCACATCTGGCCTGCTAGTCCGGAGTGCTGGATGAGACACGAAGAACAATATGGAACTTCCAGCCATTGTACCAACGTGGCCGTGAGTCAGCATTGGAGATACAGTACAAACAAGCATGTAGATATACCGCATGTGTGCAGGTGATACATGAACTGAGCAAGCTCGACTGATTTGATAACCCGATAGAATAAAATCCTTCCCTGATATAACTTCATGGGATCGTTTCTGGAAGTAAAAGAAGCATACGATTGATTTGAAATATCGTTTCCATTACATGTCTGCCTAGATAGTAAAGCTTGCCTTTGGTGAATTATCGAGTATATAGTGATCTTCAATCGACTGACTGCTCGTGGCTTCTCGACGGCATTCATACAGGTGCCACTTGGCAACGACTTCCGTAAGAACGTGAGTAGAACCTCATAGATTCGTAACCATTCATTCAGTGAAGGAAATGGGTTGAATTGTCTCAAGAATATCTTCACAATTGGTCCATTTATTTCCCCGGTATAAATAAAGTAGCTCACCTCTAGTGAGGATTATTGTTCGAGAATTTCATCAAGTCCCTTCTCGGCGCTTGGACCACCAAATTCAACTCGCTTAATTTTGATTTACGCACATTTCAAAAAAGTTTGATTCAAGAACCTCTTCTTGATTTCATACCAGACCACCAACGCCCACTCAACAATTCAATCTCAGTCGGCGAATAGGTAACTTATCGCAATTATGGCTGTCGGAAAGTGAGTAATCTTCTCGCTATTCTACCCTGTCTTCTCGATGCTGCAATAGATATTCATCACTACAATGGACGCGCGACAATTGAAGGAAGACGAGGGGGAAAGCTATAGGGGAACATGGAATCTGACAGCACGACAGGAATAAGCGTCTCTCCAAGGGCAAGAAGGGTTTGAAGAAGAAGACCTTGGATCCTTTCACCCGTAAAGATTGGTTCCAGATCAAGGTATGTTCAATATCGAAACCTAAAACCATTCGCAGAGACTGACAATATCTATTTTAGGCACCATCTTCATTCCAAGTTAGAGAGTACGCCAAACCCATTACTTACCCATCCTTCGAACTACATCTAATAATTAAAACAGTGTCGGAAAGACCCTCGTAAACAGAACTACCGGTATCAAGAACGCCAACGACTCATTGAAGGGAAGAATCTTCGAGGTTTCTTTGGCCGATTTGCAAAAGGATGAGGACCATGCTTTCCGCAAGGTCAAGCTCCGTGTCGATGAGGTTCAAGGAAAGAACTGCTTGACCAACTTCCACGGTCTCGACTTCACATCAGACAAGCTCAGATCCCTTGTCCGAAAGTGGCAAACCTTGATCGAGGCCAACGTCACCGTCAAGACCACCGACGACTACCTCCTCCGCCTTTTCGCAATTGCCTTCACCAAGCGCAGACCTAACCAGATCAAGAAGACTACATACGCTGCTTCTTCCCAAATTAGGTCGATCCGCAAGAAGATGATCGAGATCATCCAACGTGAGGCCAGCACCTGCACTCTTACTCAACTCACCGCCAAGCTCATCCCAGAGGTTATCGGTCGTGAGATTGAGAAGGCTACCCAAGGCATCTACCCATTACAAAACGTATGTTGCATTATTTTCCATGGGGTAAACTTCATATATTAATCAATTATTAGGTTCACATCAGAAAAGTTAAGCTTTTGAAGGCACCCAAGTTCGACCTTGGTGTCCTCCTTAACCTTCACGGCGAGTCAAACACAGATGAGCAAGGACAAAAGGTTGAGAGGGAATTCAAGGAGAAGGTGTTGGAGGAAGTATAAATATGAGATGATGTTATGTGGTTTGGGTTTGATGGTGCATTATATGTAGTCAAGTCTGGGCTTTGGGCAATATAGGCGTGACTTTGCATCACATGTAGCATGGAGCTATCATTCAATTCCAAAAATGTCAAAAAAAGTGCAAAAACAGGGTGCCTATGAGGATAGTCCACGTGAAGTCCTTGGTGGCGTCAAAGAACTTGATTCAGCCTTGCTTTTAGCGAGTGACGTTGCGATGAACATGTCTAGAACCGCTTTCCTACACACCAAATTTCATAGAACTCCCAAACCTCACCTCTAGATACAGAAGTTTTGTTTTCCCCTCCATCACTGTTCAATATCTTCACGATGGCATCCGACGAATCTATCCCTACTCTCAAAATTCTCCTGATAGGTCCATCGGGAGCCGGCAAATCAGCATGTACGACCCGATTCCGCCTTGTGCATTTGCAATGTCGCAGATAAGATGAGAGCTTGTGCTAATGGTACCCTGGGATGTTCTAGTACTCATAAGATACTGCGATGATCAGTTTGATTCGGAGAGTAGTACTGCTACTATTGGGGTTGATTTCAAGGTTTGTTTTACTTTGTGCCTTTGCACATTATATTCTACTTCTGCATGGATATTTGGACGAGAAGAAGAATTTGGCATGGAATAGTCTATACGGTACTGACAATAATGAAAATCAGTTGAAAACCCTCTCCATCCACGGCTCCCCCTATCGCCTCAACCTCCTTGATACCGCCGGCCAAGAACGCTTCCGCACGCTCTCCAATTCCTACTACCGGGGCGCGCACGCGGTGATACTCGTCTATGATGTGACGAATCGGGAGAGTTTCAATAGTATGGGGAGGTGGATTGAGGAGGCGGAGGGGAATGCGGTGGAGGGGTGTGTTTTTTGGGTCGTGGGCACAAAGTGTGATTTGGGCAGGGGAAAGAGGATGGTGAGTGTGGAGGAGGGGAGACAGTTGGCGGATGGGTGGAGGGAGAGTAGAATTAATGTTTGTGGGTGGGGAGAGTGTAGTAGTAAGACGAGGGAGGGCGTCAAGGCGGTTTTTGAGGGTGTGGTGAGGGAGGTGGTTAAGAGGCCGGAGTTGCTGAAGGGTGGGCAGAGGAAGTCCGGGGGTGTGAGTTCTTCTTCTTCTACTTTTACTTCTGGTTGTTTGGGAGATGGGTATGTTGGGAGGAAATGGAGGGGATAAAGTACTAACTAACGTGTTGCATAGGTCACGATCGGGGCAGGAAACATTACCTCTTCCTCAGGATGCGCTTGCTAGACTCCAGAGTCTTACCGGAAGTTGAACAATGGGATTCTGACACATTATACGATATTAGGCACTGCATACGCGGATGCGAAGCATATGTATACGGAGGCGTTACGTGGGTATTATTCTTTTGGATGGCATGGGCTTATGACAGATACCCTTTTTACATATACACAATAGACTATTCTTCTATTCCTTTTGTTTCAAGAATTCTACAACAGCTGTGGTCATATCGGTCAGCAGAGGTCATGTACGCATGAATGGAATGGAAAGACAAACCTTGTCTAAATTCCTCCGGCTTCTCAGAAATCAACCAATGCCCAGCATCTATATCGGCTAGTTCAAATCGAGGGAAGAATTTCCCTATTATAGGAAGTGCTTCGTCTGGCACATAGTGGCTTTTCGTACCTCGGACAAATAATGTAGGTTTATTGAAGTGTATCGAATCCGGATCCTTGAATGGGAAATCGCCCAGGTTATTCAATGCAGCTCCTAGGATCTTAAGAGGGACCTTGAATTTCTGCGTCTTGTCTTCAGCGCGCATAAGGTTTCCGAGGAGAAATTGGCGGATAGGGAGCTCTTTTTCATAGTCTTGCAATATGTTGTCCGCTTCGGTTTGTTTAGAGACTCCTGCCTCTTCGATTCTCCTCATACCTTGGATGTATTTCCCGAAGTTGCTGAGAAGTGCCGCATCTATAGGCGCATTGTCCACGGATACTATATCCTCGACCATTTCTGGCGATTTGAGCGCCAGAGCCATTGCGGTCTTTGCGCCCATTGAGTGGCCTATCAGTGTAGGCCCAGTGAGTTTATGCTCGGTTATGAACCCAGCGACGTCATCTGCCATAGCAGTATAATCATGTTTGGGGTGATGTGGTGAGTCGCCATGATTTCGCAGATCCTGTTACTTCTCAATTTATGCTCTTCGAAGGTCCGCGATGGATGAATGTGACTCACAACGGCGTAGACAGGCCTTCCTAGATCTCTTGCGAGAGCCCTGCGAATCGCCAATTAGTAAAGTAGAGACAGCCAAAGGAATGCGCAAGGGAATCTCACTTACTAATGCTCCTATTATTCTTCTTGGATCCGAATAAACCATGCATGAAGATGATGGCTCGGGGAGCATTGGACGAGGCTTTGGCCGGTTCGTGCAGATCAAATGCCAAAGAGACAGTACTAGATAAAGAGTAGTTCCTCCGACACACTCGGAGGAGATTAGGTGATAGTAATCGAGGAGAAATATTGAACTTAAGAAAAGAAGCCATAATATGTGAAGTGAGAGAATCGATCGGAGCAAAGACTGCGAGATCAGAGATAAATATAAAAATATTTTGGATTTAAAGAAGTGGAATTCAATTAATTGGTCAGCCTTGCAGTATCTGATTTCCGATAAGCAACCGATCGGCGGCCGATGATGTCCCGAATCTTCGGATTACAGTCATTGGTCATTGGTTGTGTAGCTTTAAGTTTAACATTTTTACTAGGGAGAGTGAACCCCTTCCAAATGCTAAAGTAGAATAGAAGGAAAATTGTGAGATACACAAGTAATCTTCACCAGGAGGCTTGTAATGAAGAATCCCAAATTGATTTCAGCCGAGGGAAGCGGAATGGAAGCAGAAGTGTCGCAGTGTCGCAGTTGTCGCAGTTGTCGCAGTTGTCACAGTCGCATTTGTACCTTTTGCAATTGCCTAAACAGTTCAGCCTGGCCTTTCTTGCCGATCCTCCACTCATTGTCACAGCCTCGCTATGAGAAATCGCAGTCAGCAGCAAACAACAAATAGAGTAGGTAATTCGACCAACATCGACATCATTCATATTTTGTGTACAAGCAATTATTTGAATTTAAATTAATCTTCCTACTGTACATGAACTTCACTTCTTCGTAGTCCAACCTTGTTCATATACTCTACATCTTCGACGTTCTCAGCCACATACTCACACTCTCTCTTTGTACCCTTTTCATTCTCTAATACAATCAGTATGTCGGAGGGAGACCAAACCATTCTTTGTCCCTTTTGTGGGTACAATACTGAAAGCGAATATCAAATAATGGTTTGTTCATCTCTCCGAATGTGGTATTTGGTCGAATATAAAGGGACCTTTTGCTGATGAGATTAAAGTTACATATGGAAACATTGCATGCTGAAGGAGAATCACCATTTGTGACCAGGGAAAGTGCAAGTGTCGTCGCAATGGTGGATCAGGATGATGTCGATTATACTAACTGTCCTGTTGATGGTTGTGGTGAAATGATCTTATTTGATGAACTTGACAGTCATATCGAGATGCATGCAGAAGAAGATGGCGATATGGAAATAGAGACTCCTACATCACGCACATCTAGGAAGGAAGACAAAGGAAGTAAGGATGCTGGTTTTGGTACGAAGCTCTCGCACGCACTTCGGAATATCGACGATGGGCATCATTACGAAGTTCGAGAAAGTGAACCATCGGCGCAAGTTTCGGCGAAGGCATGGAGAGATATTTTGAAAATGCCTGATATCTCGCTCAAATCTCAGCCTAAGTCTCAGCCTAAAGCTCCTGCCAAGGGCCCTCGACAGTTAGGTGTAGGTTGTTCCTTTCTTCAATATTCCATGTCACATGATGTTGACTTCAATGATGAACAGAAATCCGAGCTTGGTCCTCATGCACATGAGAAGCAAATGCCACAATGGCTTGTGAAGTTATTGCAAGCAGATGGCCAGTACAAGACGATTAACAGGCTTAATGCGGATGGACAATTACGGAGGGTCAAATATTGCCCAAACCAAGCAGAGGGTATCATTCCCGTGCTCGCTCAGCTTCTCGATCAAGATAGTGCAACAAGTTATGCTTACCTATGCGATCCGGCTGTTCTCCACGTTTCTAAACTTCTGAGAGAGGGTATGTTTCCCCAATCTTTCTGCCGAGTCCACCCTGTTAATGATTACGTCAGGGGGCTTCTGTGGCTATAGAAATATTCAAATGGTGTCTTCATACATTGTTAAGTCTCAGTTCCCAGGTCACGATGTCTTCCGTGATAAGGTTCCAACGATTTTCGATATTCAAGAATATATTGAGAACGCTTGGGATGAAGGGTTTAATTCCCAAGGTCGAACTGAAACTGGTGGAATTCGTGGAACAAGGAAGTATATCGGAACCCCTGATGTAAACATGATCTCCCACTCCTTTGTCAAATTTTGCTTTTGTATCAAACTAATTATTGTGTACAATTAGGCTCAAGCAATGTTTTGCTCTCTAGGAATACCGTATGCTTCCTTGAGCCCCTTGAGTTTTACAGTAGACTGACTGTGTTCCCAGATGTGATACCGTGGCCCTTAAAACCAAAAAGGAGAGGGGAGAAGCTCCAGCGGCTAATCTTTTGTATCAAAAAATAGAGGAATACTTCCTTGAGGGCTGTGTTGATTTTGAAACCAAAGTCCGAGAGACCCCTCTTCCTCCAATATACTTTCAACATCCAGGTGAATACTGAATCTTGCCATCATTGCGCATGTTAAATTAACAAATAACAGGCCACTCCATGACAATCATTGGATTTGAGAAGCAAACTGATGGCACTAAAAATATTCTGGTTTTCGACCCAATGTTCCATGATGCAAGCAAAGTCGTTAAATTCGTTGACGGACCTGTCCGTCACAAGCATCCTGGTGATTTATTGAAAGCCTATAGACGTGGTAATAAATACTTGAAGAGGTATAATGAATTTGAACTTCTGAAGTATGCAACCCCTTCTTATACGCAGTCGATATGAAAGCAAAATTAACAAGCTCGCAGATTAGTACCACCACCGCAAAGAAAGCTGAATTGATTCTCTGTGCAGTTTCCTAGCCTAAGGGCGGAATCTCTAACTGCTACATTCATTTTATTCATTGAGCGGGCGAGCATGGATGGGATGGAGTTTGGGTGTATCAAGGACATGATAATTTGCAAGCATAGCGTCACGGTAGAATTCACGAAGGGGACTGGCGCATTTTGTAACATAGCATTATCATCATGCGATGACTAATTTCATAGAGCGCATTCTTGCAACTGACTACAAGTACAAGAAATAATAAGAAGTCTCATCGCAAATTGATGTAGGGTTATCCGAGATACCAATAAAGGGGTGCCTGAATGGAGATGGTAGCGGGTAGCATGCATTCGCGTTCGCATTCATGCATCTAGCGAGGACCGAAAATATTTGTGGCTTTTGATTATATTATCCTCGAGAAATCACACATTGAAAAGACTCCGAGGGGCAGATAGGTGTGTTTTGGTAAAGGGCAGCCAAAAGACCAACTTATAGACGAAACAACGAGATTTTATACTTCCAAGTTTTCAATATTATATTTTGAGTGATGTATACAATAATACAAAAGCGAAGTAGGTATCTATGTGTAGCATCCGTTGCTAGCCATCACTCCTCTCCTCTCCTTTCCATGCCATGAAAGTGCAAGTTTCTTGTTCCCACTCCCAGTTCCTCTCTTCTCTGGGTAGGTAAATTCTTCGAATTAAAAGAAATCTCCTCTCCAATGATCCATCCTTCCCATATTGATTACAAAGCCATGTTCCCCTGCCTCGCAAATATAGGTATTGAGAAAGTCGTAGGCGTGATTGTTCGATAAATTGCCGAACAGCCTTGGCCGATCCTCTTTCCCTTTTCTCTTCCTTAATACTAAGAGTATTCCCTCCTCCTTCCCATGATGCTTTGAATGTCATCGAAATAAGAAACGCCGATTTTATACAGCCAAAGCCAAAAGCCAAACCAATCCCCAAGACTCCACTTCTGATGAACGGGTAAGCGAAATATCGTCCAGATAAATTGTTTTGGCCGCCACAACCCCCAACGCATGCTAAATAAACAGAATAATGTAGCAACCGACCGAGAGACAACGTGACATCAGCGACGATGCACATAAGGTTCTCCTAGCGGTTCCCGTTCTCTATATCGATCCCTCCCACGATCGTTGATGGGACTACGAGTACGGCTTCGACTATCACGCAAACCTCGACTGTCATATTCGTGTCTGGCTCCATTACTGTGTCTTGGACGATCCTCTCGGCGTTCCTCTCGTGGGGGGCGTTCCTCTCGTGGTCTTCGGTTTTGGTTGTAGCTGGGGATGTACGTATCGATATTCCCACCGCCTGCTCCTGCTCTGCTGCGAGGAAGGGTATCGTGATCACGATCGCGATGACCGCGACCATCTATATCTTGGGATCTGGATCGGTGACCATGTTGGTCTGATCTTCCACCGTCATAAGCAAAATCAGTAGGCGGTGGTCGTGGTGGTAAGCCTCGATCATCTCGTCTCCATGCTGGTTTGCGGTCTTCAAATGGTGGAGGTGGTGGACCGTTGTTTCTGTAGCCACCGTGCGTAGGAGGGGGAGGGGGGTAGCGGCCGTTTTGGTGATTTCGATGACCGGGGAAATTATCATATCCTGGCCCACTTCCGTTTCGGTCCCATTGGTCTGGGCCCATGCCTACATCACCTCCCTTGGGAGGTGGCGGGGCTTGCTTCTGTCCCCGGTGCGGCTTCGAATCAAATTCATGTGATGATTCTAGTATTGGGATTTCCTGTGGCTTCAAAGGTAATGGCGTATTTTGGAAATATGGATGCTTCAATGCATCGATCGCGTTAGTACGCTTCTTCCAATCCAACTTTAGCAACTCCTGCAACAAAGAGATAGCACCAGAGCCTTGTTCTCGGAATCTCCGAGCTAGTGTCGAAGGGCGCGGCGGGCTGATTGTGAGACCTTGAGCTTTGGGAAGTGATCTCCATCCTGGCATGTTCTCCTCGTTGGGAGTGCCACACAAATCAAAAATAAGTTTAAGCTGCTGCTCCTCGCTCTCGCCTTGGAGGATTGGCTTCTCAAGGAACATTTCGCCAAAGACACAACTAAGAATTATTAGTCAAACACTCAAAAACAAGAGGTAAGGGAAAAAGCATACCCAACTCCCCAAATATCGATCGCTGGAGTATAGTTTTGTAGTTCCAAGAAAAGCTCGGGAGGACGATACCATCTTGTAACCACTACAACAGTATAATGCGCATGTGCTATTCCATTGCCCTTCCCTGCGACTGGTACAGGTTCATTATAGTGCCGCGCCAGACCAAAATCTGCTATTTGAAGTATGCCTTTGTTGTTGATCAGAATATTTGCGGCTTTGATGTCTCGGTGAAGGATATGATTATCGTGAATGAAGCGCATGCCCTCGAGTAGCTGCAGCATATAACACTTGATCTGCGGTTCCGAAAAATGGATATTTGGGTTCTTCAGAAGACCTGATAAGTCGTGGTCGAAATAGGGAGTGACCATGTACATAATAGCCTTCTTCTTCTTATCGGTATTCTTGGGCGGGTGCTCGACAGCCATTTCCCCCAGACTCAAGACATTTATATGCGAAAGGAGCTTGAGAGTCTTGATCTCGCGAAGGGCTGTAATTGGAAACCCGTCCTTCTCATTAATCATCAATATCTTTTTCAAAGCTACAACCATACCAGTCTTCTTAGATTTGGCTTTGTGTACTTCTCCAAAGGTACCCTCTCCGATTTTCCCCATGACATCGTAGTCTGTAATTCTGGAACAGCCGCGGAACGTTTTTTGTGGACGAGTGTGGTGCCGTGCGTCCTCTGGAGTAGAGATGCGATTGGTAGCTGGCGGCGCTGATCGCGACGGGGTCGCCATTCTGGCAGAAAGAGTAAATTCAAAGGAGAAGATCTTAGATCGGGCACGTATGTTATCGAGTATGCGATCGTGCAGCTGTGATGGGAAATTTCTTCGTCGAAATTGGACGTCTTTGTCAAACAAGTCTTTGACTACTACTCGAGTAGAACGATTAGAGATTTAGAAACGGAGTTTCAATTCCAGGGCTCGTGGTGCGAAATCAAGATGAATCTCAACAGCATTGTTGCCTCCCTCAATACGATGCTGAACGAGAAAGTTGTGAATTGAAGAAAATTTATAGCACACATTAAAGCACGAAGGTTAAAACATTGAAGGTTATCGGGCGAGTTAGCTTTCTGTATTGTTGCCTTGAATTCAAGGCATCTATCTCCCACTTGACTCTCACGAAGTTGTGAAAGAACGACTTTGAAACTCAGTTCGCACATCTAAACATCCACTTCTGAAAGCCATACAAATTGTTGATTATTGTTAGTTGCCCATCCGTCCTTTGGAAATTTGTGATCAATTTACTTCCGGCACATGCGTATAGGATTAACCTTTTCATCAGCACAATGGCACAACCCCCTCCAGGACCCGGAGGACTCTACAAAGCTCCACCTCTATACCGATTCGCTGGTACAGCATTGGGAGCAAGCATGTGGTTCTTCGTACGTACCTTCAGATACCTATACTTCCACTGTCATGCTAATTTGAATATAGTTGATGTATCGTGCGAAGCAAAATGGTACCGCTGCCCTTCATGTCGAATCTAAAAAGCACATATTCTAACAAAATTCAGGTCCTGCCTTGTTAGGCTGGAAGCATCCTTGGGAGCATTGAACGACCAAATGAGGAGGAGATGGAGTAGCAATCGAGGTCTATCTACTACATGCACTTGAACATTCGAGAGATGCCATCCGGGACAAAGTCTGGAATTACAACACGGATAGTGGGCCAAGAACTGTACATATGGAAGGAAATATCATTGGGCATTGGAGTTAAATTAAGTCTATTATACGTAGTCTATTGGTTCTACAGTGTCTATGTTATTACGCAGAGCTAGGCTTCTCAAATAAGTAGTGGGACACACCCCAGGTATCTCCACCTTCATAGGCAAACAATTCGGCGCACTATTATCGAGTTAGCATAGAACATATGAAGGGGTAGAGGAAAGAAACACACCGCGAGGTAAAAAATCTGCCAACGGTAATACCACATCGCGGTATCCTTCTCGCCATATGTTTCTACTAGATGAGGCCAAATTTCCGGCTTGCTAGCTACCATCTTTGACAGCCAATCCTGAATGATTTATTAGCATGGAAAACATAGTTTTGGAATGAACAATGGTCATACCTCGCAAGTCTTTGCGTAATGTTGACCATTTACCCACCATTGCCTCTCAAGTTTGAGGTCTTTCTGGAAGAATAACAACAAATCCGCAGACGGCATGGTACCTCCAGACTGCAACATCGTCGAGTTAGTAATTGCTAATAAGAAATGGCTCTCACGTAAAACGAGGAACCAGAGCTGCATTAGGAAGTGAAAAGGATCTAGAAGATGAAACATAAAATTGGAGTTTGCAATCGAGGAGTGTGATGTGGAAGAATCAGTTGTACTCACGAAAAAGTGTGTGCTCATCCATCCCTCCTCAAAGTCGTAAGGTGTGGTCTTGTGAGCAAAGATATGGACAAATAATTTTCCTCCTGGCTTCAAGGCTCTTCCAACCTTTGACATTAGTAGTTCATAGTTCTTCATATGCTCAAAGAGCTTCACTTCGTCAGCGGTTGTCTAGAATGATATTCTTACATGTGACTTACTTCAATGGATACAACTCTGTCGAAGCTCTCTTTCTCAAACTCATATTCGACGACATCCCCAGTGATAACTGTCAGGTTTGTGAGTCCCTTCTCTTTAGCTTTCTCATCAATGTAAAGCTTCTGGGTTCTCGAATTCGAAAAGGCCGTGATCTTCGAATTTGGGAGAACCTCCGCAAAATATAATGCTCCAGAGCCCCAACCACATCTAGAATGTATTAGCCCCTTCCATTCCCTTTGCATAATACTCGTGTCTGGAACTTGATAACACTCACCCAAGATCCAAAATACTCATCCCATCCTGCAACCCCGCCTTCTTCACATAAGTCCCCAGCATTTCCACTTCTGCCTGACCCAGCGTTTCACTCCCTTTCGGATACAAACAACAACTATATTTCATTCTCGGTCCCAAACAAGCAGCAAGAACACCAGTCCCAACCTCATAATGCTGTTCATTGGCAGCAGCCGTCTCAATGGCAATAGGACGACTTCGAAGAAGCTCTACATAGCTCATTTTGCGCTCGTAGGCTTCTTCCAAAGAGGTACTTTTGATCAGCTCAATGCGCTCACGCAATTGGCGACGAATACCAAGGCGAATTACAGCATTTGGGAGATATCCCCCGTCGAGGATCCAGTCTAGGGGAACTGTTAGCTGTTGCTGCTATCTTCAATTTTGCAATGACGTAGGTTGGAATTACCGTAGTTCATGATTGGTAGCTCAAAAAATACAGAAGTTGTAGAATTAACAAATAGTTTTCGGTGAAGTTAAAGGAAAGATCTATGGGAATTAGAGGAACTATAAGGCAAACTGTCTTCAGAAATTAGGGATCCCTACTTCTAGGTAAGTGTTAGGAATGTGTGCCAAAGCGCGGAGGTAGGAGCGCAGAAGTTGTGTATATCATCTCATCCATCTGAAAGATTACCCGGTACCCGTAGCCCCTAGTTAGCTACCTACCTACTTACCTAGTTAACCGTACCTTGCCCGCCTTTCAAATTAATTGAGAAACCAAAAAAGCCACAATTAGAATCACAATATCCAATTAGGAAGCCTTTTTATTTACTGCTTGATAGACACCGATCTTCCTAATTGTAAGTATCTGTTTAAATTCACAAGCTTTTCAGTTTTCGAAAACTTATGAATTTTGTAGTACCGGTATAGAAATGGATTCAACGTTTCAGTTAGGTTCAATGTACCGAATAGGTAAGTTCGGTATGAAATGGGTTCGAGAGTCAAAAATCTCCCATTGCTGAAGTTCTACACTGCGAGCTTGTAAACCATCTATTATTTCCAGCCTATCTACCTATATTATTAGTACATTGTGTTTCTTGTATGTTATTTAACGCTGCCATCACTGCATTGCACTTAAGCGCATCTCCTCCAACACCAATTTGTAAAGTTTTCTCTGCTTCGGTTTCCGTGTGATCGACGTCTTTAAAATACCCAAATACTTGCCAAGTTTCGGGAGGAGGTAGTTTTCAGATGACCATGCTAATGAAATGTAACCTATCCCTAGAATCAGGATGAATATCTCGAAGTCCCAACTTAATTCGGTCAATTGCATGAAATTCGCCAACCATTGGGAAGGATCAAAGAGCATGTATAATGAAAACAACAATGCTACGACAATTGTGACGACAAAGGGTACTGAAGATGTTAGTTTTCAAGAAGATGAGAGCGACGAGGCGAGTACTTACGGTTGTGTGCCATGGATTGGCGGAATGGCTTCCCCACGCTTAGGACAATCCCAGAAAGGATGTACTCGAAGCAAGATACCAAAAACAACGTAGTGTTCTCCGAATTTTCGATGTTAGGTTCTTCCTCGTTGAGATGGGGAGGAATGAACCATGGCTGTCGTCGTACTGCCTGAAATGCAACAGCTTGAAATAGGATGCAGATGGCGATTTGTCCCAAGAGTGGTGTCAAGACTTTTCTTGACACGAGACTGGCTGTGGGTCGTTTCTGGCAAAGAGTAGGGAAAGGTCCAGTCCATCCCATGAAGATGGCAATAGGCAGAATTAGTATCAAATCAATGAAGAGAAATTGAAAGTCCCCAAGATTTGATGCAGACGCGTAGAGGAAGCTCACAGACGTGAATTGGATGGCCGAGTAGAGACTCATGTACTTGAAACAGCTGAAGCTGGTCACTAGAGCTGCTCGGCCCTCACGTATAACTTCAGGAACGCAGGTAATGTCGAACACTCGGCTGGTGAATGGTGCAGCAACTGAAGCCTCTGCCTCAGACAAGGAGATGCCAACATCTGCGGCTTTCAAAGCACCGCAATCATTCGCACCATCGCCACAAAACCCACAGCAGTAGTCAATACTCTGGAGTTTCTCTACCAGCTCATGCTTCTCGTCGGGCGACATGCGGGCAAATACTTGACCGCAGACTAGCATTCTTTGAAGAACGCTTGGCGGCGCGAAATCCACAACCCAACGGAAAACATCACCACTCACAGCTAAAGAGTAATTCCTTAGATTGGATATTTCATAGGGCAACGATGCGTCGCCTTCCACAGGCAGAGGAAGTGGAGTCAAAGTTCGGTCGTCGAGTGTATAGATGCCATTGTCTATACTTTCCCATGACAATCGAGCTTTGGGGTCTAGCGAGTTCCCTTCTATAAAGTGAGGTACGAAACAATGAGCGGTCTTGTCAATGAGGTTACATTCTCGAGCGACGCTAATGGCCGTCAAAATATTGTCGCCTGTACACATGACTTTTCTTATTCCAGCTTCAGTCAGCTCGTCCAACACACCGGCTGTACTTGGTTTAAGCTTATTCTCAAAGATAATAAATCCAATGAAACTCAATTCCGATTCGGTGTCTTCGCGGCTCATCTTCTGCATCTTTACCCAGTTAAGCTTCTTGATATGTTTCGTGGCACAAGCAATGACACGAAAGCCTCTGTGAGTATAATAGGCGAGAAGATCTTCGTAATCACTGGGAAAGCTCTCGGCTTTGCAAATGTCTTTCATGCATTCAGGTGCACCCTTTACATAAACGTCGCACCCTTGAGACCCAAAGTTCCGAACGATCACACTGGCTCGGCGGAGTTGGGAGACAAACTCAAAAGACTTAAGCACTCCGAGTTCGATAGGGGAATTGTTAACGTTGTCTTGATCATCAACATCGTATTCCATACCCGCCGGAGGTCGTGCAATTGAAGGCGACAATCCTCCTGATTCTTCGTCCTCGGCATTGCCAGACTTATGCTGGCCTTCCTCAAAAGACCAACCAGTAAAGTCAAACATTTTCAGATCCAGGGGATCACCCATCAGTTCATCATCGACAACTCGAAGGGAATGGCATGTCGCCATCGTGTAAAGAATGGCTTTATGGATGTTATAGTCGACTGTCGGATCACGTTCGTAGGTCGCCCCGGGTAACAATGATGATGCATCGGTGAGAATATCACTGAATCTATATGCTGGTTGGTGTACAGCTCTAATACCAAGAACATCCAGACCATCCTCAGTCAGTGTTCCGGTTTTGTCGAAACATACGATGTCGAGTTTTCCACCGACGTTTACTCTCTGGGGACTGATACAAAATATTTGTTTCTTCCTAAGACGTCCCAGGGCGAAATTGGTTCCAATCGTAAGCGTGGCAGGTAAAGCTGGAGGAACGACGATTGTTATCAAATCCAACGCCCTGATAACAATAAAGTGCCATGCCATGTTCAAATGAATAAAATTAATGAATGACGCAACAAATCCTAGCATCGCAATGCCGCCCATAACGGATATGTACCGGAAGGAATCCCTGTAAAACTTGAATCCTGAAGGCTTTGGGAAGAGCATGGATCTGACCAATGCACCTTTCGTGGTATTGAATCCTGTTCTGACAGCCATAGCGAGCCCAACGGCCTCGCCATCATTGTCATCATGAGGACGGCGTGCCCTAATAATTTTAGTTCCACAAAACAGGAAGTGTTTTGCAAGATCAGGTGCCACAGATGAAGCGGATAGGTTGAGGAGCCGCAGAGATTCGTCAGTTGCTGGAACTTTAGACACAGGGACGGATTCGCCTAAAATGAAGTCAGAGATGTGTTATTGAGAGCTTTGCAGAAGCCTTACCAGTAAGCATGCTTTCATTGACAATACAGTCGCCAGCCAGCAATAGACTATCACAAGGAAACTGTCCCAAGGCCGGATCAGTAACCTCGTAGATATCTCCCGGAACAAGTTCGCTCGATGGAACATAGCGCCCTGAAAAGGTTAATTAGAGTTGTTGGAAGGAAACGACGGCGTAACTCACAGAATGAATTGCGTAGGACACGGACGTCACATTCAAATTTTGAAATTTCTCTCAATCGTTTCATTGTCTTTGATCCAATTGTTAGTGTGCATTATGATGAACTGTCGGGTATGTACTCACTGATTTGGTCTCAAGAAGTGTAGTAGTAATGCTCACAGCCGATATGACGAATATACACGCAGCATAGTAGTAGTACTGATCCATTGACCATAGAATAAGACTAGCCACTTGAAAGACATAGAATGGATGAAAAGCCTGGGTTACTTAGTAAGCATTTCTCTTAATGAGGGGGTCAGATGTAAATACCTCATCTACAAGAAGTTGGGGAACAGTCTTTTGCTTGATGTCGATCATATTATTTCCGAAAACAAGTTCTCTGTTCTCCTTCTCCTCTCCACTAATTCCAGAACGGATAGATTTCACATCAGTCCATGCCGGGTCCTTCCAGCCTAGAAAGTGCGGTCAGTATGGTTCAATTATGATGGTGAGAGTACGTTAGACACAGAAGAAACCCATTGTTTACAATAGTCCGGAGAGTATTTTGGCAATGGGGGATTCTTGCTTCACAGATGTGTCCGAGATATTAAATCTAGCCGACATTTTGAATCTGACTTGAATACCCAATCCATTGAGGGCAACAAACTATGCTCAATGATTCCCAGGTTTCTGAACATTGAAACCTTTAGGATTTGAATTGTGGTCTGGCCGGACTATTGAAACCCCTGAAGCGGCCGAATGAAAAGGGTACTTACTGTTACACAGGACGAACCGATCCTTCAATGGATTGAACGAGAACCGCATGTAGCGATAGTCAAGGATGCGTAAATTGTCCAGAACTGGATCGTCGTCATAATCGTAAGAAATGGAATACTTTTTTTCGGAAAGGCCAAAGACTGTAGACAGAGACCGTCCATATTCTTTTGATTCGACATCTTGAACAACAAATTCTCCCCATTGGTTCTACGCACACACATTAAGTCAGCATGCCTGCGGTTATAGTTCAAGGGGGCACACGGAATAGCTTGGAAAGGATATTGGAATTTGAATATATGATAATTACTGACTTCGATGACTACCCAAGTGCATTCCCTCAATGGTGATTGTATGCCAATGATACGAACCTGCCAACGCGGCAGCCATCGTAACAAAAGATAGCCAAGACCAAAGGAAAGTATACAGATGGCCAAGTACAGCGCGAACCCAAAAGTACTTGTTCGAAAGCCAGCCACTACTATAGAAAGGTCCTCTGTGATAATGTATATTTTTTGATTCGTTCGATGACCGTGTCCAATATTACTTCCATCCGTTCTTGCACTATCACTGCGTAGTAATCGATCATGCACGGAATTTCTGGATTCCACAGTTGATATTCTTCTCAGAGCCAGTCCGGCAGCTTCCAAATCCGAATCGTCCTCTTGAAATTGAACATCATCTTCCTCATCTAGTATAGCGCTATCATCTTCGTCCTCGGCACTTCGTAGTAGCTCCTCATCATCCTCGTTTTCTTGATAATAAGTGAAGCTTGCTGTAGAACCTGCTCGCGGCCGTCGATGCGCAAAGGATGCAATACTAGAAGGAACTGATTCAGAGATTGCACCCGAGAACATTTCATCTTGTGCCATCTCAACATCGTCCATGAAGCTTGCAGTCGACATATTGGAGTTTCTTCTGTAGAGCGTATGGTAACTTGCTCCTATTTGGCTATGGTTTGCGATCGAGCTGCTTCGCCGTGGCCGATGGCCTGCAGCGAAACCATTGGATTCTGCCATTTTTTGATAATAAGAAAACACACCTGGAGCGTATTACCAAGTGATTATGAAAGTGAAATTTTACATTGTAGGGAACAACCAAAAAGTTGGCAGCTAACTTCGAAAAAACTAATAATTTCCCGTATATCTTGGTAACTTTAGTACGTACTAGGTTACCTTCTTAGTCCATAACCTCAGGTTTTCGCTTTTCGCCCCGCCTTATCGGTTATTTCAGGTAGTCGGTAGCCCGCAATCACAATCTGAACAAATCTTGGACGCTAAAGTCCAACAACTTCTCAACCTCCACCTCAAGAACTTTTCTCCCAAGAACATCGCCACGAGACAAATTCTCTTACACCCAAGAGATATCTTCATTCTTTTATCAACTTACTCAAGTGATTTGAAAGAACACGACACGATGTCGGACATTCCAAAGAAAAATAGCACTCAAACCGCTCCGTAAGTTTCGAAAACAGACATCCCAATACAACTAAAAAAATTCCGTTTACAATATTAACGATTCGTCTACCAGTACTCCTCAAAATACCCCAATGAATAACGCTCCTATTTCGTCGCATGCTCAGCAACCTGGTGTTGGCACGATTAAGGAAGGTATGTTGTTACTCCGTCCTACACCGAGTTTTCTGAGCCAATGACTGACTTCTATTTTGCAGAGGAGTTTGACCGCGCTGCAGCAGCCTCTATCTTCGCACAGAACCCAAAACTTGTCCAGATGATCCAAGGAAAGCTTGGATCTCTTGTTGGTCGCTCATCTGGTTACGTCGAGTCCCTTCCTACACCTGTTCGTCGTCGCGTTGCTGGTCTTAAGGGCGTTCAAAAGGAGCATTCGAAGTTAGAAGCCGACTTCCAGGAAGAGGTCTTGGAGCTTGAGAAGAAGTACTTTGCAAAGTTCACTCCTTTGTACCAGAAGCGAGCCAAGATCGTCAACGGCGAAATCGAGCCCACTGAGGAGGAGATTAAGTCGGGTGAGGAGGATGACGAAGAACACGACGGAGAACAAGCCGAAAAGTCAGATGAGACCACCGATAAGATTGCCGGTATCCCAGAGTTCTGGTTGTCCGCCATGAAAAACCAAGTTTCACTTGCCGAGATGATCACAGACAGAGATGAGGTCGCCCTCAAGGACTTGACCGATATACAAATGGAATACCTTGACAAGCCTGGATTCCGTTTGATTTTCCAATTCGCCGACAATGAGTTCTTCACTAACAAGACAATCACCAAGACATACTTCTATCAAAACGAGAGTGGTTACGGTGGAGACTTCATCTATGATCATGCTGAAGGTGACAAGATTGAGTGGAAGGACGGCAAAGATTTGACTGTTCGAGTTGAGAGCAAGAAACAACGCAACAAGAGTACGTTTGACATGCTTCAACAATGGGTGAACTTTGCTAATTAATGTTCTAGATACAAAGCAAACGCGTGTTGTCAAGAAGACCGTCCCAACTGAGTCCTTCTTCAACTTCTTCTCCCCACCTAAGGCACCTACTGATGACGACGATGATGACTTAGCATCAGATATCGAGGAGCGCCTCGAGCTTGACTATCAATTGGGCGAGGATATCAAGGAGAAGCTCATTCCACGCGCAATTGATTGGTTCACTGGAGAGGCTCTTCAATTCGAGGAATTGGATGATGATATGGAGGAGGGTGATTTCGAGGATGAAGACGATGAGGAAGACATGAGTGAAGATCGTGACGATGATGAAGATGAGTCAGACGATGATGTAAGTTTTTAACGCAACTACTTTTTTATCATTACCTAACATATAATAGGATGATGCTGCGAAACCCAAGCAGGAGGCCGCTGAGTGTAAGCAGAGTTAGATGGAATATCGACTTTAATCGACATTCTCACTCCCTTGACTCGCTTTAAGGACATCCTTGGCCTAGAAGTACCTCCGAAGTGCTTTGGCACACAAAGTCGTCCAGGAAGATCAGTCCGTAATTGCATAGGTGATTTTCTCAACTGCATGTTGTTGATACGGTATTTTACTCGCTTCTATTAGAATAGCCTAATTGCTCAAGAAGCCTACCTATCCCTTCCATACTCTCGATCTCTACTTTTCTATTACTGGTACAATGGCGTATGTAGATTTCTTGCCAAAAAAAAGTTAAATCACAATCATGATTCAATTACCGTCCATGTATAAGAGTGAAATTAATGACATACTCGAGTAAACACAATGAAGTTATTATCAATAATGCTAGGTACATAGTACATTTTTCACATCACCCTCTTCTCCCCACCACCCCCCCTTATCTCCCGCCCTTCTTTCGAAAACTGTTGAACATGTGAAATCTCATCATAACAAATAATTTATAATTTTGCCCCGCACCAACAGAAAAACCACGGGAATTGAAAAGGTTTACAGGGTTATTTTTCCAGACTTCAGCCTTCTGAATACTGAACGGTTATTGGTGTATTAGCCCCTGCTAGTTTCCTTGTTTCGGAGCCTTGCGGTGACGCGATTCTGGATTTTGCGGGACAGCAATAGTTTGCGAGTATGCTTGTCAGTCATGCTCGCTCTTTATTGCCTTTCCTTTTGCATTTTCTAAACTGACTCACCTCTATAGAAACATAAATTGCTTGATAATTCCCTTAAGATCTTGAGAATTGTATTCGTTGCTTGCTCTTCATTCATTATTATCGATCAATCAATCATTCAATCATTCCACAATGGCTACACCACAGGATATTATTGGGGCCAGAGGCCTTTCAAGAGTGGTTTCTAATAGCCTGAGCGTTTCTCCTACAGCAACTTTTCATTCCCCGCCATCAAGCTTCGGTGGAGGCTCGATGCCGAGAACAACTACACGAACCAATGCAAAGCAATTGAAGCCATTCGACACTCAAGATATTAAGATCTTGCTTTTGGAAAATGTCAATCAAAGTGGAAAGGACATTCTTTCTAGACAAGGATACCAAGTTGAGACGTTAAAAACTTCTTTACCGGAGGACGAGTTGATTGAAAAGATTCGGTACGACGAAGAAGCCAACTGAAGAGCATACTTTACTAACAACTATTGTGCAGAGATGTTCACGTTATTGGAATTAGATCAAAGACTAAGCTCAGCGAGAAAGTACTTCGTGAAGCCAAAAATCTGATTGTGGTGGGATGTTTCTGCATAGGCACAAATCAGGTCGACCTCGACTACGCTGCCGCACATGGAATCGCAGTCTTCAACTCCCCATTTGCCAACTCTCGAAGTGTAGCAGAATTGGTAATTGCCGAGATCATAGTTCTTGCTCGTCAACTTGGTGATCGATCGAACGAATTACACAATGGAATCTGGAACAAAGTTAGCAACAGGTGCTGGGAAATTCGTGGGAAAACTCTCGGTATGTGATCTTGCATCTGCTTTGTTCCCTCTTGACTAATTTTTGAATTACAGGCATAATTGGTTACGGTCATATTGGCTCACAACTATCTGTTCTTGCCGAAGCCATGGGCATGTCGGTCATCTACTACGATGTCATCAATCTTATGGCCCTGGGTACTGCTAAACAGGTTCCTACTTTGAACGAATTACTCAATACCGCGGACTTCATTACATGTCATGTTCCTGAACTTCCGGAGACCAATAATCTCATTGGAAAAGCGCAATTCGATCAAATGAAAGATGGTAGCTATCTTATCAACGCATCCCGTGGCAGCGTGATCGATATTCCAGCTCTAATTGAGGCCTCGAGAAATGGAAAGATTGCTGGTGCAGCATTAGATGTATACCCAAGTGAACCAGGCGGAAACGGACCTTACTTTACAAACAGCCTAAATACTTGGACGGAGGATCTTCGCAATCTCAAGAATATCATTCTCAGCCCCCATATTGGAGGAAGTACCGAGGAAGCTCAACGTGCTATTGGTGTTGAAGGTATGTATTCCTTTAGCTTGTATATGATCAGAAGCTAACAAGATTTCTCAGTTGGTGACGCCCTTGTTAGATATGTGAACTCGGGTGTTACTCTTGGAGCTGTGAACTTACCAGAGGTCAATCTTCGTTCTCTTACACTGGACGAGTCCAATCATGCGAGAGTAAGTTGTTCATCTCGAATTCTACGATAACTTTACTGATCTAATTAGGTCATCTACATCCATCACAACGTTCCGGGTGTTTTGAGAAAGGTTAACGAAATCCTCGGTGACCACAATGTAGACAAACAAATCACTGATAACAAGGGAGATGTATGCAAATTCGATCCGCGTTATACCTGAACAATGTGCTAATAGCATTTAGGTTGCCTACCTCATGGCTGATATTAGCAATGTACAAACTAGCGATCTGAAGGAGATCTCTGATAGCCTGGAAGCTTTGAGCTGTAAGTTCTCCTGACACAATCAACTCGACCACTTAATACTAACATAACGTAGCACGCATCCTCACCCGTGTGCTCTATTAAATAATGAAAAAATAGATTTAAATGTACATGTTTGCATTAGGGGTTTCGAATTGGACATTCAACAGGAGTGGCGGCGCTTGGCTTGGGATTGCATCTAGACAACCCCTTCAACACAAATAGGGCAGGTATTAGATATACAAAGGTGACCTCAAAACTGGAAAAGTAGAATAGGAAGGATCTGCATTGTAGGTATAGGATGTTATTTGAAAAGAAAGGCTTGCTATTGGATATAATATACTTAACTACAGACAGCATTTTCCACACAGAATATGCCACAGCTATCCTATATGGTACTAACATGTGAATTTATCAAATATATAGAACTTACTTTTAAGCATTAATATTTTCTAAAATTTCATGCTAGGTTATTACCCCCAACTACGAAAGTACCATCCCCCAATTTGAAGGAGCCAAAAGTCAATCTGACAAGATGAATAAAATCCGAACGATGAACATAAATCAAAGAACGCAACCTCCTGTATAACACCTACACCTAGATATTAATTGTAAGCTGCAGAAGATTGCTGCATTCGGCTCTGAATGCCAACAGTGAACGGACACACCTTCGATTGACCTTTCACGTTACCATAGTGAATTGAAGCGGTGAGATAACCCCCTAGGTTGAAGGGGAAAGACTCAAACAATTGTTGATGGATTCACCTAGCATGCATTGCATGAAATTGCATGAAACATGATACCAGTATAAACCACTTTTCCACTTAGGGATATACTGTTTGTTGTGTTAATAAAGAAGTCAAGGGCATCTTATTAACTCCTCCATACAGCACATTGGGTTTCTTAAAATTTGCACTTTTCCAACTACATAAATCCATAGTTTTTATCCCACATTCGCACAAATAGGGGTCACCGGGAGTCTGATTATTCGGTGACTAAAATATTTTAGCGTCGCCAAGACATGCCCCTGTCGAGGACTGAGCTCGCGACAAGCATCCTAAATCCCAAATACCGTGGCTCTCAACCTCCTTACCATCTATGAATGCACCTTGTAGCTATTTTTCAAAGCAGACGAAGACAGGTCATTTGTGGTGGCATCTTTTCAAATAGTCTCTCGTTGTATACTTGGACGATACCGTTACAATCAGGGTGGTTAATTCTATGCAGACCGATCCTGCAGCAATCACATCCCCATTGTTATATCAGTTGAAGTAATTCGAGGACAGGCAGGTTCTCGATAATCAACATCGCCATCATGGCGCACAATTATGAAGTTGGTACGAAGGCATGGCAGCCGGATGTTACGGAAGGGTGGGTTGCTTCGGAATTGGTCACAAAGACGTTGAATGGAGACAAATATACACTGGTCTTTCAACTTGAAAATGGAGAGGTTTGTTTATCCCGCAACTTGGCTGGATTTTCATATTTTCCCCTTCCTAGATGATGCTGACTTTTATTTTCTACTGCAGAGCAAGTCGATAGAAACTACAGAAGAAGCTTTGACAGGAGCAAAGAATGCCTCCCTACCCCCTCTGATGAATCCAACGATGCTCGAAGCTAGTGATGATCTGACGAATCTTTCCCATCTCAATGAGCCTGCTGGTAGGGTCCCTGATCACAACGTTCCTCCATTCGTAAAACTGATCTTACCCTGTAGTCTTGCAGGCTATTCGATTACGATATTTGCAGAAAGAAATTTATACATACAGCGGCATTGTGCTGATAGCAACGAATCCCTTCGCGCGGGTTGATTCTTTATATGTTCCTGGCATGGTACAAGTTTATGCAGGAAGGCAAAGGGCTACTCAAGCTCCCCATTTGTTTGCGATTGCAGAGGAAGCTTTTGCGTAAGTAGCTACTGTTCAAATGCTGGTTACTTGCTAATGATTTCAGGGATATGCTGCGAAGTCAAAAGAATCAGACAATTGTGGTATCAGGAGAATCTGGAGCTGGCAAGACTGTCAGTGCCAAATATATAATGCGATATTTTGCTACCAGAGAGTCACCAGATCAGCCAGGAACAAGGACGAAAAGGGGCACAGAACAAATGAGTGAAACAGAGGAACGGATTTTGGCTACGAATCCTATCATGGAAGCTTTCGGTAACGCCAAGACTACACGTAACGACAACTCTTCTCGATTCGGAAAGTATATTGAGATTATGTTTGACGATAAGACAAACATCATTGGAGCAAAGATTCGCACATATTTGTTGGAGCGTTCGAGATTAGTGTTTCAACCACTCAAGGAGCGAAATTACCACGTTTTCTACCAGCTAGTAGCAGGAGCATCGGAAATCGAGACAAAGGAACTGGATTTGAAGTCTGCGGAACAATTTGATTACCTCAACCAGGGAAGCTCGCCAACCATTGACGGTGTTGATGATAAGGCAGAATTTGAAGCGCTGAAGGGATCTTTGGCAACAATAGGAGTTGATGCCGGTCAACAAGCGAACATCTTCAAATTGCTTGCAGCTTTACTTCATTTGGGTGACGTTAAGATCACCGCGTCGAGAACGGACTCTGTATTAGCTCCTAATGAGCCGGCATTGTTGAAGGCAGCATCGTTGCTTGGCGTGGACCCTGTGGAGTTTGCAAAATGGACCGTGAAGAAGCAGTTGATTACGAGAGGCGAGAAGATCACGTCAAACTTGACTCAACAACAAGCAATCGTTGTGCGAGACTCAGTTGCAAAGTTTATCTACTCAAGTATGTTTGATTGGCTCGTGGATAGCATCAACTATGCCCTTGCCACCGATGAGGTGTTAGCTCGTGTGAAAACATTCATTGGTGTGCTGGATATTTACGGGTTCGAGCATTTTGCTAAGAATTCCTTCGAACAATTTTGTATCAATTACGCGAACGAGAAGCTCCAACAAGAATTCAACGCTCACGTGTTCAAGCTTGAACAAGAGGAATATCTTAGGGAAAAAATCGACTGGACGTTCATCGACTTTTCAGACAACCAACCCTGTATTGACTTGATCGAGGGAAAGCTTGGTGTATTATCACTCCTTGATGAAGAATCCAGACTACCGATGGGATCAGACGAGCAATTTGTGATGAAGCTGCATCACAATTTTGCCGCCGACAAGAACAAATTCTACAAAAAGCCCCGCTTCGGAAAATCGTCATTCACCGTTTGTCATTATGCTATCGATGTCACTTATGAATCGGATGGCTTTATTGACAAGAATAGTGACACAGTCCCCGATGAACATATGGCAGTTCTGAGAGCCTCCTCAAACAAATTCTTGGGTGCAGTTTTAGATGCTGCCTCTGCTGTGAGGGAAAAAGATACAGCCTCGGCAACAACCTCAGCTGCAACAAAACCCACACCTGGTCGACGGATTGGTGTTGCTGTCAACCGCAAACCCACTTTAGGTGGTATCTTCAAGTCTTCTCTGATCGAGCTTATGGGCACTATTAACGGCACAGATGTTCACTATATCCGCTGTATTAAGCCCAACGAGGCCAAAGAGTCGTGGGTCTTCGAGGGCCCTATGGTACTGAGCCAGTTGCGAGCTTGTGGTGTACTCGAGACGGTCCGAATTAGTTGTGCAGGCTATCCCACACGCTGGACATTTGAAGAATTTGCTTTACGATACTATATGTTAACGCCCTCGTCAGCGTGGACATCGGAGATCCGCGATATGGCTAATATCATTCTCACGAAAGCACTCGGTGCTAGCAGTGAAGGTGTATCGGACAAGTATCAACTTGGTTTGACGAAGATTTTCTTCCGTGCAGGCATGTTGGCATTTTTGGAGAACTTGCGAACAACCCGACTCAACGACTGTGCAATTATGATACAGAAGAATCTCAAAGCGAAGTACTATCGACGCAGATATCTTGATGCTAGAGGTGCGATTCTTACATTTCAGTCTGCAGTTCGAGGTCACCTTGCTCGTAAGTATGCCCAAGAGAATCGTAAGGTCAAGGCTGCTACAACCATTCAAAGAGTTTGGCGTGGTCAGAAACAGCGCAAGAAGTTCTTGGCCATTCGCAACAATGTTATCCTCGCTCAAGCTGCTGCCAAGGGGTTCTTGCGCAGGAAGGAAATCATGGAGACTCGAGTCGGGAACGCTGCTATGATTATTCAAAGATCATGGCGATCAAGACAATCCCTTAAGAAGTGGAGAGATTACAGGAAAAAGATTGTCATTGTCCAAAGTCTTTGGCGGGGTAAAACAGCACGTCGTGGGTACAAGACGATCCGCGAAGAGGCAAGAGATCTCAAGGAAATTTCCTACAAATTGGAGAACAAGGTCGTCGAACTTACTCAATCTGTCGGTACGATGAAACGGGAGAATAAGACCTTAATGACTCAAGTAGAGAACTACGAAAGCCAGATCAAGTCATGGAAAAACAGGCACAATGCTTTGGAAGCTCGCGTAAAGGAGTTGCAAACCGAGGCTAACCAAGCTGGCATAACTGCTGCACGTCTCGCTGTCATGGAGGAAGAAATGAAGAAACTTCAGACAAATTTTAACGAGTCAGCTGTCAATATCAAGCGTCTGCAAGAAGAAGAGAAAGAGTTGAGGGAGTCTCTTAGGATATCAAATCTTGAGCTCGAGAAGGCGAAAGAGGAGGGTACCTTGCACGAATCCGAGAAAATTACTCTCAGGCAACAGCTTGTTGACCTGCAAGATCAACTTGACCTGGCAAAGCGTGCAGGTCCTGTTCTACCGCTCAGTGGAGATATCATGAATGGCGCTACTGCTGCGCAACAAAATGGACTCATCAATTTGGTCTCATCGAAGAAACCAAAACGCAGAAGCGCAGGGGCTGAGCCACGTGAGTTGGATCGCTTCAGTGCGGCTTACAATCCAAGGCCAGTATCCATGGCTGTCACAAGCAACAATCTCCACCAACAAACACTATCCGGCTCCACATTCCAGCCCAGTGTTGACACCATTGAGTTCGAACTCGAGAATCTTTTGGCTGATGAGGAGGGCTTGAACGAAGAGGTCACAATCGGTTTGATTAAAAACCTTAAGATTCCAGCCGCTACGTCCACTCCACCACCAACAGACAAGGAAGTCCTTTTCCCATCCTACTTGATCAATCTAGTCACATCAGAGATGTGGAACAATGGATTTGTCAAGGAATCGGAGAGGTTTCTTGCAAACGTTATGCAATCCATCCAACATGAAGTTATGCAGCATGACGGTGATGAGGCTGTCAATCCCGGTGCCTTCTGGTTGTCGAATGTTCACGAGATGCTTTCATTTGTTTTCTTGGCTGAAGACTGGTACGAAGCTCAGAAGTCGGACAATTTCGAGTACGATCGTCTTCTGGATATCGTCAAGCATGATCTTGAGAGTTTAGAATTCAACATCTATCATACTTGGATGAAGGTTCTGAAGAAGAAATTGCAAAAGATGATTATCCCAGCCATCATCGAATCCCAATCGCTGCCAGGTTTCGTCACCAATGAAAGCAACAGATTCTTAGGTAAATTGCTTCAGACCAATTCAGCTCCTGCTTTTAGCATGGATAACTTGCTCAGCTTGCTCAATAATGTTTTCAAAGCCATGAAGGCCTACTATTTGGAAGATTCAATCATCACACAGACAGTCACGGAATTGCTCAGATTGGTCGGTGTCACAGCATTCAACGATCTTTTGATGAGAAGAAACTTCTTGTCGTGGAAGCGAGGACTTCAAATCAATTACAACATTACAAGAATCGAGGAATGGTGTAAGAGTCATGACATGCCGGAGGGAACTCTTCAACTAGAGCACTTAATGGTAAGTAAAATTATGTATTTCTAACAAGACCGGATACTAACAAAGTTGCAGCAAGCCACCAAACTCCTTCAGTTGAAGAAGGCCACCCTTAATGACATCGAGATTATTCAAGATATCTGCTGGATGCTCTCACCGAATCAGATCCAGAAGCTGCTCAATCAATATCTCGTCGCAGATTATGAACAGCCCATCAACGGAGAAATCATGAAAGCCGTCGCTTCCCGCGTCACAGAGAAGAGCGACGTCTTACTCTTAACTGCTGTTGATATGGATGACAGTGGGCCATATGAAATCGCAGAGCCTCGTGTCATCACAGCCCTGGAGACATACACACCTTCGTGTACGTATTATTGCCACAATTGTGATGGATCATAGCTAACAGAGACCCAGGGCTCCAAACGCCAAGATTAAAACGCCTAGCAGAGATCGTTTCCCAGCAGGCCATGCAGCAACAGGAAAAATTGGAATACGCTCATGATGATATCAACGAGCAATCAGACAACGAGACAAACGGTGCTTGATTGCGGGCCCACTTGTGCGCCCCTTATCTCATGCAAAACCTCTTCCCTTCTTCTGTACCATTTTAACATCCACCACTCTTAAGATCTTTACTGCCATGGCTTGGAGAGCCTTTTGTATATGGCATTTGGGATTCTTCCAGCATTTGCACAACCTTTGGGGTAGCATGAAATCTTGATTGTTAGCGTACATTTTCCTATCTTTTGAGGCGAGGAAGGGAACTAAAAGATCTTCCCCCTTTTTTTGTAGATTTGATAGCACGGGAATTTCCGAGTGCAATCGTGTAAAATCTTCCCATCAGGCGTTGAAAGTTACTTTAATACTCTTTTTGCTTTTTTTTCGATGTTACTGTTGCTTATTTCTTCTGTTGTTCTTCTTCATCTTCTTGTTTTAGGGATATGATATGGGGACAAGACAAGACAAATGAGATGATTGATATTAGATGATGATATGAAAAGACAAGATGGAGATTAGTAGATGAGATGAAGCTTTTTCGCAAACATGAATGAATGGGTTGGAACGGATCGGAATGGATTGTGGTGTTTTTGGGGCCAATTTTTTGATAGGAGATTTTCTGAATGAAATGTGAAAGGAGATGATTGATACTCAGTAGAAGGAAATGATTATGAGAGAGAGAAAGAAAGAGAAAGCCAAATGCGATACGATACAATGTCATCTTGTGTACGAGAGTAGATTGAATTGAATGAATATGTGGTGAACGAGGTCAACTACTCGTAGTGATGCCATGGTGAGTTTTTCTCTATACTTGCAAGTACTTGGGTTGTGGGTTGTGGCTTGTATGTTATACATCAAGCTCTCAGCTGGGGATAGAGGAGATGCATACAGGCATGTACTCGTAGTAGCGGTTGTGGTTGTAATTGTGGTTGTGGTTGTTGTGTTCGTTCTTCTGTGACTAGAGTAGGTAGGTACCAACTTTGATTTTTTTATAAGGAGGTCTTAGGTTTTACGGTATAGGGTAGAGGTACCTACCCTATCTTGTGAAATTACCTCTAACCACCTCCTCTCCTCTTGACTTGACTTTTCCATCCTCATATCATATAACTTGGAACAAAATTTCATAACTTTTCCTGTCCCAGCCCAAGAATCTTTACTTCAAAAAACGGGAAAATTAGTCTGCAAATCCACTCTACATCGAGATTGAAAACACCCACGCATGGTATCCCCCTCAATATCAACTTCTTCACCACTCTCCAAAAGCGTCTACTTGAGTAACTCACCCATCAAACCACCTTCCTCTTAATCCTCACCCTCGCCTCCTTATCCGGCAAACCAACCGCGCTAGTTTTGATCATCCCCGGAATCTTCCATTTCCCCTTCTTCTCCCCTTTCGCAGCCACAGGTTCGATTTCCCAATACATCAACATCCCGGCTACAAAAGCGAGACATTCTCGCTCGGCAAATACGCGACCTTTACATATGCTAGGTCCGCCACCATAGGGACGGATGGTTTGGGGATCGACGGAGTTCTTGCCGGTTTCGTCGGTGACGAGGAAGCGTTCGGGGTTGAAGGTGGTGGGGGAGGAGAAGTAGGAGGGGTCGCGCATGTGGAGGTCGTGGGGGAGGGTTACGTGTTCGTTTTTGTGGAGGATGTAGGTGACGGCTGAGGTTTTGTCGGTGTCTGTATTAGAAGGTTTGTCGGTGAGGGTAATGTCATTTTCGAGTTTTCGGATAGATGTTGGTTGGGAAGTTAAACGCAAGGCTTCTAGATAGGTTGATTTGAAAAGGGGGCATTTTTGGGATAGATCTTCGTGGGAGAAGTTGAGGCGTGGAGCTTCGGCGAAAGAGCCGATCCTTTCGCCGGGAATAACGGTTGCGTAGGGCGAGATTTCGTCGCAGATTTGGTCGGCAAGGTCGGGGGTGGAGAGGATGTATAGCAGGTGCCAGTAGACGATAAGAGTGGAGTTATTCACGAGGGCCCAAAGAACCTAGGGCTAGTGTTAGACGTTTGAGTTTAAAGGTGGAAGAGATGTTGACTTACAGATACATCTCCGCGTTCATTCGGTTTGAGACCATGTTCTACCATGTTGTTAGTCGATGGAAGGAATGTGTTTCTCTGAAATCTTACTTCTAAAAAATTCGTGTCTCTTCATGATGAAGTCACTGACATCATCTAAATCACCCCAAGAGGAGTCCACGTGCTTTCCATCTACTGAAGCATCAAGAGCTTCATGAAAACTGTTTATACTATATTGAACTTGGGAGCGAGAATAGTGAGCTCTAGCAACAGAAGGCCAAGGAGTGAACCATGGGAGCCCCATGTTAAAATACATCATGCCACGGTCCATTTCATAGACATCATGCAAAACATGAGGATTATTGTCTAAGAACGCATGACCGAAGAGACTTGGTACAGAGGCTTGCCCAAGTATATCTCTAATCAAGGCCATGAGATCGACCTCCATTTCATTGTTCGAGATATAATCAGCATTGGCCCATTTTTCCCATGGATATTGATCTATTTCACTATCCACAAATGAAACCATCTGTGGGATTATTCTTTGAAGATTGCGTACAGTTCCGTCCAGCATGTTGCTCAGATGTGGTTCCTTCATGAGATAATTGAAAGTCGCCGTGTATTCCTGAAGACAAGTCAGTTTTAACACGGGACTCAAGATGAAACTGTCTTACCTCCCAGTTGTCTAGATATTTCTTCTCTGCACTTTTAGGCACTCCGAAAAACTACAATAGTTGTTAGTGACTTAAGTTATGACTAGTTCATGGTTGTCTAGTTCATGATAGTGAAATATCCACCTTCAATGCTAGATCCAGCGCAACAGATTTGAATGTGACATCTGATTCCTTTTTTTGTAATACTCTATCAAGATGCTATTAGTGATCATTAATGCGAGAGTGCTCTCGCTCATACTGACTCCTTAACCAGTTTTGGATTTGATACTGCATTCATTAGCTTTTGTACGCCTACTCACGAAACTGCAGGGGACTCACTGATATTATGTGTTGAGCCTCCAAGACTAAGTGCAAATATGCCTAGCTTAATGCATTAGCAATGTTCGAATATTGCAACGCCCTCAATGGCGAAAAGTTTAGCGGTTATAAATGGCTGCAAAAATAATGGTCTCTCAAATGCAAGAAACATCTCGAGCCGAACTCACCATGGGCACTTTGGTCCCTAGACTCCAGTCAGCATCCATGTTATACGACCAACATCCTGAATCTAATTACCTTAAACCACTCGTCAAATTCTCTGCATTCATCCAACTATCACTTCATCAGTTCCAAATTTCACCTAACACGAGGAAGTGAACGAAACATACAACGAAAACACATGTCCCACACCCGGCACCCAATAAGCCGGCATCCAAACCGTCCTCCCATCTTTTCCCTTTAACTTTTCCGACGGTCTCTCACTCAACAATCTAGTAGCTATGATCGCGAGAATTGGTGCCAGAGCGATGCTGAGAATGATAGGTAAAGGGGTTGAGCGAATGGAGGTGAGGGTATTTGTAATCAAGCTTTCGAATTTGGAGGTGTCGATGGTATCGGTGTCAGTGGGATTTATGAGGGGCTGATAGAAGTCGTCCATGACGGAGAATACACTATTATGAAGACTGGCTAATCGAATAATAAATCATTGCAGTTATTAGAGTTGAGATAATATGCTGGGGTGGCACGATCCATGTACCGAGTAAGACTGGATGAGAACATATCTTAAGATTTCAAAGTTTATAGGATCTGGAGTCTTCGTCTTCGTCTTTACTTACTTTTCGAGTTCTTCTTCGACTCTTCATCAAAATCAATCATCAAGATTCCCCCCCCCTTTCCCACATACATAAAAACCTTCACATCCATCCCCATCCCCATTCCATCGATAACATGGCCCCTCCCAAAACCCTCAACTTCATCACCGGCAACAAAAACAAACTTGTCGAGGTAAAAGCCATCTTGGGCAATACCATCAATCTCCAAAGCCAATCATTAGATCTCGTTGAGATCCAAGGAACCATTGAAGAAATCTCCAGCGACAAATGTCGACGAGCTGCTGAAATTGTATTTTGCAAATGTCCCTGTTGTTGATCATGAATTGAGGAGTTTTGACTGATTCAATATACAGATTAAAGGTCCAGTGCTCGTTGAGGATACGTGTTTATGTTTCAATGCATTGAAGGAATTACCTGGTCCATATATGTAAGGATTTCACATTTTCTAGCCAGTTTTTTCTAGTAAGTTACGTGAAAATGGGCTGGTTATTGATATATATACCATTGCAGCAAATGGTTCTTGGAGGCATTAGGTCACGGTGGATTGAATAGCATGCTAGCTGGCTTTCCAGATAAATCTGCACAGGCAGTGTGTACATTTGCCTATTCTGAAGGCCCGGGCCATGAACCTATTATCTTCCAAGGACGAACAGATGTATGTGCTTCCCATGTTCCTCCTTGCCAACGTACAAATCTAACATTTCTTAGGGCAAGATAGTACCTGCAAGAGGTCCAACTGCATTTGGTAGGTTCTATTCACGCCAATAAATCATCTCCTTCCATTAATATTTCCTGTTTTTTAGGTTGGGATCCTATATTCGAGTATGAGGGCCAGACGTAAGCCTCCCATTTCCATTTGATACTGTCCCACACCCTGTTCCCCCATTTTCTAACCCTCCCATTTTAGATACGCCGAGATGGAGAAGGTTGAGAAGAACAAGATCTCGCATCGTTTCAGAGCACTTGAGAAGTTGAAGACCTGGCTGCAAGAAGAAGCATAGAGTCCAACGAATAGACAGACAATTGAACCACGATATTGTTCCATCTATCCAAATCACTGCTCGTCCTCAACACGATCCTTCTTCCATTGCTTTATCCACGCCTCAACCCTCTCCACGTTACTTTCCACCTCATCACTTGTATCACTCCGCAGCTCTACCACAATCTCCTCGTCATAACTCTCTCTCGCTTCCTCGAGTAGCACCTCCATAATCTCCGCATCTAAATTCTCTTGTAGTTTGGCCTCTGGATAGTTCCTATATTTCAACTGAAGTCAGCTTCCTGGTCTATACCCTAATCTCCCTCCACTTCTGGATGCATTTTCTCAGGACCAATTGGGAAGGAACATACCTCGCCTTTAACCGATCATACAACAGCGTCGAGTCCACCCTCAGCACAACCACTAGATCAATCCAGCTTTTCGGAAATAATTCACAAGCGTGCCAATCGATAATGAATCCACCCTGCTTAACCTCTTCTTCTATTTCATCCAGTAACTATCCATTCCCAACCTATTAGCCTTTATCCCAACCCATAATATAATCTCTCCAACAAAGTCAATCGAATCACTCCATGTAGATGCCCACTTTCGAAAAGAGAAACCAAGCCCACCTTATCCTCATCCACAATCCAAGTCTTCAACTCATCATCCCACCCCTCATGACAGCCCTTCTCCTTAACCACATCATTAACACTCAGATGCTTCAACCCCGTACTTTCCGCCAACTGTTCGCAATGTGTAGTTTTTCCTGCACCGGGCGTGCCGGTGATAATTACATTGGGTTGGGTGCGCATAATGGCGAGCTTGTGAATCTGCAAGCTTGTAGTCTGGTTCCAATTTATTACAGTACCGCCGTCCTATTCTTGACTATCCTGGGAGTCTTCGAGGATATTTGAATAAGTCGAATTGATGGAGATTTCAAGAAAATTATATTGAAGATGGGTTCGTTGATAGGGTCTGGTTTGGGAATCCGGTGTAAATTCTTGGATAGAGAACTCTCTTGTGCGCGAAAGAAGTAGGTATGTAATAATTAATACTGTTTGATCTGCAAAAAATATTTATGAGGGCTTATCGGCACGTGTTGGTGGGGAGAGCAAACGGGTGAGTGTGGGATCTAAAAATAGATAGGGTTGGCGGGACCCGCGGGAATAGCCTCGAGGGAGCTCTGAAGCTTTAGGTGGATTGTATGCTAGCTCTGAATACGTGATGTCATTGTTATTGCCATTTTTAGACAGTTAGATGCACGATTAGGATAAACATGTATGGTTGTTTCTTGTCATTGGGATATGCTGCATCTAGTGATATACTGGATGGGTGCTGAATCATGTGTGAAGGAAGCTTAATTTGCTAATTTATTACTCGAGTACTCGATGTGATATATTGATTTCGTTCATATCCAGGTCAACCAGCTCCCCTATTCACAAATTGTAACATCTCGCTCGCATTGCTTGCTCTTATTCTCATTCCTCCGCTGTAGGCTTGTACATGATTGTCGTCACATACTACATGGTGGGTTAGTGCAAAACAGGAATAAGCAAAGAATGGCCCGTACCTTTCTCTTATATCTGGTCGTGGCAGAGACAGCAAGAACATTGTTCTTAATGCTGCTCGTAGCTAAATGATTAAGAACAGTGTGATTAGGCATAGTCAGAACACTATTGTCATCCTTCATTGGTGCATTGGCATTCAAAATTGGCTTTCCCAAGAATCCTGGCAAACTAGGGGGAGGAGGCAGTTTGTCTATGGCCGCAATCGCATACCGGTAGTCCCTCGAATCTTCGGGTTTATCCATATCTATAAGATACTGTGGAATTTCCGATGTAAATTGACTCTGGGAGATTGCTGGTTTCATCTTCGAGATCGGCTTAGGCTTTGTCCTCTCTTCTGCAGGTACTGGCTCTGGCTGAGTGATCTCGGGTTTGTTTTCCGGACCTCCAATTGGATCACTAGGTATTTTTACAAAAGTCTCATCGCTAGGTAGGTCATCAGCGCTGACTTCGATGTAATTGACTAAGTTATTGCCAAAATCAACTGTGGTGGGCAGAAGCGCGGAGCATTTCATAATGCCATCTTGAATGAATCGGACGTGGTGAGTTCCAGGTCGTACATGAATAATTGCTCTCAAAAGGTTCGGCTCTCCTTCCCTGTGAAGTATTAGTGGGAACCATGAAAACATCGGGGTTTCAAGGTTTTGTATGAAAATAATAGGAACTCACACTGCGCTCAATCTATGTTTCTTATTCCATTGAAATATGGTACCGGTTACATAAACTTTCTCTCCGCCTTCTCTCCACTCAAACAGAGTCGGTACTGTTGCCTTCGTCTGGTCGATTTGAATCTCCTCGGCGTCCTCTTCGTCTATAGTTGTGTTGCTAAGCGCAGAGTTTCGTCTTGCAAGTGGTTCGTTGTCCAGAGTATCCATATCCATCGCCGGCGCGATCGTATCAGCCGGTGCGATTAGGGGTGACCCTGGTGTATGAACCTCCTCCTCGATTGGGAGTGGAAGTCTTGGAGGCCGCGTAAGATGATACGACATGTCTTGAATGGGAGGACCATAAGGGTCGATAGATGGAGGTTGCGTGCTCGATAGGGAATGTGAGTGGGATCTAGACGTTGTAGTGTCGTAATTTGAAGATGGCATGGGAACATCGACTGGCTTGGTTGGCTGATCTCTCACGTCGATCTTATCTGTCTCTGTTTCGACTCTATGTGGTTGCAGGCCCATTTGTGGTTCTCTGGCATGCGCCGACGGTATATTGACTCCCGAACTCGGCAAAGAATCATTGAATTGAGCGGTAGGGTGTGATTGGGAGTTGCGCGGGCGGTGTGTGACATTCGATCCGTGAGCTTGGGCTAGAGAAGGTTCTGCTCTCGCAGCGGTCCTTTGTGAATGAATCAAATTTCTGGGATCTCTGCGAGTTGAGGACGCCCTTAATGAGTCATTACTATGATTCGAAGGTGCGGGAGAGTGTGAATGAGGTGTTGGAGCGGCTGGCCTCGTGTTGGTGGAAGGTGTATTTCCCATTATGAATATGATCGTGTGAATTTAGTAAAGGCACTCAAAAATCATTCTGGTCGGAAGGGGAAGGTCCTTAAATAAAGAAAGAAGGTCAAAAGGTCAAGGGAAACTGCTGAGCGAAGCTATCTTATGAGTACTGTACTCGAGTAGGTAGTATAGTAAAGAAGTGATTTTGATTGTGAATTGAAAATGAATGTATAAGTTTCACGAATCTGGATGATCTGTATCTGTCGAAGATATTTAGAAATGATTTAAATTGAGTTGGAGGTTAAAAAACAATAATGAATTTGGGTTGTTCTTTCAAGAAAAGATCTGGACTGAAGTTGTTTCGTTCCTTGATGTTATTTCCTTGAACCCCACAATCACAATCAGCTCTTATAAGTTCCAACCCACAAAATTGCGATGATGCTTCGTATCCTTGTTACCTGCTTACTTGCTTACTTGGTCCGTGCGAAAAGCTTTCCTAGGGGCCATTCTTCAGCCTTGAATTTATTATTATTATCCATAACTGAGATAGATCATAGATCATTCATTATACGAGTATTGTTATGATTATCCACTATGGAAACCTCAAATATGACATGGCTATCGACGATAGGAAGCGCATTTTACTATCTCTCCTTGTCAATCACTGTTGTTTTCAGTTGGCTATTGGCTATTCTCAGGACTACTCTAGCTCCACTACTACATTTGGGAAACTCTTTGATTTCTGCTTTACTTCTCCCCTTGAGAGTACTAGCTAAATTCGAGGTGAGCCACATATGACAGTTAACTGATGGGCTACAGCTAATAGTCTTCAGACCCTCGTAATATTCTTGGGATCTGCAATCCTCATCGGCTTGATCACTGGCTCGGTATTACATATCTCTTCTGGCATCCTCGCATCACTATTCAAATTGGCATCGAGTCCTGAAGAAACGGGTCGTTCTGTGACATCAATTCGCGCTGTACAAGAACAGAAGAAACGGAGTTCGAAACCGGATCTATTGAAATGGAAGGTTGATCCCTCTGTGGAAAAGAGATATTCCGAATGGCTGGAAAAGGATGGAGGTAGAAAGAAGGATGAACACGGGTTATTGGCGCAAACTATAATCGAGGAGGACGATGACTCCGAGGATGGGTTTTGATAGAGCAAGATCAGCGGCGCTGTGCATGTGTGGGTAACCCTGTATCAAAATCTCTCCGGGTGATAATATCTGAGTTCTTAATGGGCTGTTCATTCTCTCCACTTGACGAAGACCTGATCCGTTCTGAACCTCTGAGTACATGTGCTCTCTTCTAATGGAGTCCTGAAGCCAGTTTCGTATGCCAGAAGTCCAGCCTGCGCTATCATTATACCATTATCAATGCAGAATCGTTCATCGGTTGCAAAGACGCTTCCTCCCCTATCCCTTGCCATCAATCCCATCATTTCTTGTAGCCTCTCATTACAACCTACGCCTCCCACGATGAGAACTTGACTGCTTCCTACATGCGCCATAGCTCGTTCTGTGATCTCCACTAACATCGCGTAGACAGTTTCCTGCAGACTGAAACATAAATCTGCAGTTGTAATGATTTCTCCGGTAATGGGATCCTTTTGCTCTGGGTTCGCTTTGAGTTCCGCCGCGAGGATATCAATGCTCGCCAAGATTCCAGAAAACGAGCAGTCCATTCCTTTTACCGCATATGGCAGATCCAGTAGCACTTTTCCCTTCTTTGCTAGTTGTTCAATATTGTATCCTGGTGCAGGGTCATTGCTGATCTCCAGGGTCCTTGCAAAGCGGTCCAAACAGTTACCAACTGCAATATCTAGCGCTTCTCCAAAAATTCGATATCGTTGCTCTGCATATGCAATCACCTGGGTATTTCCTCCACTGACATATAAAACGACCGGATCTTGTGCCCCAGTAATCTCTCGACCCATTTCTATATGTCCGACGCAATGATTCACCCCTACCAACTCTTTACCCCACAACAACGAAAGCATCCGCGCTGCGATAGCCACACTCTGCAGAGGTGCACCCATGCCAGGGCCTTTCGTATAACATATGCAGTCGATATCGGATACCTTCACTCCAGCTTGCGCCATAGCTTGCCTAACAAGTTTGACAACCCATGATCGATGATGCTTCGCAGTATCTTTCGGTAGGAAGCCTTCACCTGGAGGTGAGACAAAGGTATGTCGGATGTTGGAAAGAATTTTAGCTGGCTTGCCTTTGGAAGGGTGTGATATAACACCGACACCCAATTTGTTAGCACTACCTTCAAGTCCGATAGCAATCATTTTAGCTGTTGGAATAAGATTATTATTTTGGCTGGAAAATCGTGGAGGGTTGACGATATAAATCACACAGCGGATAAGATACCGCTAAAATTAGACAAGGCACAAGGCACAATTAATCGATAAGGATACTAGGTAGGTAACCCTTACTAACCTCTTCAAGGCTCGAAGACAGTAGAAATAACCTCTTTACTTCATCTATTTTCACAACCAACATCTAAAATGGCTGGAAATTTGCACAATTGATAATGTTAATGCAATCAATATATGATACTAGCCTTATTTAATTCCATTGCTATCAGTAATTATAAGAGTGCGAAATTTTTCTTGCTGACCTTGCAATGCCCCACATTGTCGTCTACATTAGGATTAGTGCCCCTTGATTTGCTCGGTTTATTTTAGCGACCATCATCCTTTGGTGCGAGTTTAGAAATTGAAGTACTTACTGTGCCAATCCTGATACTACATTACACACAATCAACGCACGCCATCTCTTCAACGAAAGAGGATAACGTACCGGAAATATGGACGTCGACGATTTCGAAGCTAGAACAGCAACTTTCTCATCATGGCTCAAAGAAATGGGCATCCGGACTAATCCTAAGATGGCACTGGTTGACCTCCGTCATGAGGGTCGAGGGCGAGGTGTCGGTATGGTCTACTTTTTCTTTGCCTCCCCATTGCTATTGGAGTACGAGCTTGACCAGAAATATACCATTTGCTGTCTCATTGACTCCCGGGAACTGATCTACAGAGGACTATTTGCTGACTTATCATAGTGGCCACAGAAGATATCAAGAATGATGAGCTAATTTTCAGCATCCCCCGCAATGCCGTCCTAAATGCTCAGAATGCGAACCCTCTTCCAATCTCGCGACGACTTTCGGAGAAGATGCCGAGCTGGCTAGTAAGTAGTTCTGAAGACTTGATGAGGTCCGAATATTATAGCTGACTGGACTCTAGGCGCTTACCTCGATACTTATGGCAGAAGGACAAGTAGACAACTCTAAATGGGCTCCGTACCTCGCGATACTACCAGAGCGATTGGATAGCTTGGTATTTTGGTCGGATAGCGAGCTCGCTGAACTGCAAGCAAGTGCGGTAGTTAAAAAAATTGGGAAAAAGGGTGCAGAGGATATGTTCAACTCTTATATAGCTCCGCTTGGCTTGAAACATTCTAGCACAGAGATGTGTCACAAAGTAGCCTCTGTTATTATGGCTTACGCATTCGACATTCCGGATCCCTCAGAAGCTCCAGCTACCGGTGGCAAAGGAGGAGATGAAGACGACCTAATCTCCGATGACGGCGAAGATGAGAAAACGATATTATCTATGATTCCGTTGGCAGATATGCTTAACGCAGACGCAGACAGGAATAACGCTCGCTTAATCTGCGACAACGAGGAGCTAGAGATGAGAGCAATCAAACCTATCACGAAGGGAGATGAAATATTCAATGAGTCCGTCTTTCCTCCAGTCCCATTTTCAGCAGTCCCATTTTCAGCAGCGATAATAGTTCGCTGACAAGTAGGTCGTTTAGTTATGGCCAGCTCCCCAGGTCCGACCTTCTAAGGAGATATGGATATGTCACAAATGGATACTCTGCATATGATGTCGCTGAGGTTTCAGCGGAGCTCATTGTTTCTATGTTTCGGAACGGTAAGGTTCTAGCATCGTTGCCAAAGCTCACTCAAGATGGTTTGAAAACCCGCCTCGAATTGGCCGAACGAGAAGGCGTTTATGAAGACTCTTTCGATCTTGTGCATTCTAGCTCGGAAGAGCCGAGTATCCCAGACGAGCTTTTGACATTTCTGTATCTCTTGCTGATTGATGAAAGTCATCTTAAAGCTATCTTGGACTCAGGGAGCAGCCTTCCAAGCCGTTCCAAACTTACCACGGAGCTCGCAGGTCAGGTACTAGTAATTTTGTTGCAAGCGAAAGAGAAAGAATATTCGACCACTCTTGAGGAGGACGAAGTTCTATTCAAAAACGCAAATCTCCCGGTTCGAACCGCCATGGCAATTCAAGTACGTTCTGGAGAGAAGGAAGTGTTGCGAGCAGCTATACAAGAAGCAACTACCTTTTCCGGTGATAATCATCGTATGAGGCTCGCGCCTTCAAAGGAGGGAACGACGAAAAACGCGAAAAGAAAGGGGGAAGAAACGGAACAGCCAAAAAAAAAGGTCGTTCTTGGTAGAACATCAACTCTTTGATGCCGAGAACACTTTGGTTGGTAGGTCACGAAGCTTTTATCTTGCTCCGGGGGCACTTTTGGAGGAGATTATTAAATTGAGCATCATTTTGACGATCTTTTGCTCGTTCATGAGCGCTAAAATACAAGCAGGTCTACCAGATACCTTCCTTAGGTACTTTCGGACAGAACCTCTAATGACAACAAATCAACGCTCAGCCCTTTCCCTGGGTAACGCCCCTGCCTCCCATTATCCGTTTAAACCCTGCAGAATTTGATTTACAAAGAAGCCTTCGTAATGAAGCCGCTCCTGGTAAAGTGACAGCTCAGTTGTCGTGAAAAAGAAATTTCTAATTACTAGGTTGGTGCGGTTGTGATGGAGGCCCGATTGCTCGGTTGTTCACAGGACTACCTCCAGTACCAGCCCTGTTCGATTGCGATGCCTGCTGGAACATTCTTTGCCGATGTAAATGTAAATCCGGATATAGATGGCCAGAGAGAGGTATCGTGGATCTGAAACGTAGAGGGTTGGTATCATATGGATCTATCTCATATACAGGTTGTCCATCATCGTCATCGTCATCGTCATCCTGGTCATATTTCCAACGTTCAGAATTCCTCTCTGCGCCTTTACTGGCGGCTATAGACATGCCCCTCCGGTCTATCCAAAGGCGACCACCTCGGCCAATTCGTCTCCGGTATGCTGGTCGCGCACGACGATCATCTTCCTCGGGAGGTGTACTATACCGCACGGTCACTGCATCCGGCTTGTTTTGGTTCACTAGAGACACTTGTTCAAAGGTTTCCGAAGTCACAGATGATGGTGGTGTCAGCAAATTATGACTGTATTGGGCCATCGCAGGACGGAAACCCGTGCTAGAGCTTTGTCCTTCAACCGGTAAGAGTGGTTCTCTTGTGCAGTCGATGTAGTTCTCGTTCCACTTGACATGCTGGGCAGATTTTTCCTCTAGTTCTCTTTGCAACATATTCTCTTTTTGGGCCAGCTGATCACTTAATAATATCAGATCCATTTCAATTCCACGACCATCAGGACGAGCTGGAATACGGAGTGGAGGTAGAGGTCGTGGCGCATTCTGAAAGTCGGGAGCCTTTCTCTTCTGCGGCTTTGAACTGTCAATAGGATTTCCTGGCTTTCGTTCAAGGAAGGAGAGCATGCATACCTTCTGGTTGATGAGAAGTTCGTCATCAGGATCACTCTTGATACCCAGCTTGACCTTGAGGCTCTTGATTTCACTACGAGACCGGAAAACTGAACGTTCACATTGCAAGAGGTCCCTCTTGAGTATTTCTCGTTCAGTCGCCATTCTGATGAGGAGTCTTGCCTCTTCCATTTCCTTTCTCAGTTTTCTTACTTTGTCTGTAATTTGCATGTCTCGTGCTCTGGTTTTCCTGGTAGCTCTGACTTCACGCCGGCGGAAGCAAACGTATGGATCGCCTTCGTCAATATCCTGGTGCGTCTCGAACTTCAGACTAGGCTGAATGCCACGGTTCTCACACTCTTGCCGTCGAGTTTTCCAGTACTCATATATGTCTTTCACGTATGCAGGTATTTTTTCTTCCCCTCGTTCTTTCATAGCTTCCTTCATGGTCTCAAAGCTCACCAAGGTATTGTCAACTGCTGCATAGGGGGTGTGGGTGTCGGCAGTGTCTTCGAAAAGTTCCATTAGCTTTTCGAAGTGATCTTCCGAAAGCTGTTGATTTGAAAGAGTCTTTTTCTTATTATGATCTTTTAGAAAGATGTCATCTTCGGTGGTCATGTTATATTGACACCCAATGCATTCTTCCACGGTCTGCGAAAAGCGGATGTAGGTCGCAGGTTTTTCAAATTTCCTCGAGTATAAGGATTCATAGTCAATATCGGTACCTTCTTGCGCAGGAGGAGCGGGAATCTCTTGTGGGCCATCCTTATCGCCCGAAGAGTGACTAGCTGCCAGAGCAGCTTGAAGATGGTATTCCTATTTAACACACATAATCAGCATATCCATATCTAGCACGTGATATAATAACCAGATCGAGCACGTGATACTAACATTTTCTTCGCCTTTCTCGACACCAGTCTCGACCTTGTATTGACCTTGCAAAGAATCATATTCTGCAGATTCTATCTGGTCTTCTCGAAGAATTTGTTGATGGGTGGATCTATTGAGTTTTTTTTGGCGCACCACCCTTCCGGCCGGTTGTGTCCTCATATTGATGATGACTTGACTCCGGTATGTAAAATTAACGCGACAACGAAATTTTGACGCGTAAAAAATTGATATAATAAAAAGTCGATCATGACTTAATGTTTAATCCATTTTTTTAATTGAAGATGGATGTCAGTGTGATTATTTTGATGATCGAAAATTGTACCTAGCCTCGTTCCGAAGTTCTTGATACTGGTAAATTTCTTCCCTGGTCAATGTGTTAATTAACTCCATTTTTGGGATTAATGTTAGCCTGATTAAAGCTACAATGTCAGGTAAGGCAACAACAAAGAACAATCATAAACTAACTATACCTAATTAAGGATCCCTGCATTATCAATTCTTGATGATTAGGAGATTTAGCTATTTATTAGTTGTTATATACCGGTCAGTGAGTTAGTTATTATTCATTATCTATAACTTCACTTTATATTCAATACAACCTTCGATACAATAATACAGTTTTCAATACTGCTTTCAATACAGCTTTCAATACAACCACCAAGATTCTCATAAGACTGGGGGGCGTAAATCAAGTACAAAAGCTACTACAGGAAACATACATTCAAGGCAGAGTGATATAGACTCCCCTCCCCGCCATTCTAGCCTTTCTACGAACCCTACTATTAGTCTTGCGACCACCTCTTTTACTCCACCAACCTTACTACAACTACAAACAAACAAATACACACCAAATAATTCGGAAAGATGGGAAATACAAGCAGTGCAGTATTGGAGAATATTGTGCAAGGGTCCAACTGTGCGGGCGATATATTTTCTACACAACTTATCTGACTAGTTATTGGGGGACATCAGCGCTAATTTTGGGTGCGGTGGCAGTTGATCGAGATGAGGTTGAAAGATTAAGAAAGCGTTTTATGAAGTTGGATAAGGTGCGCAATATCCTGGTTCTGTGCTTGTACTGGGGGTGAAGTGTGCGAACTATGTGGAATTAAGGAGCTAATGGAGACGATGTTTATAGGATAACTCTGGCACTATTGAACGTGAGGAGTTTCTCAGCCTTCCCCAAATCTCATCGAATCCTTTGGCTACTAGGTTTGTCCATCTTTCTATCTGCTACTCACATTCGATGTCTGCGATGAGATTGATTCTAATTGTTCTTCCTCATATAGAATGATCGCCATCTTTGATGAAGATGGAGGTGGAGATGTCGATTTCCAAGAATTCGTCAGTGGGCTCAGTGCATTCAGCAGTAAAGGAAACAAGGAACAAAAGCTTCGTTTCGCATTCAAGGTCTATGACATTGATCGTGATGGATATATAAGCAATGGGGAATTATTCATTGTGTTGAAGATGATGGTGGGAAGTAATTTGAAGGATCAACAGTTGCAGCAGATTGTTGACAAGACAATTATGGAGGCGGATTTGGATAGGGATGGGAAGATTAGTTTTGAGGAATTTACAAAGATGGTGGAGAATACCGATGTGTCTATGAGTATGACTTTAGGTAAGTTTCGATTATATTTGTCTTGGGAAACGTGGTCCGGCACTTTAGGAAGTATGGTTACTGATTGGTGTGGTAGATCAATTTTGATTTAAGGGAAAGGGAGAGGAATATGAAGACTGGTGATATAAGAGCAATACATGTTTTCACACACAACAGACAAGTCAACCCGAAGTACAGCATGACAAGCTCAGATGCACAGATGCAGGACATGATATGAGCCATGGTTGGAGCTCTTGCAGCAGATCGGCTATCCAACTTTGGGTCTGATATGCATTGACAGGGCAAGGTTGGATGGGTGCTTAAGACACAGATTCCTACTCAACTTTAATTATAAGGACAATGAAACTTATTTCCCAAGCTATTTGCTGTTTGTACCTTTTATTCAACAATGTGCTAGTGCTGTTATTGCCTACCGGTACTGAAGGTTGGTTCCTGGATTAGTTGTTCAGTGTCGAGTGATTTGATATTAGTTAGGATGGCACCACAGGTTGGATACTGACACAGGTAGGATATCGAATTATTCAACTTCTTCCTCCCACAAGAACTATTATTAGGTTGAGGCCTTTTTCTTCATTACATTCTGACTAGTAGATGAATGAGTATATCCTCTTTCAAAGTTTAAAAAGTTTAAGAGGATTGTTTATTTTTATTTGTCCAGGCCCCTGAATCGTTATGTTACTCCACGTACCGAATAAAGGCTCAGGCTGAGTGAGGATGCATAAAGTATGTGTATACAAACCTAGGCTTACTTACCACAGGAGTTGACTGCGAAGGAAGTCCTGATCTTATATGTACAGGCTATGCTATTACATCATAGTAGCCGTTTCATAAGTCGGTTTTAATTTTTCGGTTTCCTTCTCAATCAGGCCACTTTCTTTGCCAAATGGTCTGCTAAATGGTCCGCTAAATGGTCCGCTAAATGGTCCGAGGATAAAATTTTAGCCCTACTCCTTGCTGGCCCTTGCTGGCCCTTGCCGGCCCTTGCCGGTCGGTAGTCTGGCTGGTAGTCTGCGGTCCGTGGTCGGTCCGACTTTGGAGACGTGCAACAAAAGTTTATGGTTATATGTTTTAGTGGGTGGTTTTAGTGGTTTTAGTGGTGGTGTCTTGTTGTCTAGGTACTAGGTATACGACAAATTTACATGGGTGGTGGTTATGAAGGTGAGGGTGAGAGGGGGACTGAGATTATATGCACTTGGTACATCAACTCAGTATACATACTTACTCGGTTTAGGTATGGGTTAGGTATAGGAGTGTTGGTGGGTAGCAGGGCCATTCTGAACACCGGAGTTGGAGTGAGTAAATAGGTAGGTAACTGTTTACTTGAAGTTACTGGGTTTTTGAATGGTGGTGATCTAGTGTGGTGAGGTGAGGAAGTCGTGGGAAGTGGGAAGGAAGTGTGGGGGTAAGGATGGTAGGATGGTAGGAATCGTAGGATGGTATGATATGTTTGGTCTACTCTATGGTGGGGTTGGGAACTTGGGCGAAATGCAATTTTATACCAAGCTCTGGATTTATGAGCTGTGTGTTGGAAATTTGGAATGGAATGGTTCGTTCTAGTTTGTGTATTTGGAGCTTGGAGTTTGGAGTTGAAGTTTATGGATTAGTCGATATGGTGAGATAGTTTTAATTATATATTGAATTGAAACGACGAATACGGGTAAAAGGTAAAAGTAGGACTATAAGTTTATAATCCTACAACACCGATCTAATTGGGAATACCCGGAGCAAATAACTTACCTAGGTATCAAGAGTTAGTGAGTTGAATTCCTTTGAGATTGCAAAGGAAAATGGAAAGGAGAAAAGGTATTGTATACATACTCGCGTGGTTGGATACAGATTCAACAAGAACACTCTCTGATACATACGACCATAGACTGAGGAGAATTGGGCATCCCGTCCGCTCTGCCATACACAAGCCTCAGATCGGTAGATTAGTAGTTGGGTGGGTGACCACCAGCGAATCCCTACTGTTGTATGTTATTTTTTTGGTTTTTTTGGTTTTGTTGGGTGGGCGTGTGTGGCGTCAAGAATCAAGAGATATGGATGGATAGATAATAATGGGGTGGGTGACGATGGATGGGATGGATGAGTGTGCGTCTTTTGGCTTGAGTCACTAATTATCTAGTTCTACTGGGTGCAATCTAGGGCCTTTGCGTCTAGTCTACACCCTGAAATAAGATTTGGGATTCTAAGAACACTCGCTGGCACCGGTATATGCGAGCCTCAGCCTGCCACTGGTAGCCTGCCTACCTTCCTACCTACCAGCACCTAAGGGCTCGATGAGTATCTTGACCCATGGCTCTCATAGCTCAGAATATCATGAGTAAGAAGTAAGTAAGCATTTGTTTGGGGTTCTAAATGTTTAGTTGAACAGGAATGTAAAAAGAAGTTGTTTTGTATTCAAGTGTGAGCATCTCATCATCTATCATCTGCTCTTGATGCAAGCAAATCTTCTCAAAATTAGCATCAAAAAGTACATCAATCAGAGAGAGCGCCAACCAAACTTTTTTCTTTAGCATTCATTCATTAATATCGACCAAAAAAAAAGAATAGTAAATCTACATACAAGAAACAGAAAGAATGCCCATTCTAGGAATCGAACCTAGGATCTCATCATTTGGTGTGAAATGCATTATTTGCAAGTACTAGTGATGCGCTTTACCGCTAAGCCAAACGGGCGTTGAGTTGTATATCTATTTACGACGATGAGGAGGATGTTTTGGGTTATATCCTGGTGGGTGGGTGGATTGATGGGTGGATGAGGTGGGTAGATGGATAGGTTGTTGGGTGGATAGGACAGGCTGGTGGGGAACGAACTGGGCTGGGATACATATCTTCATCCTTTCTTGTCTTGGACTCTTTGTGCGTGTGCTTTTTTGCGGCCTGTATGGTATACTATGGTATGGTATGGTATAGTCTTCAGATTATAATTACGAAATGGGAGGCTACTGGTATGCATGCAATGGTAGAGTATCACCTCTTCTGTGTCAGGCCTGGCTACCTCGCGTGCTTGGGAAGGAGTAGAAAAAAGTAAGATGTGGATGAATGAGTATCGAATATCAGTGTGGAGTATCTTCTTCTTTTTTTTGTTTCTTATTTATATGTCCCAAGTTCTCATAAATGTGTATAAAAATAAAAAGGAAACTCCGCTGTAGATACTTCTGTGGGAGTAATACAAGTATCCTTCTTGTCTTTTTCTTATCTTTTCCTTTCCTCCCCTCTCCTTTTTCTCCTCTCCTAAACTAGTTTTCTCTTTAAATTCAATATGGTACCAAGTATGCACTCTCAGGTTCTAAAGACTAGATTACGATTATAAGCAATATGCCTAAGGTGACTCAAGCGAGTAAGTAAAAGAAACAACTATACACATACAGTATATTTCCAAACAAATAATTTTCCAAACAAAGATACACCATTAAACTTCAAAAGTGGTGAAAATCGAGATTTTAGCTTGCTATGTCGATTGTCTACCTACAGGCACCAGAGTTATCAGTCACCTATATGCCATTGATTTCAACTTTAAGGACCAAGATCGTATATGGTATATTCGACTCCCTCATGATATTCGTCATCGACTATGAGAATTACCATCTACTCTACAGACTACAGGTCGAAGCCAAGGCCCAAGTCCGAGTCTAAGCCATTGTTGTTGATGTTGTTGAGACTACTGACCATTGCGCTGCGAGATGTGTTTGGATGTTGATCGTCTGTAGGAATATGGGTATGGATTTATATGGATGTGAGGGTAGTGATGGGAACTTGGGATTCATTTGGTGGAGATTTTGGAAGTGAAAATGGAGTACGTATTGATTGGTAGCTCATGATATTGTGTATTGAACATCCAATAAAACTCTCCTTCTAAAGATTCGTAGGCCATAGAATAACCAATCCCTTGAGTGAGTGCATTTGTGAAAGTAAGATGACTGAACAAGAGGATGATGTTCTATTGATATTTGAGATGATGAGTAGCCAATGTTCAGATTTGATATAAATATTGGTAAGTTATCATCTGGTTCCTTGGGGGGATTTGGAGATGGAATATGAGAGTTTGAACTGGATTGTAAAGACTTCCCGTCAGAGATTATGAGACGATTGTAGAAGATGAGATGTTCAAATCTGATGTAGATATATATTGAAGGATTCTTATCTGATGTTTTGAGAGAATATAGCAAATGTGCAACAACATGTGGGAAGCGAGAGATGAAGGATGGATGAAGGGGAAACTCGGTTAAAACAATGTGCGACATATTCACTTTCAGTATGAGGTCTTGGGACTTGAGGTAAAAAAATTGTAGTCCTAGAACATCAGAGCAGATCTCGATTCCTGCAAAGTGAACAGGAGCAGAGATCAAAAGCTGGGTGTCATGATGTTTACGCGACGTGATAATTGAAACACTGTATGCAATCTGCTCTTTCACCGTGATATGATACCCATTATTTTTGTAGTTCGAGATATTTGCAGTCTTTACACATTTACACTGACTGGTAAATTTTAACCAACCATACCTTGAAGAACACTGAGCCCTAGCATATCAACCAGATTCTCAAATTACGCTTTCCATAACCGCACGCGCAAGTACCTTTCATAATCTGCATCGGACTCCTCGATATTGCCAGTGAATCCCTTTCAGTCAATAACAGAAGATTTCTGGGCGCGTGAACTCTGGCGACTTGAAGGTAGTTGCGTCTAAAGTAAAAGTGATTTGCAAACGTAACACAATCATCAAGATTCCGCAGGAGGGAACGCCCCGCCCCAGGCCATGTGATTTATCAAATCTTTTGTCGGTTAGGAGGATATCTCGAGAGCTAAGTCTCTCAAGCCAGCGTTTCCAATATCCTATTATATTATATCCTACAACTAAGGATGCGCTGGATGGCTTTTATTTGGAGGATAGATAGAACAGAAAATAAAAGTATCGAAGGAGGTAATAGTAGGAATTTGGAAGTTTAGAACATAATAAAAAAAGATGTGATATTAAAAGATTTTAGAAAAATTAAGAAGATAATAAGTATTTAATTTTTCTATTCAATTTAATAGAGAAATACGTATTTCTTATTATGATTCTTTCAAAACTAATTTAAACTTTCAAAACCTTATCAAAATATTTTCATTATTTTACTGAAAGATAAACAAAACTTTTTAGAGTTTCAATAGAAAAAGGATACAAATCTCTCGATAGGATATACTAGTAGTACCGGTACTTCTATCCTGGGCCTAGGATATGATGGGAGAGAAGGAGAATGAGATATCCGGAACACTGTCCAAAGCCTCACTAACAAATTCTCCCAGATCACTACCGTAG